TACATTAATTTCAATACAGGTTAGCCGATATAATAAAGTAATACAATGATGAAGCTTTCGCCCAGGTTAGCATGTGGTAACTGTCAGCTGCACTATAGACTAAAATCCTTTGTATCCCAATGAATATTACGCGTCAAATTACGCGTCAGTTAAATCATGCATAAATTAAACTCTCGTGCTAAATAATTACATTCGTGCAGCTTGTCAACAATCCATCCTCCCCCCCCCCCGATAAGGAAACATTACTTATCAGTTTATTTCTTCTGCTGCTCGACATGTGACACACTTTGCCTTGATGCTCTTTGCTAAATCGTGTGCTCGAATGATCCAATACATTCTTCTGATTTTTGCTACCGTAGTTGCCACCCCGTGGTGACCTCTTTTGCGAAACTCTTCCACTATCAATTTGGAGATTCGGTGACTATAGGGCAGGAGAGCAGGATGCTTGGTTTCGTAAGAGACTAATGAGTTATCAATTCTTCCGCCAACTCTAACAGTGCCTTCTTCATCGGAAAAAGGGCTCAGAGATCTTAATTCGTTAGATTTCACTTGTGCACGAATCTTTGTTTGAGCTCTTTTAATCCAGAATGTCCTACTTCTTTCGAGTTCTGCCGGTATTAAGCAATACCCTCTTGCTGTGTCCTTCGCTGTCGACCGTACCTTTGCTAATAATGTTGACTTAGCTCTCAAAACCCAAGCAGTAACTCGTACGAGCTTTCTCCAACTTGAAAACCTTTCACTGTCAATTACGTTTACTGACGTTGTCACTGCACCTACCAATTTTGAACTTCTATATTCCCTTTCAACTTCTTTTGCATCGGGTTTTGCGTTTTCGACCGGCCATTCTTCCTTTGACAAGTACAGGAATTCAGGACCGTTTTTCCATCTATCCGACAGCTCAACAACACGGAGACCACGGGATACATCATCTGCCACGTTCTGATCCGTTGGGATGTGTCTCCATTGAGCAGGTTGGACGTTGCTTTGTATTTCCCCTACTCGACTTGAAACAAATGGTTTGAGTCGTCTTCCTTGGCTGCGGATCCACGCAAGAACAATTGCGCTGTCGGTAAACAAGACACTCTCTTTTAGTGGTATACGGAATTCATTTTGGATGGTCTTGCATAAACGACTGGCTAACACGGCTGCTTGTAGTTCTAATCTGGGCATTGTTAGCTCTTTCAATGGGGCGACTCGTGACTTTGCTGCAACAAACCGTACGTTCACCACTCCATTAGGTCCTATACTTCTCAAATATGCACATGTTCCAAATGCTTCTCGCGATGCGTCGGCAAAGGCACATAAGATCGGTGGCTCAATCATTACAACGGGACATAGACATCTTTCCACCGATATTTCGTTTAACTGATCCATCTCTTTAAAGTACGTCAACCATTTTGTTTGATCACTTTGCGATAGTTCATGGTCCCAGTCGAGTCCTTGCTGCCACAGTTCCTGCAAACCAATCTTTGCCCTTATAAGGTAAGGTGCTGCAAAGCCTATTGGGTCATATATTCTAGCGACTTGGCTTAGGATCTTCCTCTTTGTGAACTTTGGCTGTTGGGTGTGGCATATTTCTACTTTTACTTTATACTTAAGCACATCCTCTTTCTTGTTCCAGGCCAGGCGGAGCACTTTTGAATCTTGTTTTCCATGAGGAACATCAACTTCATTACCATCTTCTTGCTCGTCTTTCCTGTTCAACTCTCCGTTTGATTGCCATCCCTTCACATGAAACCCGCCATTATCAAGGATGCTGTCGATTGCTTTAGTCAACCCGATTGCTTCTTCATTTGTAGCAACTGAATCCAGAATATCGTCCATGTAAGAATTGTCCTTTATAACTTTTGCTGCTCTCTTCTCTGATGCTCCTTCATCTGCAGTTTTCCGCAAGGCAACTTGGGCCATCGCAGGTGCAGGTTTGTCACCGAACGTAAGTACGTTCATAACGAAAGTGTCCGGAGGTCTATCAATCTCTAAATTCCTCCATAGGAATCGGTGTACCTGCTGGTCTTCGACAGGGATAAGGATTCGGTGGTACATCTTTGAGATGTCCGCAGTGAGGGCAACTTTATTTTCATACTTGGTGCATTGCTTTCGCCTGTTGCAATTTGCTTGACGATGATCCCGACCCGCTTTCTTCAAACAGCTGAAACACACGTGATTATCTTTCGCAACTTTTATTCGCTCATCAACAGACATCGCTGCCAATTTTTGACACTGGTCCGGCCAATGATTTGAGTTCTTGCAGAGCCAACACTTGAATCGGTTTTTACTTTCTTCCGTGACTGTACCATTGACATGATTGACTTTGCGTCGAGTGAGAGATGTACCACTCCTGACTGGGGCTGTTGCACGCATGCGCGACTTCATCTCAATTGTCATCCAATTCATCAACGCTTTAAGGGTTGCGGGCTTTTTCTCTCTCTCTAAGTCTCTCGACCACACTTTTCGATCATCTGGACACATCTTTTGTTCAATTATGGATAGCATGTGGCTGTTATCCATGTCACTCGGAACCCCTACCTCTTTCAACGTGTTGAAACACCGCCTAACCAAATGAACTAAATCACAGAAACGCGCGTCTTCTCCTGTTTCTAGGGCTTTAAATTTAACGATGTCCTGCGTTATGGTGTCTGATACGTACCGAGGGTCCCCGTAAATGGAATCTAAGTACTCCCACGCTGCATCATAATCAGAACCAATACCTCTTATTAATTCAAGTGGTTTCTCTTTCAAACAAGTTCGCAGTAGTGTTATTGAATCTCGTTTTGTATATCTCGATTCAATTGCATGCTTGAAATACGCACGAAATATTGCATATTCACGTACGTCGCCCGAAAATTTCGGTAGCTTTGGTTTTTCCATTTGAAACCCGCAGGGACTTCGTGTATTTTCAGATTCATTTTTTCAGATTGGAACGTAATTTGATTCGGAAAATTTTCCTCATTTGTTTGGCTTATTTCGGTGGGAGCGTTGACAGATTCCTCGGAAATTACCGCGTGGGAACTTTCCGCCACATTGCTCATTTCATCACCTACGCTGGTCGGGTTTTCCTCAATAACTGTGGGGCTCATATTACTTGCGCTGTCAACATTTTGCATTCCGATCATTCCAGACGAATTTTGCTCGTTTTGACTGATGCTAGTTTCTGAAGTTTTCACTGAAACCAATTGTTCGATATAATATTTTGCCTCAATATCAAGTTTTAAAAATTCGTTTTGGCACTCATCTAACCAATGCTCTTCTGCTTCAAAAGCTTCATCGTTCATAATCAAATTTGCATAGAGCTCATGTTTCTCTACCACGTTGTCGAACGCTTGTTTTACTTTGACGAGATAGTCGCTTACCTCATTTGCTGGTCTTTTATTTATACACAGATGGTTCAAGGCCTTTCCCAGTCTTGTCAATGTAGACTTGGCTGCTCGGCGTTTGAGCTTAGCAGTCTTCAGTGCCTCGTCTTCGTTACTCATGGTTCAGGTTCTCCACGCGATTAATTTTTCTTCAGAAATCGAATGTTGTGGATTCTCAGGTTAGCAGTCCGATAGATGCGTGAGTCGGAATCGTATAGATTATAAGTAAATAATTTTTTTTTTTTCGATCTAGTAAATAATGATATAGTATAATTAACAAATGTGCAGTTTAACAGTATACCAAACGAAAATACATGAACTCACTTCTTTGCCGGGTCCTCACGATCTACATTAATTTCAATACAGGTTAGCCGATATAATAAAGTAATACAATGATGAAGCTTTCGCCGAGGTTAGCATGTGGTAACTGTCAGCTGCACTATAGACTAAAATCCTTTGTATCCCAATGAATATTACGCGTCAAATTACGCGTCAGTTAAATCATGCATAAATTAAACTCTCGTGCTAAATAATTACATTCGTGCAGTTTGTCAACAATCCACGTAGCTCACAATACTTTATGCACACTCGTAGATATTAGTATGTTGATAGGCTTTGAAACTGATGTTAAGATATGCTCTCATATTCTTCATGTAATTAGTAAACAATTAAGTCAAGTGTAACTAACTAAATGATTATTTTAAGAGATACTTATGTGCAATAATCACAATATTTTTTATAGTTCCTAATAGCTTTCCGTTGATTGTGAAGTAGCCATATTTAGTAAAGAAACAAATGTATCCATACGTAATATCTTGTATAAATAGAAGTAGTTTAACCATTGTTAGATAGATCGTAGACCATAGACATTGACGTTGAACATTAATTGTGATCGTAATAGTTATCTGTGATATCTCTATTTGTTTGTGTAAGTCATTGTATACAAAAGAAGGTAGATGGCTACACCACAAAACCCAACAACTATCACAATACGTCAATTCATTATTCATTGTACACCTCATATCCACTGCACATCCAAATCATATCCCCTTCATATCCACATTATTCATCTCAAACACACCAACAGTTGATTCAGAAGAGCTCATTATTTCCAAAATCTCCAGATTTTTTCAAAATAATTTTCTGCCGTCTTCAGATTATAGCTTGTGTGTGGCTTACAAGTCTGTGGCTTACCTATAATTCCAAATTTCTTGGTTTGGTTTTAACTTTTCCAAGAATGTTTTTATTTCATTAAGCGTTGGATGCAGTGCTCTCACAATCAAATTTCCTAGTTCTATAGAAAATGCTTAAAAATTCCTCAAATTTCCGCTAAACTCCTTAAATTTGTAAAAATTACTACAAGGCGTAATCACAAAGGCTCAAAAAGAGTTTTTTTATGGTTTTTCCTCCTTTTTTGCTGTTTTCATGTTTGTCAACGTTGTATTTGTAAAGAAAAATTAAATATTATTAAGTGCATATTAATTTAAAGTATAAAAACATCCTTAAAAATATCCTTAAAAATTTTAGTAAATCCTATTTTTAAGTATAATTTCTTAAAAGTGAGAGCACTGGTTAAATGGCTACAACGTCAACCACGTGATGGTAAAAAGCAAAGCCCAATCATTGCACCCAGCCAATTAAAATAAAGATCACGTGTGTTCATGGGCCAACGGTCACAAAACTACGTTGACACTCGACAAAGTTAAAGCGCGTTAGTCTGAATCTGACAACTACCTGGAAGGGCGATTCTCGAAGATATGAAAGCTTGTAATTGTAAAATCTGCTCATTTTTGTTGGTATGCTTTGGTTTTGCATTGACAATCTCCGCGACGGTTTGCATTCTCTTCAATTGCTTCGATGACCTCATTAAAAACACTATTGTAAAGGTATGAAACGCTTACGTGCATGCAACGTCTTTCCAAAGGTTTAGTCGTCGTTCTTTTACAACATTTTCGTAGTGAAACACTTGTCGAATATGACTTTATTGTACGTCACGTGAAAGAAAAAGTGATAGTTCAAACCGACTTAAAGATAGATTTAAAGAATCTTACCCGAGGCTTCGGCTAATCGCTCTAATTTATCTAATACTGTCATATCGTCATACCATGCAATATCAAGTCAAGTGCTGACATTGATTGACCTTGAAATAATTAAATTGATACCTTTGCATTGTTTTAGAACATTTTTTGATTAAATTTCCAATTCGTTTGTTAGTCTGCTTATTCATTCACGTTCTCTGCGTGCATTAATTGCCGATAAGCAACCTGGAATCGTTTTAGTAGTGTTGTCTTCAGCACGTTGTTTAGGGTGCGTTGTTCATTTTTTGCTGACTTATTGGCACGAGACCATTGCACGAGACTTGCAAGCATTTTAATTACATGTTTCACCATAACACACTCCCGAAAACATAAGCTAAAGGTTTGTCTTTGAAAGAAATGATATTCATCTTAATGAGATGCTCCATATATCCTAAGGCTACCATCCTGCTTCAATACCAAAATTTTTACTGTTATGACACTCTTGGTTGAAGCTACAATGTGTTGCTTAAATCTGATATATTACCCAAATTGCATGAGACTATGAAGGTGCATGACACAGTCACCTTCCCAAATACTTCTACTAAACCTATTAGTTTTGCTTCACATGACAAAAGTGTGATTCTTTGTTGCCTTTAAGATTAGTCATGAAAAGGGTGAACTACTTTAAGATAAACTAAAACATAAGCCAGATTTACGATGTTCATCATCCAATGATTTTGCTAAGCGTCAGAGGAATTTGATGTTTTAATGATGGGACTGTAGACAAATATGGCAAAAAACTTTTGGTCTTGTGACTGTCAAGTTTAGGCATATTGGTAATTTTTTGACTTGCCCATGCAAGATTGTCAACTAAAATGTCCATGTGACTGCAACCAGTTTAATCACTATGGAGTATTCTGAAACTAGCAGAAATCCTTGATGAACCCACATTATAAGGATATAAATATGTCAAAGAATGTTTCAATGGTAATGATTATTTCAATTTTCAAAAAAAGTCTTTTTAATCATCGGATCTTGTTGTTAAATAGTTTCACATTTTCTTATTATATTGTGCAAAACATAAGCTGCACAAGCTCTATATTACAACCATGTGTCACTAGGATTGACTTACTGAAGTAAGATTACTAGTGAAATGACATTTTAATACCATACATTATTATGTGAAATGTGGGTATGTACTACACAAGATTAATAATTTAACATATATTATATTCTGTAAATGCAGTGATACTGAAACAATTAAAATCAAAATATAAATTTGCAAAATGGCAAATATTCCCCAGAATTTAATCATGATATATGTTATGTGAATGTAATTAAATTTACACTTCACTTAAGATGAGCTGGAAAATGTTGACCTAAAAAGCTAAAGATATTTACTTATACTTGAGGCTCAGTACCCTGCATTGAAATGACAAAACATAATAGAGGCACTATCATAATTTTTCCTTTAAGGTGTCTGTCTATGTATATTGTAATTAACTACCTTCATCCAGGTAAATGTTTGAACTCAATATGGCTCGTAGGTGAAGGCAATTGACTATTTGGTTGTCTCATGAAACTTAGAAGGTGTAAACCTCCTTAAAATTCTCATACTAAATTATTATTTTTGAATAGCTGGTAACATTTAGGTAAACTGCTTCCCTGCCTATATCGTCTTTCAAAAGTACAATTGGATTTGAAAAATTCCTCATCATTTCCTTGATTGAACAGTCGTTAGATACATTATGTTCTCTCTGGCTTCTATGTAAATTTTTCAGTGCTCACTCACTGTAATACAATAGATTTGTCTTGGTCAAATCTATATGGTCTAATCCTCTTCTTGTGACGTTAGATTTCATCCTGTGTTGCAAGAAATGCTTGTAATAGGAGGATTTCTTTGTGAAATCCAAAACTCAGGTCTTTCGTGTCGTATATATGATAGCAATTTCTCGTCCCACCGGTGACCACCTACACACAGAATAGATACATACAGAAGCGCCACTCGATGTCGGAAGCTTTGATGTTCGTGTCCCCTACAATCCGGGTATTTTAAACGGCGGCCATGTTTCCAGCCAGATGAGTGCAGCCAGATTGTAATATAATATACAGTTCTACGGATGGGTTTTGGCAAATAAACCCAAATATTTCTATAGATTGGCCATTTTTTTAATATTTTTTGTATGTATCTATTCTGTGACCTACATAAACATTTCAATGACTGAGCGATTTTTTTATAAAATGATTTTAAATTTGACAAGAATGACTAACTAAGTCTTCCTAAACGCAACCATATTAGTGTGGTATTTATGACATGCATTAAAATGCCGTAGTTTAGGGTTTACCCATAACGATTGTTTCATCGGAATGACTTCACTGTTTCCTTGAATAAGTGATAGTTTTCTTTGAAACGGACATTACATAGTTGCCTTAGCGGACATTACACATTTGTCAAGTATCAATTAATTTTTTTAACATTAACGCAAAATTTGTTTTGCTTAGCTGCCTTCAATTTTTACAATGAAAAATGCCAATTTGCGACTAAACACAATTAGCAATATTTATTATGACACACCAACTTCAATGACAATATTCAATATGACACATCAACTTCAACATATAATATTATATTCCTATTTTCAAAAGATAAGTATTTACTACTATTCCTCCGGCATGATTATACACAATTCATTTTCAAAAAATTCAATATTTGAATTTTCAAGGATTGTACTTGGTTCTTCTTAAAATCAGTTTTGAAAATTAATATCAAGTGCATTGAAACATTGAATTAGGAACGGGTGTTAAGAGATGGGCACCCATACTTTGTTAGAGGAGGGGGGGGGGAGGAATTTTCCCGCGCAATATTGATAAACAAAGTATTGAAACAAAAGCTATCGAGATATATGTTTCATGGAGCACATTTCCAAAAAATATCTCTCGATCATGGTAGCACTGTAACAGGAAATTAACGAAAACAAGGCACGCGACTCCCCTAAAGTAGGCACCAAATTCTAATTCAAACTAGATCACAATCCTGCAAAATCATCCCGTCATCTCTACTGCTTACTCCGATTTTGCCTTTTTACATTTTAACATAAAATCACCGTATTAGCTTATTAACGATTTTTGTGCAAATAATGCATCGACTTTTGCTTTGCAAACAGTATTTTCTCATCAGACAACCGAACGCACAAAGGCAAAATATTGTTTTTGCTTTTTTTTTACCTTTTGAAATCAATCTCAAATGTTTTTAGAGCATTGAGCTATTACGTAAGGAAACTTCAAAATAATTGTTTCTTGTAATATCGAAATGACAAAAGTTGTTTTAACGTAAATAAAACGATAGCGTATGAAAGATTATAAGGAAAGAAAGCAAAGAAGTTTCAACTCTCTAAACGGAGCCTTGAAACAAAACAAAAAACATATTCACAATGTGTTTACTAATTTTTAGAAAGTCAATTAAGATATTCATAAAGGAAAAATGCCATAACGCCATCAGTACGCACAAGATGTTAACCGTGATCTATTTCTTATTTTTTCATTGTTGAGTGCATGTCATGTGCTAAACACACGTTTTGTCCATGACGAAAGCATGCGCGTGTCTTAACGAATCAATCACATGATCGTTGGAAGATCTTCCGAAACCAGTGTTTGGTTAGCCTATCCCAGTATGTTTTACGTTTGTCGCTTCATGTCAGCATGGCATCTGTTTCTACTTGGCGAAAGTTTTCAGCTTTTTTGATACTTTTTGGATCTCTGGTGTTTGTATCCTTCATGATTTGCGTTTCGTATTCCGTTTTTGACAAGTTTTGGAAACATACTGTCGAAAAGGTATTTTCAGTTGGTATTTTTAATAGCACGAAGTTGTTTGTTTTTGTCATATAACTCTGCGATGGGTTGTGCATTTACGTTGTGTGTAATGTTTTGCTGCTATCCGGACGTCGTTAATTAGTTCGTTGATGAAAATGATGTAAATTAATAGGCATGTAATTAGGTTAAATGGAAAATCTGAAATACTACAGAATCTGAAATAATCTCTGATTAGTTGCAACATTCAATGCTAACATCTGCATTCTGTAAATGGCCAGTCCAAGCATGCGTAGTACACTCCGAATATTTCAAAATCGTTTAAAGTTGTGTGAACGTTGGTATATAGTTTTTTAACGAAACACTTCTTCTCTACTGAGGTATGCGCCAGAAAATTCTTGCAAAATCATCTCTTGACCATTTTTAATCTCTCAAACTTGAAGAAGTGCGTTTTGTGCATATGTTTTAAGTGTGCGTTGATTGGTGCTCAAATTTCATTTGTTTACTACCGAACAACAAATATTTTAAAAGCAACGATATTCTTCATGTCCAACTTGTTCTGGTTGAACCTGAGCATGTCTAACCCCGAATGCCTATTTCGACTGGACAGGTTGTTTTTCTGTGAAAAACAATTCGGTGACGTTTAAAACGATATTCGCTTAAAGTACTATAGAAAAACTGATGAAATAATATGACTAATTGTTCCCGTAACATAATACTTGTCTTGTGATTGCGTTGCACATTCACACGACGATCTTGCCAGCCCGTTGACTTGCTCTATTGTTGTCAAGTCAAGCCAAGCCTCTCACCCATTTCAAGTCGTCATTATAGAACGCCCAAGATTGACAGACAAAATGACGCAAATTAAAGAGCGTCAGCTGTTTCTACATTTTGTGAAACATTTTATCAGTAAAGGTGTTTTAACACGTTGTATAGTTTATGTAATAATGAAAAATTGTATTGACTTAATGCATAATAGGAGCATGTAAACTTTACCCGATAAATGCACCCTTTTTGAGATAGATTAGCGAGATACAAAATATTTGTTTACCTGAGTGTTCAATTTCTGTTTTTTTAGAATGTTCAACTAAAAAATGGCACAGAAGCGTTTAAGAACTGGAAGTCACCATCTTCAGATGTATACATGCAATTCTTCATGTTTAACTTGACTAACGCGAAAAACGTGAGTGACGGAAAGAAGCCATCAGTTAAGCAAGTTGGACCATATTCATACAGGTTTTTTGTCAATATATCATTTAATTTGCATCTTTATGTGTGTAAAGTAAAGTATATTGCGGCAGTTAATAACTCAATGCAAAAAAGATAGGATTTGTCACTGGATTCTTCTGCTCAAATAGACCGTCGTACTTTCTTTACGTACTTTAAGCCGAGGTGTGATACTGGTCATTTTTTATGGCAATTTGACTACTTGGTTGAAGCCGGTGAACATTTGGGGCTTTTGGGCACTTGCTCAAGACATGACCCATTTCATAGAGCAGGTTATAGCTATACAACTGGCTGTATTTTAGGTCTTTTTTGTTACAGAACAGATAATCGCAAAACAGTCAAACAATAAAATGAGTGACCATTCTACATGAATAAAGATTCACTACCGGAGCAAGCACAGAGCTTACGGGTGGAAATAGTCCACTAGTTACTCGGGCAACCACTGGCAAACCCGAATTTAAAACTGCGTTTTGCCTGTCATGTCGCGAGAATTGCACAAATCACGCGCGACTGACACCAATTCCTTTGACCAATGAAAATCGTTCTTTTATCGCTTCACGCGTGTGTGTCACTAATGCGTGGCACGTAAACAGACGTAGGAGCTATACTGCCACATGTGAGATTACAATGCCGTGAATTTCGTTGTGGTATTTGGCAACTATTATAATGCGCAAATACATATAACCAAACAGTGTTCGAGTAGCCCCAGTGAACTCCTAATTGTGTGTGTTATTGGTTAAAAATGCGCTGGTTTTTTTTGCCCAAAATGAACTTGTAAAAATGTGGTTCGTTATATGTCTGGTACGAAAATGAAAGAGCACGGAGAATGGAGCAAAATGACAATGAACACAAGACAAATATGGAAGGCATTGACAATTCTTTGATGATTTTCGGTGTACTTTATTTGAAATTCACGTTTTCCCGATAATGCCTGCTTTCTGTTTACCGCGAGCAACGAAATTGCGATAAAAACGAACTTCCAAAAATGAGAAATAATATTTCATATCAAAAGGGATCTCGTAAGTTCGTGAATTAGGGATGTCTGGAGCGATATCAGTCATATATGCATGTTCTACTTCGTTAATTTATATTGTGACAATAGTACTGTTTACAATATATGAATGTACTAATGAGTCCCCCTTCGGCCCTCCCCTCAATTATCAATCCTCCGCGGTGCGTATCAACGCATGCAAAGATTCCGGAGTAGTTCCATTTTCACATTTCTTTATTCGTTCCCCTTGCAGAGAAATTCGAAAGAATGTTCCGCGTTTCTTCAACCATGAAAGTAACACGTTAGCCTACTTCTCTCAAAAGGCTTATGTTTTTGACAAGGCAACATCGTGCGCTGGCTGCGATCCTGTCAAAGACAAATTTGTAACGATTAATATTCCGCTACTGGTAAGTTGGAAATTTATCATCAATAAGATTGATAGGCCATAGTTAGCTGCATGTTGGAAATTGTTAGGAATCTTGCTGCTTGCGTGATTTTGTTGACCCTTCATACTCCTGCGCAGTATGACCACACATGGAATTTTTTACCAGATTTGGTCGCGTACGTATAATCACTCCCCCCTGTTCGGAACTTTACAACTATAAAAAGCAGGTGTGAGATTCTAAGATTATCCGACCAAATCTGATAAATAAATTTGCATTTATAGCCACACTTCTCCTGCGTCTTAATAGTAGTAAAAAATGGACTTATAGAGAAGCAATGTAAACGTTTGACTAAACTGTCGACCTGATAATCATCTAGAATTTCCAGTAAACGTCTGTTTGCCACCCATAGGATGTTAATCCTGGGAATGGGGAGCAGTTTTGGCGGGCCACATTTAGTAACTGGCTCTAAAGAGGACTACTATATTGCACGGTCTTCATCTAAAACATGCAACGATACTCCCGGGCATTTACTTTATGGCATTTACCTCTTAAGTTCTTTTTGCAATGATAGATTTTCAAAATATATAAATACGTTAATTTTTTTGCTCATTCACAAAAGCAACATTAATTTCTGTTTTCTTCCTTTTTCGTTTGTTCATTATCTATAGAAATTGTCCGAATTAGTCAAGAAGGGTGTGGATTCTTTGCCTCATGGTTTGGCGATTCTTCTACTTCCTCTTTTGAACCAATTCTTTGGAAAAGAAGACGTTTTTCGTGCGAGATCTGTTTCTGATTTGCTTTGGGGATACGACGATTTTATCTTGTCGAGATTTCATAATTTTACCGTTGAACTGAACAAACAGCTGAAAAATCATACCTTGCCTTTCCACGTGCCCATAATTAACTCATTGGTTATGCTACAGGTGAGTTTTTTATGTTTAGAATTATGGGGAATTTTATATATTTTTATACATCAATATTGGTCCGTTGCCTGTGTAATCAAAATGTCCTTAGAAATAAAGTTTCGTAGCCACCATCGCGGTGCTAAATTTTATATTCGGAACGGTATTCTATAGTTTTTGACATGCTGAATTCGAATTTCTTTGTTCCCACTCACCAAACCCGTAGTTTTTTAGAATTTTGACGATGAAGATCTTTCCCGTTTTGTTGTTTAGGCGAACTTTTACTTGAAGTACCCCTCATGCCGCTATTATTTTGAGCCGAGTCGTGGGCTCAATGTTTATTTCGGGAGGTAAACAAAGCGAAATAAAATTTTCTTGTAAGAAAAATTATACAAGTTGACAAAATATTGAAGCTTGCTACAAGGTCAAATCAATTTACGAATTATTTAATAAAGAGGTGTTATAATACGAAGACAAGGTTCAATCGAGAAAAATGTGAAATCGTGATGCTACTTTTTTTACTAATTTTCACTGTCCATCTACTTCATTGACTCATTGTCACTTGACAAGTCTTCGTCTGTAATTTTTGCATCCAAAATCTCTCCATACACATCCGTTTCCAATTCTTCTGTTTTATTAAAGCACGAAAGGCATTAACAGAGTTCAGTGCAAGAAATGGATGCTTTCTTACAAGAACATTTATTTTTTGAGCAACCATTAGTGCATTTACGTACAATTATAAATATTTAGCACATCGATTAGTGTACAACTGCCATTTATTTAATCAATAGACTTATTTTTGTCAATTTTGCATCCATGGTTGGACGGATTTGGCGGGGCACAGTGACGATTTCCATTTTGCTGCTAGTTAATTGGCACGTTTGATGTGTGTTTCTCCAGACCATCTTTATTAGGTGGCAAGTTGTACCTAGCCATGTTAATGCCAATGCCAGGCATTGAGTGGTAGATCTTACATTTTACCTTCTCCAGACTCTTGTGAAGTTCTTTAGTGCTTACAAAATATTCTCCAAGTTTCTGAAGAGCTTTGAAAACTTGGGCATCTTCTGACAGAAGCTTACATCTGGACACATTAGTATGTCCATAAGACAAACAAGTTGTGTCCGAGCGTACCAATAAAAATGAATGAATACTAATTAATTTCCAAATTATTTTAAAAAACCTAGTAATGACACCAGGTTTTCTTGAAGAGTAGTGCTATTTTTTTGAATTGCCTTGACTTTATTAGATTCACAAAGTCTCCTGTAAATGCATGGAATCCAATTGTAGCCTTGCATTTCTTTCAAAGCCAAAGGAGTGTTCAAAGGATTGATGACCTGTGCTGTGACCACGAAGAGGCTGATACACAAGTGTTATTACATGCATCTCATGCAGTTTGTTTTATGCACATAGCAAAATGTTCAGATGTAAGCTTCTGTCAGAAAATGCCCAAGCTGTCAAAGCTCTTCAGGAATTTGAAGAATATTTTGTGAGCACTAAAGAACTTCACAAGAGTCTGGAGAAGGTAAAATGTAAGATTTACCACTCAATGCCTGGCATTGGCATTAACATGGCTAGGTACAGCTTGCCACCTTATAAAGATGGTCTGGAGAAACACATCAATCGTGCCAATTAACTAGCAGCAAAATGGAAATCGTCACTGTGCCCCGCCAAATCCGTCTAACCATGGATGCAAAATTGACAAAAATAAGTCTATCTCCATTGATTAAATAAATGGCAGTTGTGCACTAGTCGATGCGCTAAATATTTACAATTGTACATAAATGCACTCCTGGTTGCTCAAAAAATAGATGTTCTTGTAAGAAAGCATCCATTTCTTGCACTGAACTCTGTTAATGCTTTTCGTGCTTTAATAAAACAGAAGAATTGGAAACGGATGTGTATGGAGAGATTTTGGATGCAAAAATTACAGACGAAGAATTGTCAAGTGAAAATGAGTCAATGAAGTAAATGAACAGTGAACATTAACAAGTAGCATCACGATTTCACATCTTTCTCGATTGAACCTTGTCTTCGTATTATAACACCTCTTTATTAAATAATTCGTAAATTGATTTGACCTTGTAGCAAGCTTCAATATTCTGTGAACTTGTATCTTTCTTACGAGAAAATTGTGTGTCGCTTTATTAACCTCTCTATATAAACTGTGATCCCAGGACTCGGCTCAAAATAACAGCGATATCAGGTGTATTTCTAGTAAACAGTTCGCCTAGACAACAAAACGGGAAAGATCTTCATTCTTAAAATTCTAAAAAACTGCGGGTTTTGATGAGTGGGAACAGAAAAACTCGAATTTACCATGTCGAAAATTATGGAATACCGTTCATAAATTATCGCACCGCGATGGTGGCTACAAAAGTAAATGTTTTGAGGCCACGGGCAACGGACTATATGGATAGCAATTACTGGCATCAAATTAAGATATTGAAAAAAATTCGCCAAGTTAAGGTTAACCACCGCTGACGAGTTTTTGCAATGACTTGCTGTTGGCTTCGTTATTGGTGCACATTTGTCTTGGCATTGTCAACGCCGTTCACACGATCCGATTTGTCAGATCCTAAAAAACAGATCGTGTGAACACATATAAAGTGAGCCTCCGATAGTCGGATCAGTCAACCTAAAAAATCGGATAGAAATAGAGCTTTCTCTATTTTCGTCCGACAAGATCAGAGGAACCGACTAGTCACATTGCATCGATTTGAAAAAGACTTGGAAACAAAAATACGAAAAATATATCGATAAAGATACTGGATAGTACAAACGGCTGCTCACACGTCTTTAAATATCCAAACGAATATAATTATCAACAAAATTATATCGGACCAATAAATCAGATCGCGTGGACGGGCCTTCACACTACCAACTTGCACATTAATTAATGCCATAATGTGATAAGAATAAAGTAAATTTTAATTGTTCTTTCTAAAGGACATTTATTTTCATTATCATTGGGATTTTTTGATGCCTTATGTTATCTCTTACATTTTTAGTCCAATAACACCAATACATCAGGGGAAATTCACACAGGAGTAGGGAAAATCGATCGCCTTGGTGCATATGTAAAGTATAATGGCATGAGGTATTATGAGCATCTGCATTCCTTCTTCAAATCTACTTATTACGCGATCCGTGGCGATCGCCCAGCGCTTAATCTTGCGCCGACCGTGGTCAACATTTAAGTGTTTGACCTTAGAAATGTTATCTGTGGGGAAGCTTGCAAGGAAGAGAGGTGTGAATGCTTAAAACGGTTGAAGCCAGGACTTCCAGGCTTATTTCACACCTATCTTTTTCTTACGCTCTATATTCATTTTGCTGTTTACGATCACATGGGATTTACCTGGTCTTATTTTGGCCATACATTGCGGAGTTTAAGGGCCAAAGGCAACTGGCGAGGTTTTTCCATCCTCTAAACAATACAGCTGAAAGGAACTACAATATAATTAACCCTTTCGTGCACGATGCTGCAGCACAGAAACTATAATGAAACGCAGTTGATAGGGTTAATGATCGTGAATGAAAGGGTTAAAATGACTTATTTTCCTGTGTATTGTGTTAGAGAGGTTTTCTAGTTATAGTTGTGAATTCTTGCCACGTACGTGTGGTTTGATACTATCAATGGATGGACAAGAAATTGTCACACCCCCCCAAAAAAAACAGCACATAATTATTTAAAGGCATCAATAGATTACTTAGGAGCTGTTCACATGAGCCCGGTAGCCGGGATTCAGCGAAGCGTTGATTTTGGCAAATGGAAAAGATTAAATACTTCACAGCAAAAAAAACATGTTTGAGCAATTTCTCTATGCTCTGACTTTGCAAATTCACAATTCCTTTGAAATGAAAACAAATAATTTAGCCTGATTTGAAAATTACAACTAAAATGACTTATGACGCTTAAAAAAAGGTAGTACGTAAGTTTTGCGCATGAAGTTTTTGCTCCTTTCAATGACGTCAAAATCCTTTCATGCCTCTCTGAATCCCAGTTACCAGGCTCATGTGAATAGCTCCTTAATGGTTAACAATCTGTGTTCTTATGGTTTAAGCTGCGCATAATTATTAGAAATGAAAGTTTATAAAATATATTTCATTCTTTGTTCTCCAACATGACAATAACAGCAAACCACAAGGGAAGTTGTTTTAATAAAGGAAAAAACACACACCAAAAAAGATCATCTTGTAAACTCAAGATTAGAGTTATAAAAGCAAGAGAGAACTTTTATAACTCGAATCTTGAGTTTACAAGATGACGTTTTTTGGAGTGCGTTTTTTCCTTTATATTTTGAAATTGCCGGCTGGAAAAGGAAGTTGTTTTAAAATATATCACAAAGGAAGAAATTCATGTGATGCGATGGCCAAACCCAATCATCTGATTTGAACCTTATTGAAAACCTATAGCCTGATTCGTTCTGAATCGAAAAACTGAAAACCATCAAATAATGACGAGTTTTTTTAAATGCGTGGATGGAACGAATATAACTAGCGAAGATAGTGGAGACATATCCAACTTTTGTATTTCTTGCAAAAAAACGGCCGCATCGTTGTTCATGTGTTCATGTATTTTGTGTCGTTTAACATTTTTGTGTCGTTCATTCTTCAACGATCATTTTTTTTTATTTTTACACTTTACTCGAAATTTGACTGGCTACAAACCTACATATCAACGTTAATTTTTTACGGCGCTACTTTTTTCTCCACCTATTGTATTTCGCTTTATGATATGAATTCTACTATGGCGAAATAAGGGAGAAAGTGCAATTGGCTTCGGACACTTTTCGTTATTTTGCGGTTTCGAATTTTAAAGAGAATTGCGAATTCCTGTTCGATATATTTTAGCAATAGCATCGCGCGGTGTGTAGGTACTTAGCTCAATAGAAATTGACTCTGTAACTCTGTGCGCTAATTTGCCTCTGGCATTCTTTTGTTGTTGCTTTATCTGAACTATATGATTCTGATTTTAGTACGCTTCCTTGGTGGCATACAAAATGGGCGAACATGATAAACGGAACAGGTAAGGTGAAACCATTGTATGGATGGATGTTAGTTTCTTGGGTTCAACCTAGAGTAGTTATATTACCCTTCTATAGTACCATTGATCGATGATGTTGTAACGTGATTATTTTGGTTGATTATTTTTAATTGAAATATTTTCTGACTTGATGATATTTTTTTACTGCCGGACGTTTTATTGTGCGATTAACGACTTTTGCTATTGTTGCAGACGGAACAATTTTTCATCCGGATATAAATAAAGGCGATCACTTGCCGATCTTTTCCAGCGATATATGCAGGTAAAAATTCAAGCATATCTTGTCTTGCCCCAAGGAAAATTTATATCAAATTTTTATTCTTTGAATCAGCCACTACGTCTGAGACAGCATCGCGCATCAATTATTTTCACCCATATCTTACTTTTTCTGCGAGTGCACAATAACAGTTAATATAGACATGCAAGCGTCACTTCCCGTTAAATAAGGTGCTTTGATTGGATTAGAAACATTATTGCAGTAAACAGCTGAGTGTGCAAATTTCTCTTGCCATAAAATAAACTTGCTATGTCCTTATGTACAGATCAAGGTTGTTGTGCGAGGCTTGTATTAAAAGGCAGTGGTCTGGTTTTCTCAGTAGCTAAAGAACAGCGTTTGGTTATAAGGGCTGTTGTTGATATTAAAATCTTCCATTGTATGTACTTGTAAACCTTTGTGTTAAAGATGATAAAACATAAAATCATGGAATAAAATATTCCACAATGCTTATCAACTGTTGTTTATACAGCTTCACATTTACAGTTTAGCGAGTTCAACCAAAAAAAGTGAACGCACCGCCATGCGTTGATGATGAACACTGCGCATGCGTTAGTTCAACGTTGTTGAGTGTGCTGTTCAAAAGCACTAAACTGTGTTGAACTGAAGAACGCATCTCTGACCACGGAACAAAGAAAATGTTGAGCGCTGTCGAGTGAAACGTTTGAGCAAGTTCAAACTTCTCTCAAAAATGCTTAACACCTTTCAGTGCCACTCAATGCAACTCGACATTCCTCAACGGGATGCACAGTGGCGAAGGCAGCCTCCTGCAATGCAAAATTTTCAGCGAAAATTATTATTCACTTCTTTAGAAAATTAATTCCATTGATTGTTTTTCCAGTGATTGAACACAGAAATATTTGCAAAGTAGGAATAAAAAACGGGCTGGCTTCGCTACAGGGTGTGCAAAACCTCTCAACATGTTGAGTCTACGATGTTGAGCGCGTGTTTAGTCAACATGTTAAGCGAACGCAAGCCTCAAAATGTGCATTGTTTTATATAGATCAATAAATATCAGGTATCATTCCACTGTCGATGTAGAAGGAATACCATTGTATCGGTTTTTTGCTGGACCTGAACAGTTCAAATATAATGCGGATAATAGAGCTGGGTTTTGTAACCCCGACGCTAACTCGTGCGTCCCCGATGGACTATTGGATGTCAGCGTGTGTAAACCGTTAAGTATGTTTTAAGGCATTTCTGTTCTTGTACGATAAAAATGTAAATCTTTGGTTTGTCGAGTTAATCCTTTTTAATTTAAAATGCCTATATCGTGGACTCATGGTCAGGAAAATAACGTTCTTAGATAGTTAAGTCGATCGTAAGAACATTTGCAATAAATTTGATAAGACAAAAAATTCATCTTCATGGGTTTTTGTGGCTTAGAATGTGGTGATTTTGCGCTGGAAGTGACGTAAAAAAGAGAACACATTCATTGAAGATATAGCTTTCATTGTACTGCTGTTATAGCAAGTCTTAGAAAACTGCGCTACAAACTTAAGATGCCGCATCGGTGTATAGTATGACGACATCATTTGAGACAACAATTAAGGAAAACGTTAAAAAAATGATACTGCGTTTTCTCTTTTTTAACGTCACGTTACCGCGCGAAGGCCAAAAAGCCCACGTGGATAAAATTTTCGACCAATCAAGTATATTGCGAATGTTTTTAAAATCGATTTAATTAACTATCTAAAGAAGTTGTTTCCCTGACCCTGTACAAAGTATATTTCATCATAGATTATCTAACTAATCGACTAATCGTATCTAATATTATCCTTAACTATGCTTTTTTTAAATTTACTTCAGTAAATCCACCGTAAATCCGTATCCGTTTCCTTGTAAAGTTAAGTTTCTAATCTATGCTTTCGATTTAGAAAATTACAATGTAAAATCCCTTATAAACCAATAGAGATTTTCTCGTATTAAGTATATCTTGTCATATGTGTAATTTAATCTTATCTTCACACTACGCGTTTGATTAAAAAAATGTAAATCAGTAAGTCCACATTAAATCCATCGTCTTTTCTTCTTAAAGTACAGTCAGCCTGTATTAACCACCCTCTGGGGTTTCCCATGTGACCGCTTAATACAGGATGACTGTTTGATAAAGAACTTCTGAAAAACGAGCTAGAAAATGTCAGAGTTTAAACTGTCAAGAAATCGACATGAATTTTAGTTTGTTGATGCGGACTGCTCAACTCACAAATTAAAATGTGAGATATATAATATAATATTACACAATTTGTTGCATTTCTAGATGTTCCCGTTGTTGTGTCTCTCCCACATTTTCTGTTTGCAAACAAAACCGTTATCGACTCAGTCAATGGCATGCATCCCAACGAAGAAGACCATTCTACGTTTATTTCGATTGAACCGGTAACAGTAAAAGTTGCATCTCCTCATCCGATGTTTTCGTATATGTTGCTGGTTTATTCTGAGTAATATTCATTCGGGATGAAAAGTGCAGTTTTTACAAGATATTTGCTGTACACGTACAATCAAATGCTAATAATATCCTAGTGTGTCATGTACCTTATGCTGCTGCGTTTTTATATGCACATTGTTTATAAGCAGTATGGGTGCAATATAGATTTCGAAAATGTTATCAATGCTTTTTTTCATTTAGAACACGGGTATTACGATGCAGGCCAATAAAAGAATTCAAGTGAACGTTGCTTTAACGAATCTTACAGGAATAACGTAAGTGACCAAATACTGCGTCTTCCTAAAACTGCATTGCATTGTTGTCTTACAAGGGTATATGCATGCCGTATACATTTTTCCGAGTGTTTTTATTGCTTGCGATGATGCAATTAAAATCGTGATCACCCTATTGGACGTCAGTTGAGAGTCGATCGGCTAAGATCCTCGCTTCGTTTTTCTGATGGCAAGAATTTTTATCGCCAGTTTCTTGTTTCTTTAACCAAGAGCAAAACTAAAATAATCGTTTTGAGGATCGCAATTCGTCTATGAAGGAGAGATAGACAGATTGTACCAATGTGTAAGAGCGTAACTCGACGGCTGGGGGCCCTCCGTCAATCAGCCATCGGGAGGCAAAAGCTCCGAGAGAGTGCCGTTACTGGATATCCTAATGCCCACCGGTTACGCCATTGACAATTTGCCGCTAAAACCACTTAACAATCATCCTCGTATGTGTCGAAGCTGATGTTCGCTCAAACGATGTCGTCAAACTGTACTCGTATGCGGCATCTTAAATTTGTAGTGCGGTTTTCTAAGGAGATATGCTATGACAGCGTTATTCAAAGCTATCAGATATATTGCTAAGGTTCTTAAAATCAATTTAAACTATCTAAAAAAGTTATTTTCCTGACCATAATATTGGCATATAGTGGCAAAGAAAATTTATTACACTCGTTGTGTTAATATTACAAAATGGTCTTCTTTTGCGATGCTTTTCTTTTTTCTTTGTGTTTATGCAATGCTACCACTTTTCTTCATACTGCAGTATATTTAATAAATGTACGCGAATTCATTGATTAAATTAAAGCATGCTTCGATGTCTTTATATTTTTCAGGCAATTCGAAAACATGAGGACAGTGTTTTTGCCTGTGTTGTTTGTGAACGAGGTAAGCAGTGCTGTTTTATTGTTGTGCAATGCTTTTGTCGTATTTTTCCTTTACTCACTCGCGTATAAATTACAACGTTCATTCAGACTGCAGTCATTAGCAAATCGGACGCTGATAAATTTAAGAACGATGTTTTGCTGCCTAAAAAATTATTAGACATAGGCAAGTATGTCTTCATCGGCGTGGGACTCATAATTATGGTTCTTGGGTTGATTCTTCTTCGAGTAAAAGGAAGGGTAAGTGTTTTAATATAATGCTCATGATAGCTATCACTTCCGAGAGGCGGTAAATATTTTCCCCTGCTCACAATGAGATACTTCAGACTTCAATACTTTAAATATCACGTAATTCCACTATCGATAATTCGGGGGGGCTCATGTGCATGTTGTAATCCGTAGAAAACGATAGATTTCAAACATAGTACGGTGTATCATGCATACATCCCCGCCTCCCAATTATCTTCTTTTGCTGTCCATGCATTCACACGTAATTCATATAATTTTCTTTGTCATATTTACTACCCGACAAATGTTAAAAAATTTACTAGACTATCAATCTTCAAACTTTCTTGGAAGGGGGGGGGTATGTCGATAGAATTGTCACAAAAGCCTGATATCTTTTTGTTGTTTCGGTTTGAAAGGAATTATAGATTGTTCACTTCGGAGAGTTTGGCGCATGGCGGCAATATTGCAATTAATTTTCGTTAATATTTATAGAAAATTGATCATTCTGAGACTTCCATACAAATTTCTTTGATGTTTATAGAAAATTAGTAACTCCGAGACTCCCGTACAAATTTCTTTGATATTTATAGAAAATTAGTCATTCTGAGACTTCCGTACAAATTTTTTTAATGTTTATAGAAAGTTGGTCATTCTGAGACTTGCGTACAAATTTCTTTTATCTTTATAGAAAGTTCGTCATTCTGAGACTTCCGTACAAATTCAAAATGAACAAGTTGGGGGCAGCGAAAAGTCTCCGTTGATGCGATCGGTCCAGAACTATGTTACATAGAAGGGTAGAGCTAGAGTGTCGGTATACATTTTCTATCATATAGTCTATTGCAATTTCTAATTTATGATTTTATAAGAATTTACTATTACAAATGCAAAGAACAAGTTCAACTTTGAATGTCATGATCGTGCACATACACCTTAAGAATATACTGCACACCCTGCTTATAGCGTTTCTATCTATTCCTTTGACTTTAGGAGTGAATAAATTGTCAGGTTCTGTACACTTCACTAATGTATTTTCCTTTATGGAGCACTTGTTATTTAATTAAAAAGTTTTGTATTTACAAAGTATCTACTTGAAAAGAGGATTGTTAAAGTGGCGAATGTATACTCAAATTGCTCGTTGAAGTTTGTGAATGTACACACGGAAAGTGGTGAATGTACGCTCAAAGTTCTCATTGAAGTTTGCATCACTCTTAAAATATCAATTCTATACCATGTTTTTGAATTACCGGTTTTTGTAAACAGAGAAGACGTTTGAAAAAACTCAAGAGGAGATCGAATCTCGAGCAGATTTTGCACCCGCTTGAGTTCTCCAAAAGGTCTCCTCGGCTTGCTTTAGCCAGTGCAATTACGAAAAACATCTTTTACTTCTTTTATGAAATAAAATTAATGCTGCGAAACAGGAATTTAAAACAAATTCTTTAATTTTTCCTATAACATGTGTTGATGATTGATTTGCAAATTCTCTTTAATGGATTGAGCTCAGATCAGTTTGCACAGGTTCGCCAACTCAGCAAATGACCAATAAGCGCACGCGTTGTATTGTTGTTATTTTATTAAATAGTGATACTTAGGCCTTCTTAATGTTGCTCTGAATTATTCCACAGTCAAAAGGCTGCTAGCTTTTAGCTTTTTTGATTCTTTTTTTGTCGGTTATGTTAACGACAACAAGATGTACTTAAGGAACAGAATTATTTTGTATTGTCTAATAAATTAAGAAAGCTAACAGAAAGAAATAACAGGATAGTATTAACTTATTTCTCTACGACAACAACGAATAGCTTTGCTTCACAGATCTTAGACTATCGCGGAGAAGGGGACAATTGCCCCCCCCCCCTTTTTTCCTTATCTCTTGCTTTGCAAAGTATGAAAGTATAAAAGTCCGGTTTAACAGATACTTACATTTGATAAGAATGGATTTTTAACAGTATTTCATATCTCACTTATGTTTTACTTTCATTTTTTAGTTGACGTTAGATTGATCAATTATAGCACGTTTAGACTGATTGCCGAAGTACTATACCCGGGTTCGGGCAAAAATATGCAGGCCCTTCACACTACGTATTACCCACCAGCTTCGTTTATTTATAATTTCATGTTTTGTAAACAAGTTTTAAAACCATGTGCTGAATACGTGCCTCTCTGTACACGTTACTCAGGTGTTGTCGTTCACATTGGTGCCCGAGCACGGTACTTGGGTACTACCTCTTCCTGATGCCCATACCTGGCCTCTTCATCAAAATGTTGTGTTCATATTGGTGCCCGTGCCTGAGCACCGTAGCAGGGCACTCAGTCTAAATGCACTATATAAACTATACAAACGAAATCAAAACAAATTTTGTATACTGAACGATTCCTGATAAAACAGTTGAAAACAACTGCTAACAATCCGATTCTGCGACCTTTTGCCCCCTCACTTTTCAAACCTCTCAGCGGCCCCTGTATCTGTCCTTAAATCCTCACGACAATGAGTCCAGCAACAAATAGGCAATTATCAAAAACGTTCGGTATCTCAGTGTAGCAATCTCTGTCTCTACATCAATCTTTTGCCATTACTTTTTCTACTCCAACTGTCCGCTGTTTATATACTTCTGAAAGTTACTTAAAAGTTATGACGTATTGCCCTTATTATAAATATGACGTATTTAATCTAACTAAAAATAAAATGATCTAATTACTATGAGTCAGCATGACAAAGCAAAATTGTTAGGCTGACTTTATTTGACATACAAAGTCGCAATGTCGAAGTAAAGTTTTGGAAAGACAAAATGAAATGTTGGGTTGTGTCCATTGGAAAAGATTTCGAGGTCTAAGGTTGAAACATTTAACCCCTTTAAAATGGCGGATATTGTAGGAGAGATACAAAAAAATTGTACTCTACCCAGATGGCCCCAGCCTTATTTTTTCATTTCCACCCAATGAAGTTTAGAGCATACCATTGGCTATTCTGTCATCATTGGACAACACGCAATCCATTACGTCCATATGCGTCTATCTCAAGAGTAAATATACGTGTTGACATTTCGCAATGAAAATACATTACGAATATAGCGGCAAGACATCAGCAAAACTTCAGTACAGTGCAAACTCTACAACAGTTAGTGTTTATGAATGTTTTATGCAGTGCGGTGTTTGAAATTAAATGAAGATATGATCTTCGCACTTTGCTGGACAATTTAAGCAATTGGGCTCATGTAAACATGGGTTCGAATCCCGTTGAGTCACCTGATTTTTTCAGGTCCTGAGACGATTGCTTAAATTGTCCAGCAAAGTGCGAAGATCATATCTTCATTTAATTAGTTAGTGTTTATGATGAAATATTGAGTGCACTAATGCCAAATGAGATGTTTTTGGTAATTGCGTCCGCAGAGCTACGCCACCGCAGTATAGGGAATATACAGTAGAGCCATTTCGTTGTGCAACTGGCTGCTGTAGATTTAATAAGATTACTGCTGCCGTAAGCCATTTCATCTTTCCTATTGGTCAGAAATTGCAATTGACTGGCTGCCACTATGGTAATCACATGCGCAATGAGATATGCGTGGCACAAAAAAATTCAATGAAGTGGCCCTACTGTATGTTCTCTATACTGTGCCACCGCCACGTAAGATTTTCATCCACAATATTTTCTAAAGTTTTTGCCGATTTGACTTGTTTTACTACTGTATGATTGACAGTAACAGGAAAGTCGTGATCTTTAAAGACAGCCAGCCGCTGACGTGAGTCAATGATCATGAATTCTGTTTGCCAATATTTAAGCTTCACTTATTTACTGTTACCCACTGATTAAGACCATGTATTTCAACATTAATATGACTTTCTAGATCAGAGAGAGAATTCCTGCTAAAACTTGTTTGTATCGCTTGAATAAAGTGCAACGGGAATAAACACTTCAAAGGTTTTTCATAATCACCAATGTTGATTTAAGTTATTTTCAAACAAAAATTTTTGCGACCACACGAATTACCGTGTTTATGTGGCCCGCTAATCTAAACACGGTCATCAACCAATCAGAACGCGCTATCCATATGTTTTTTTATAAATTTTAAAAACCGTCATGATAGACTGGTTGCCTTTATCTTTTTGTGTCTAAAAAAAATTCATGGCTTTTATTTTTCATACTGGGAAACTCGTTTGGAGACAGCTTAATACAAATGAGAATTAATAAAGTTCAATTGAAATGCAAATAAAATTCAATACAAATCATTTAAAATGCAAGTTCACAAAAATGTTTTTAGAAATCGCAGGTTATTTTGCCCATTCTCATGGCAACTGCTATCTTTAAAAAATTTAACGGAGTAGTTATTCCTATAAGTTGTTTGAAAAATCGGACATTATATCAAAGACCATTGTCTTCTTGAACTGTTCCTGCACTGTAAATACGAAAATGTTGCTTTTGGAACTAGGTTTATGCTTTGTGTTTTGTTGCCAACGTTTTATTTCTCTCAAAGCGATTGTAAATTCTTAAAGTTTGAAGCGGAAGATGGTGAATACACAGGATCAAAAAAAAACCACGAAGTGCAACTTCATGTCAAGCGACAATTCATCTTGTTTCGCCTCTATCGGTAAAAATTCGATTTACCACGCAATCGTCATGTTCGGTGGCTGTACAAGAGGTCTCATATACAAATGATGGAGGATCAGATGTCATTGAGGTTCACGTCGATGGAAATCTAGTGGGTTCTTTCAATACCAATAAGGAGTCGAAGTCAGGTTCGAACTGGAACGTGGTAAGAAAAAAGAGAATAGTTGGGCAAAAAACAAAGCTTTATTCTGGGTCGCACGAGCTGATACTTAAAGCTGCGAAAAAGGATGTACATGGTGTTGAGCTCGACAAGACGATTCTCAACCTCAACTGTATTTCTTCGGCTCAACAAAATCCGCTGTGCACTAACATTAACTCTTTGACTAGTGGTACACAATGCAGCAATTCTCCTATCGCAATTCGCAACAGCACCAGCACTCTTTGTGCGGAGGAGGACAATGTGAACATTCCCATCTTCTACAGCGGAAATTCATTACGAATATGGCGGCAAGGCGACAGCAAAACTTCAATACAGTGCAACCTCTACAACAGTTAGTGTTTATGACATAACATACACATCAAATTCACTCATACCGTTTGCAACGTTTCGTTCCATGTGGGTTGCGGATGGGAATGCCGATGTAGACCATATAAAAACCCATCAAAATTCTTGGCATATACATAGTGAGTGGCAGTCGATTTCATCGTCATCTTTTAAATTCTTTCGATCTTGTGTGTCAAAGAACAACACGCTTAGCCCAGATATACTAATTGTTGTCAACTGCAAAACACCTAATTCTAGCAACAAAGTAAACATATCACATTAGACACTGGTTCTGCTTTTCTTTTTTTTTAAATTTTACACTGCATAATCTACTGTATGGCTATTTAATTCAATACTTTCTAAACCAAGAGCATTGTACCACGACGACAATTAATGCACGGAGAGCTCTTGCAGAGTGGCCGGTTGCACGAAGGGTAGACAAATTTATTAATTGGAAGAAGACTTTCGCTGACGAATGGAACTGATTGTAGAAAATTTTGGTTATTTAGTGAAAACTTCGTTACTTTCAACTTAATGCTTTTTTCAATCAATTGCCAGATCGTAATGATACAAAAAAAATGATATCCAGTGGAATGAATAGATAGAAATATCTAGTCTTCGCGTGTAACTAATAGTCTCTTAATACTTAAAATACATAATGTTTTGCACAAATACAGACAAGGTATATTAAATGTTCGTGAAATGTACAGTTGTATGAATTTTCTTTGAAATCCTGACTTATACCGAGCTATAATGTTGTTTTAGTTGATTTCTGCATTTTAAGAAATGAAAACTATTTTTTTATCATTCATCGACATCGAGAGTCGTTGTGCAAATGTTAACCTTCGCTATTTTGCATCAAGCAAAGATTTCTAGGCTTTTTAATCAGGTGCAGAAAAAAACCTTCACACGTTACGGACGTTTGATGTTACTGTTATGGTGCGTTGATCTTTGTCTTGTATGTTAAGAGACCTTGTCGTTTCAGTTCGCCCACAATCCCACCAATGATTTCTTACCCAATCCCCTACATGTCTTACCACCGTTATCAAGGTGAGGCAAGGACGCCATACTAAATAGTGGCAAAAAGTGAGACTCTTAAGGCAAACATTACTTAAAAGATAGTTTAAGAAACGAATCGTATCAAACAATTTGAAATTTACTATATATTAACGTAGAAAATACATTTTGGTTGTATATATCGTCAAAAGATAGCGGCTAGCCTCACTTGCAACCATAGAGTTTCGACGAAGTCAAGCTGTTAGTTTTTTTTGCTGTAGCTCTTTTCAGTTTAGATTTGGTGTTTCTTGACTAATTATTTTGACAAAGCTACAATGCCCACAAAAATCATAATGTTAGTTGTTTACGGCCAAAATGAGGTAATCTATATAAGGAAGAATGTATGTAGTCATTTGTGGGATAGGTCTCTTCACTAGTTCGTTGATAATTGTTTGCAAAATTTGATAATTATTTATCATCTTCAAGGAATCAGAGCCAAGATATTTACTTATAATATGACAGCAGGATCAATTGTACAGATATATTGAGAAAGATTGCCGTTTTTACGTACATTGCATCTTTAGAGGAGATGTGATCATTATATCTGCAACTTAGGATTCAATCCAATGCTTTACGATGGATTAGATTATATACAATTGGGGATTATCCACGAAACATACTCCTCGAAAAGCATTTGAATTTATCGGACAGAAAATATGGATGAATAGAAGAATTATTGTAGATATGATGCTCTGTATCATCTGAGCTCTGTGAAATACTTATGGGTTATTGCCACTGAACATGTGATGACTGTGCTGTGACGTTGCTAGGGAACAAGAGGTCATGTCCTAGCAACTGTTGTTATGACAGATTTTGAGATTTTGCGAAATATGATAAAAAATGGAGGGATGGTTGTAAATAGCAATTGTTATTGTGCGCTTTGTCATTCTTCCTATAATTATGATAAATACAGTATCACAATAGTAAATTTATCATCATAATATTGCTATAGTTAAAATTAACCATATTTCATAAAGCAACTAATGTAATCGTACATAATACGCTGTGTATATGAAAGTAGTTCCACCATTTGTGAAATGGACGTTATAAACTTCATATGTGATTTAACCGCAATAAGTCCATCTTAAATACTAAGAAAGGTAGATTACTACTTCCCAAAACCTAATAGCAGGGATGGCAAAGCATATTTTTCATTGAGTGGCGGGAGGACTATTGATCGCCAAACCCTGAAAGTTGGTGCAAGTGTTGGAAGCTGAGACAGCTCTAAAAAATTCAAAATGGAGACAAAATTATTGGGAGGGCTATAACATACCAATCTCACTCATGCTCTGCAGTATCTGTGTGAGGTTTTCATATTATCGCAAAGCTTGTGTGAAAATATTGGAAATAACTACAAACAAACGCATTTTTCAAGAAACCCTTGGAGCAAGCATCGCCACCCCCTCCCTCCTTTCCAGTCTGAACAAACTAGTCACCTTACTGAGGGACGTGAATCAAGATAACTCAATTATCGTCAAAATAGACCGAATACAAGTGGAAATTATAAGAATGTAAAGCATTTCAGGTTAATAACTCGTGATAAAAGTGGTGTGACTAAACGAAAACGAAATTAGATATCACTTTCTTTTAAATTGAAATTGAAGACGAAAATGTTATTTTTGGAAATGAATGTATGCTCTTTGTTGCTTATAGCATTGCGTGTACCTCTTAAACTTATGGCGAACATATAAAGTTTGAAAAGAAAGGTGGTGTTTTCGCATGATTGAAAAGATTACGAATTGCTGCGCCCGCTGAAACGACGATTCATGTTGTTTCGTCTCATTCAGTCCGAAAAACCAATTCATAATAAACTTATGTCGAATGTCGATCGCATATAAAGAAAAAACAATCAAAAGTCTTGGCTTAATAAAGTGAGTGGTAATTGACTTTATATTCGCGTAATTTTTTTCACATCAATTTTAGTCTATACAAATATGCTCTTTGTTGTGCTGAAATAGCTTTTGAAACAAAAGTTATATATTTTCAAAAATCAAAAATGGATTTCCATTATTGGATTGTTGTTCAAAATTACATGAAATTGAGGCTGATGACGTCTGTAATTTGAATATAAAGGACACTTTTCTCTAGAAGGACTTGTCATCTGAAATATAATAATTTCTCAGTAATTTTTTTAGTGAGAGTTGAAGTGAGAATATGACAGTATTTCAAGAGTGCTCGAGGATTGTTCAGTATTCATTATGAAAGCTAAAAGCCGGTCTCAGTGTCGTTTCAGTCGTCTTGGTTGAGTTTATTCAGTCTTCCGGATTGAACTCTTTCCTATCTGCTGGAATTCTAGTGAACGAATCGGGCGACTATTTGAGAACCAGGCTTTAGGTATTTAATTAATCGCCTATATGGCTATCCGAAAGATCGAAGATGCCTAAGATATTCGCAACAACATCGTAACATTTCGTTTTACCACCTTTTAAATCTGCATGTTATTTATAGTTTTGCGTAAACAAGCGTAGGTGCTCTCATTGGCAAGTATGTGTATTTACATATGTGCAAAATATATTAGTTTGATACAATAATTTGAGCTCGCGAATAAAGAAGACTTACTCAGTATGATCTTATTAGCATTTAGATTGCTCTTAGAAAGCCCACTTAAAATTTGTCGTATACCCGAAGCAGGTTGATCAAAAATTACTGTCATTCGCTTAAAAATTAGAATGGTTGTACATAACTTGTGCTTCACGTCTCGTTTTACACGGGCTTCACCTAGTTCGGAGTTTCGAACGTCCTCCAAGACATAGGTATACAAAAAGTCAAGGACACCTATTATATATTTTATAAGTGGTCTATATATTTTCGCTAGTATGTGCTCTATAGCTCTTTGACTTATATAACTGTGGAACATCACGCTGATTGGCTGAACGGATTGTTCCTTTGTATTATTGGCAATTCCAGCTCAATAAGTTGCTGGCGACCGTAAAGACGTTATGTTATTTATACACATTGGGTATTTGGCTATGAGAAAGTTAAAAAAGCTCTTATTCTTCGTGTTGGCTTTGACTATCCTATTCTATTTTTTCAATTCGCTTTACGTTAGCCAGGAACCAGGGGCTCTTATTGATGTCAATATCAGTGGAATAAAGAAAGACAACTATTATTTTGTAACTGCTATAACTTCCAGTGAATTCGACTGGCTGTTGAAATTCATGGACACAGCTCTCGCTCAAAATGAAGACGTGAATGAACTGATGTTTATTATATGGACTCTAAATCTGCGTACGTGTGAAACGGAGTATTTGACACGTCAAGTTCGATTTAACGTGAAAGTCTATCGCTTTCCATACCATTATCATCCCCTTCACGTCAGGTTGTATCATATAGCGGCGATAAAACCCATTGTACTCAAAAAAATGGTGAACATGTACGGCGAAGCTGTTTGGATTGAACCGCACACCGAACCGTCATTCTCGTTGTCTGCCATTTCACTAAAATTGAACCTTAAAGGGTCCATGATGGTCAGTACTTCAAGAAAATTGCCCGAAGGACAATGTGTGGTCAATGTAGTTGGTTTCAGCCTACTTAGATTCTTCTCCTTTTTGACAGAGTGGGAGTCATGTGCTATAAACGCATCTTGTATCGCCGAAGCAATTGGCAAAAAGGATGATGATGCTCCACCAGGCACAGATCGATTGTTCAAATTCGTAAGAAAGAAACGACATTTGCGTTGTGAAATTTTAGGCGTAAAGTATGATCGCAATTTTGCAGATGACTCTTCGCTCATTTTTAAAAATTGGAACCAGTATCGCCATACTTGTCGGCAACATGAAGGCTGTATTTTAACAGGTACGTTTTTAATCGATGAACAGCGCATTGTTGTACAAAATGACAGGTTCTTAGTGTTTTAAGAGGTTTTTAAGCTAATTTTGACAATTGGGTAGACTATTTGTGATTGAAACATCATAACAGTCAAATTTACACGCAATGAAGTGTTATTAGACCTCATGCTGTGCTTTTGAACGTGGCACAGCGATTGCCACGTCGATGTTTGACGATTGCAGCAGGAGTTAGAGCGTGAAATTTATAAGATTTTAAGCTGTTATTTAAAAATAAAAGCTTATTCTAGTTTTTGAATTAAACTTATGGGAGTTAACTTTTCACAAGAGGTACTATTTTACGTTTGCTAATTACACATCATATTTCTCCCTTGATTTTATACGCCAATTTACTGTCTCATTCAAACTTCTGCAATTTGCATGTACGACATGAACATTTTCAATCGATTGATTCCAATCAAATCGATAACTATCTATCAAAATTAAGTTTACGTAGTGTAACATGTAATATAGCTATCAAACGTGCTTCATCATGAATCATGATCTCAAAACTCGCATCTATGTATCGTAATTTATATTGCATCATAAATTATCCTAATCATGCATAATTTGTCACATGCCTGCACACAAAATTGCACTGAATACATATTTTCAGAAATACACGAATGTATTTCAAAATTAAAGTGCATTTTTATTCGATTTTTTCCTGGTAAAACAATTCATTCACCGAAATTGACATATTTTACCATTTGATTCGTAGGAACCCACAAATATTTTCTGGATTGTCTTAATCCAAACCTTCCACGACTACGTAAGAACAAGCAAAAGTATGCAGCGCACCACGGCTACGCTTATCTGGAAGAGACGTACGGGTTCCATCGCGATGCACCGTGCCACAAAGTTTGGAATAAAGTACACGCTATTTTTAAGTATCTTCCTGACTGCAAACTGTTACTTTGGATCGATACAGATGCAATGTTTGTTGATATGAAGAGATCTCTTAAGGACGCTATGAACTCTGATGAGTTAGATCTTCTTGCTGCTTGGCCGCCCGAGGACAGAATGTTGAACGCTGGCGTTCTACTTATGAGAAATACTGCCACCGTGCGCGAGTTTTTCATAAATGTAACATCTGGTCGAACTTGGAAATATAACTGGTGTACAAAATCAGCTTTTGAGCAAGCTGGCATTGTCGATCAGCTGAATAGTGGAAGCATGAAAGGAAAATCTCTAGTCGAGAGAAAGAGGAACGCGTTGCAGACTTTGTGCGGTTATCGTGACAAGGACAACGATGATTGTTCATTTCCAACTAAAGAAGATTTCATATTCCACGTTGCGCCTTCAAAATGTCCTCAAATGCTTTACCTTCTCAACAATTTTTTCGAAAAGAATCCTCACTTGTGGTAATATGCACGTGGTCACTAACGCACTCTTTATACATGTACGTTATCTTACTAAAAAGGATATCGATGTAAAGACTAAAGAGTGCTAACAATTGACCATTGAAAGTGTAAGCAACCTTAAAACGAAAAATATCAAGCCTGGGTTTGCCTGGCATACGCATGTAAATACTTTCCTGTTATATTCTCATTTGTTAGTTTTACAAATCAATCTATTGTGAAATTTTAATCGTGATCACTATATGCTAAACCTACGGGTGAATTACTGTCCATGTTTTGCTGATAGAATTTACGTCAAATTCCCAGGAACAGAAAAGCATTTGTGCTTGTGCGTTATATGAGCTACAGGAGTAGCGATGTGTCCACATACGTAGCTTACAATACTTTATGCACCTGCAGGATAGGCAAATTCTCCTCATCTTGTGGACGCTGTCTGAGAGAATAGAACCTGTCGGCCAATAACTTGTGCAACCGTTGTGACGTCATTTCAGGTTCAAACTAGAGATTTCTATGAAGCGATATCACTTCATGGAAATCATGTAAACAATCAAGTTTATGTCGTGGGAAACTTGGGGGAAAAGAAGGATGGAATCCGATCCTTGTATTTTTGCTACTCACTACCTATTGAAATTAAGGTTAAGGAGTATGGCCAATAAAATGAAACAATTTGCAATCTTAGTATGATTCTACGAATATATCTGTATATATTATAGCCAGAGCTGTCAGATACTAAATTATACCCCATTATCTTGGTTTTGAAACGTGTTTTTTTAATATTATTTCGGAAGATTGAAAAATTTGATATATGAAGTGCTCATGTAGTTTTTAGAAATATAAGTAGAAGAAAAATTTTCAACAGTTTTGCGTTTTTGCGTGTACTAAACATACGTAACATGTACATTAAACTGCAGTAGAATCCAATCACTCGAAGTCTGACTTTGCAAAAATTCTATTGATATGAATGAGTGAGAGAGCCCTCCACCTTGCAAGTTGGCAAAACTGCAAAGCGGCAAAACAAACCCCACTTAACATCTAACATCTGGATTCTAAAAGCTCACCCATCACAACAGAGGGCGTCTTCAAAATCACCACATAATTATTCATAAGGGGCATTTTCACTCCAGTTATAGCTTGATTTGAAGTATTTTACTACAAATGTAGCACTTAAAGTGCTTATATTACGAATTTTAGCCCCCATTTTTATGAGCTTAATTGAAAATTTGGATTATGTGAAGAACTATGACATGTCGCTGGACTTAAACAGATATAAGTTCTTTCACGACTTTGAACGTCCGTAAAATCACCTTCACCAATCTAATTTCAATTATAATTGCAGATTTAAAATCACTGAAACAAGGTCTTTCAATTTAGCTAATAAAAAAGGGGGGCTAAAATGCGTAATATAAACACTTTAATGATTGTCGATGTGAGTTAGCTTTTCGAATACGCGGGTATAAGAATAATTAGCGTTGCCAGATGATTTGTTTGTAAGATTTATAAAAAATCAAAAATAATTGTTCCATATTTTATTCAACAAAAGCGTTTATTCCATTTGCTTCATTTAACTGTAGAAAGATCATGCTGACTGTCTGAACTGATTGTTCATTTGTATTTGGGAACATCCAGATTATTGGCAATTCCTGGCGTTCATACGGACTTTCTATTATCTGTACACATGAAGTGTAGGTCATGTTAAGGTTACGAAAGATCTATAAGGTTTTTACAGTTGCGTTGGCTGTGACTATCCTATTCTATTATATCCAGTCGCTTCACAATAATCAAGATTTGCTGATTGCTAATGCAAATGACTATCGAATTAAACAAGACAACTATCATTTTGTAACCGCTATAACCTCCAATGAATTCGACTGGCTGTTGAAATTCATGGATACAGCTCTCGCTCAAAATGAAGACATGGATGAATTGGTGCTCATTATATGGACTTTAAATCTCCGTAAATGTGAATCGGAGTATTTGACACGTCAAGTTCGACTCAACGTGAAGGTCTATCCTTTTCCTTACCATTATCATCCCCTTCACATCAGGTTGTATCATATAGCGGCGATAAAACCCATTGTACTAACAAAAATGGTAAACATGTACGGCGAAGCTGTTTGGATTGAACCGCATACCGAACCGTCATTTTTGTTGGCCGCCATCTCAAAAAAATTGAATCTTAAAGGGTACATGTTTGTGAGCACGTCGAGACACTTGTCTGAAGGACAATGTGTGGTCAATGTGGTTGGATTCAGCTTGTTTAGACACTTCTCCTTTTTAACGAATTGGGCGTCGTGTGCGAAGAACGCGTCTTGTATTGCTGAAGTAATGGCCAAAGAGGAGGATAGTGCTCCTCCTGGCACAGATCGTTTGTTTGAGTTTCATAGAAGGAAAGAAAATGTGTCTTGTGAAATTCTAGACGTTATCAATCATCGCAATTTTGCATATGACCCGTCCTTCATTTTTAAAAATTGGAATAATAAATATCGCCATATTTGTCGGCAACATGAAGGCTGTATTTTAACAGGTACGTTTTAACCGGTAAACTGCATATTTGTGTAAAAAATTGTTAAAAGATTTTTGTGGTTTTATGGTGAAGGTTTTTGAAGCCAAATATAAGCCATGTTTATAGATTATTCATGAATGCAATTTTACGACTTGCAGTCAAATTTACATGCAATAAAGTGTTCTTAAGACCTCATGCTGTGCTTGAACGTGGGAAGGCGAACGCCACGTCGATGTTTGATGATTGCAACAGGAGCTAGAGCGTGAAAGTTGTAAAACTGTCAGTTATTATTCAAAAAGCAAGCGTCGGTCCAGTTTTTAAGTTTCTGGAAGTTACATCTTGCTAGGAATAATGTTTTACGTTTGCTAATTAGAAATGATCCATTGCCTTAGATTTATTGTACAAATTTACTGTCCGACTCAATTTTCGCATGTACAGTGTACGAATTCATTTATTTGTATCATCATATCTTATCCAAAGTATGTCTAAGTGATGCGACTTGTGAAGTAGCTGAAGACGTTTCATGATAATCTGAAAACTCAAAAATATGCATCGGTAATTTTCATAGCCATAGGAAGTCAGGAGCCATCCTAATAATTCTATATTTATCACGTGCCTTTACATAAATCGCATCATTTCATTCATTACTCCGGATATGCACATTTATTTTAAACATGGTACGATTTTTTTTGTTCTCATTCCGAGTGTCGACCAATTCAAGTACTTTTTACTATTTTGACCTTACGACTTGCAGGAAGCCATAAATTTTATTTGGAATGTCTTAATCCAAACCTTCCTCGACTACGTAAGAACAAGCAAAAGTATGCAGAGCAGCACGGCTACGCTTATCTGGAAGAGACGTACGGGTTCCATCATGCTGGACCCTGTCACCAAGTTTGGAATAAGGTACACGCTATTTTTAAGTATCTTCCTGACTGCAAACTGTTGCTTTGGATCGATACAGATGCAGTCTTCATAGACATGAAAAAATCTCTTGAGGCCGCTATGCCTTCTAAAGAGATAGACCTTCTGATTTCCTGGCTACCAAAGGACAGAATGCTGAACGCTGGCGTTCTACTTATGAGAAATACAGCCACCGTGCGCGAGTTTTTTATAAATGTTACATCCGGTCGAACTTGGAAGTATAACTGGTGTAGAAAATCATCATTTGAACAAGCTGGCATTATCGATCAGATAAATAGTGGAAGCATGAAAGGAAAATCACTCGTCGAGAGAAAGGAGCACGCGCTGCAGACCTTTTGCGGTTTTCGTGATAGGGATAGCGATGATTGTTCATTTCCATCTGACGAAGATTTCATTTTACACCCTGCACCTTCAAAATGTCCCGAACTGCTAGACCTTTTTAATAATTTTTTTGACAAAAACCCTCACTTGTGGTGATATACACGTGGTCAAAAACGTTCAGTGCATGATTTTTTCGATTTGTTATTCCACTAACCGCAGTATATTATGACTGGAGACACACATTCATGCTATCACATAACTCAAACCGCAAACGTATTTTTAGAATGAATGTTGTTTTAACCTTCTGTGGTCATACCGTTTGGGGCATCAGACTAAACTCCCTCACTTTTCTTCATAAAGGAAAAGTGTCCACTTACTTTTTAGGAGGAAACTCAAAACATACTGACATAATGAAAAAGGACATAAAATGATGGTATCGTTGTTATGGAAAATAAAAATTGACTGTTTTATAGTCGTTTTTTGTCACAGCTCATAATGTATATACAAAAATAAAACTAACTTTGAAAAGCTGCAGAAGATTTCAGTGTTTGCTATTTACTCCAGCAAGCTCTTTCGCAACATATAACGCACTTTGTATCACTTTCTACTGTGTTTGCACTTTTGGATTGAATCTACTGCTTACAGTATGAAAAGAAAACATGTTACTGCCAAAGTTGTAAATATTCCAAATTTCTGAAAATTTTCCCCCTCTTTTATTGTTCGGTATCCGACGCCCCTACATTAACGTAGCCAAGCAAACGAAGTACGTTGTAGGCAGTGACTTAGCCAGCCCGCACATTTGGTCCTGCTATGTAAATATTTCTGTGTTCACTCACTGTAAAAAAATACATTTCTGAAGAAAAGAATAACACTAATGTTCTAAAATTCACATAGCAGGACCAAAACTTGCCGGCTGGCTACGCCACTGTTTCTCGTTCGAAGTTATTCGTAAATTGTGTTCCTGCAAATAAATTAAAAGCTCTATTTGGTGTTTTTCTTTATTTTTATATCAATAGGAAAGACCATTGTGCTCTATTATAACGAGTGTTGGGAAAATGTTTATGTCGTAAGAGATAGGGGAGCCACTGTGCCACTCCACTCTAAAAAAGACCAGGGGCAGCCTGGTTCAAAGCTACGCCACTGGATGTAGGGCATTTATTTGCACTCTAAAAACTCTCTGGTTATTTCTAACCCTGATGGGGCTTAAATTTTGACTGTATTCCTAGTTGATTGTCCACGAAACATCGTCTACCAGCGTGTTTTTAGAGTGTGTTGTTGCAGGTTGCTGCCATTTAGTTTATAAATAATCAAATCATGTTTTTGCCGTTTATATGGTCAATGTCTGAAATCCAATAAAGAAACTTTCCAACCTCATACCATCCAAACAAAATAACTTGAACTATTTTATCAAACATTTAGAAAAGATTTTGCAGTTTTGAAGACATTGTTCCAGTATGGAAGTTTTCCTATCGTATATTTCTTTCGGAGTTTGCCAATTCATTCTCGGACTAGCCTATATGCCATAAGTACCATGGAACATGGACCACTTGGGCTCCTACCAAGAAATTAAAATCACGCCCCTTACTAAACACACCCATATAATATCAATGTGATTGAACTTTAAGGAAATTTTTGATTTCTGTACATGTGAAAAGTCTGACCTAGAACAAACTCATACTTATGAGAACCCAGGAATGTGGAAATGCTTGAGACCAGCGTCCACGCCTTCAGGAATGAAACAACTTCTTTTTCATAGCACTAGGTTATTTTTACTATAGCAATGACACTAAAATCTGAACAGACTGAACTTTTTCTAAAATGTATAAATTGTTATTTATAACGATATACAAGGCAAATCCCTTGATGTTTTATACTGCAGAATACAATAAAATCTTTATTTGAGACAATGAAGTCTAAATTAATAAATTTTGCAGTGACAGTTTCCAGGAGGGGGCATTATAGTGACAATAAGGCCCCTAAACTAGAGCCAGTCTGAGTCTGGTCAGTTTTCCTCATCTTCAGAGCGCTATGAAGATATTAATGGCGCTGACACGAAAGATAACTTAAAGTTCCTCAGATTTTTTGGCAATTTTTATGCAGTGTTTATTATAAGTAAACGCATACTTTCAAGGATATTAGTGATGAAATGTCCCGAAAACCGAGGCATAAGGGAACATTTAATCACTAATATCCCAAGCGTTTACTTTGTAATCACATGGTTACGGAGGGAATAATCAATGCATTAGACTGTTCAGTTTGACAATAGTTTCATCAAATTTTGAGCTCACTTATTTGAATATTGACAACCAATTCATTTTGAACACAGACCGAACGCCTAATAAATTAGGCGTTTTGAAGATTTTCATCTTCAAAAAAATTAAGTGTGGAGTGCCACAAGTTTCTATTTAGGGCCATTACTGTTTTTGCTTTATACATCCAAACCTCGAAGCAGTTTTGCTCCACAATCCACACCAACAATTTGCCGCTATGCCTATCAAAAACAAAACCAGAAGTGGTTATGTTTGCTGATGATACAAATATATAACTGCTTTTGATGACTCCCTATCATCTGGAAGCTTCCGTGAATTCTGATTTAGAAAACCTTAGAAAATGGCTCAGTAATTGTCAATAAACTTAGTCTTGACGTTGTGAAATCAAACAGGGAATTTATTTTAATTTTCTCAAAACATTTATCAACATATATTTCAAAGTAAATTTTATATTTGAACACAAACGTGTTTAACGATTGCACGAGTGCAAAATATGTCAGAATACATGCCCATTTATTTTCAATTCAAAATACTTACACAGCAAATTCCATAGAGCAAATATTTTGGTCTTGAAATACTCTTTAGAAATATGCAACCAATAGCTTTATAGTATAGTATTTTAAATTTTAAGTAAGCCGCGTTTTTATCTTAGAATATCATTTTCATGCTCACGTTAGCCATTATCAGAGCATACTTCATTGTTTAATGAAGTGGATAAGTGGAAAAAGGTTGTTAATATAACTTAATTTATGCTCTTAATAAGAGATGTATATTACAAAGTTTGTTCCACAGCTGGCCTCGCAACTCCGCCTAACGTCACTTCAAAACATGGCATCACAAATGAAAGAAGGGTGGGAAAGAAAATTCGTCGATGGGATGTGTAAATATTTGAAGAATGGCTGGAAACTTAGCTTGGGTTTATGGACCCAAATACGTGGCACGTGGCTCAAAGACTTTTCTTCATCAACGCGTTCAAGTGAATCGGTTGTTTACAACCATTTCGATGCCTTCTAGTAATGTCTACGCGAATATTATCAAATGTTTTTCCCGTCAGATTTATGCGTTTGTACATTACAAGCGTCGTTGCTGTGATTATAGTATTCGTAGTATTCCATTTTCATTACTTAAATTGGAACCCGGGAAACAAATGCAACCTACTCGCTAAGGAATTGTATGTCAATAATGCTCAAGAACGAATCAGGAAAGACAACGACTATCTGGTTACGGCAATAAGCTCATACGAATTTGAATGGCTGTTGAAATTCATCGATCGATTAATCGCTCAAAGTAACGGCTCTGACGACTTCGAGTTTATAATATGGACTTTGAATCTCCGTACTTGCGAATCGGAATATTTAACGAGGTTGCGAAGACCTAGAATTAGGTTATATCGCTTTCCTTATCATTTTTATCCGCTGCACATGAGGCAATATCATATAATTGCATTAAAGCCGATTGTCATATCGAGGACGATTGCCATGTACGGAGAAGCCATTTGGATTGAACCAAACACACAATTATCGTTTCTTCTTACTGATATATCACGAACTTTGAATCACGGAGGATTTGTTCTTGGCAGTGCAACAGCGTCGGAATCCTCTCCGCAATGCCCAGTTGGCGTTCTTGCTCTCAGCATCTTCAGACACAACTCCTTTTTGACGGATTGGGAATGGTGCGCAAAAAATGAGACATGCATCGCTAAAGTATTGGAGAAATCGAATGACGAAGCGACATCCGTTGTAGACAAGTTGCTGGAATTTCATAGAAAGAAGAAAGGTCTTAGTTGTTCGACTTTGCCGCTTATAAGTGATCTCGAAACCAAAACTGGATCATATTTTGTTCATGAAAGCTGGAAGAAGAAACACAGTAAAGAGTGTCATCAACATGACGCATGTATATTATCAGGTATTTAAAAAATGATCTTTATATTTGTATATCAAAAGGGGTTTTCCATATTATTATTATGATTTTAAGTATGCCTCTTAAATTTTGAGGAATCGTTTCATTTTTGCGTGTAATGTAATTAAAGTTCTGGCGAATTGTCAAAATATTATGGACGCTGTCTGAGACCATATATAGAGCTTTTCAGCCTGAGATTGTTGTGACGTCATTTAAGTTACGAACTAGAAATTGACACGAGGAAATATATACTTTCGCGTTTAGCGTTGTACATTATTCCGATGTTTGGTCCAAATGTAAGACCAGTAACTGGAAAGCTCTTATGTTTTTGTGAATTTTAGTACAATTTGGTTGTGGGGCTTTTGTACTTTAGCAGAATTAGGCAGTATAAGAACTGTAGGAACTAGGAACTAGGTCTATAGGAACTAGGTCTATAGGAACTAGGTCTATAAGAACTAGTTCTATAAGAACTAGTTCTATTGGACTAGGTCTATAGGAACTAGGTCTATAGGAGCTTAGTACAGTTAATACTAGACGGATTGAGCAATTACTACTAGACGGATATAATACGGTCAGTCAAGTGGGTAGTTTGAATAACGCGTTTGAGTATGATAGGCTATTTCCCATGTTAGTACATAATAAAATCTAGATAAAATATTATAAGCACGTTACGTACGTCAACGTCACTAAACATGTCACCATGAAGAAAACAAGCAAGTTCAACGAGACAGATCGAGGCCTTTTTTTGCTACTCGAAGTTCATTGAAAATTAGATGGCAATCTAGTAGAGAAAAACAATTAAATTAAAGCATTTGCAAGAGAACACTGGTGTGATTCGAATAAATTGTACTTTACCCGTATATTAGGCTGTATCTTTTTCTCATAAAGAAAAGGGCTAATTGTAATAAAATATCTTCATTTTTGGTTTTGTGCATTTCCTGTTGACGTTGTTTTTTTAAAAAAGCGAACGATAGTCAACCTTTTTTTGAATTGAGTAGCGATAAAGCAACGCAAACATGATGAATATTTTCGTTTAACACGGTATGCATGTCCTAACCTAACATCAACCTAACCTAACATTGGCGGAGGATAAAGTTCAAGAGGGAGGGGATTGGAAGGACCTAAGATCAGACTGCTTTATAGGTACATTGATCACTCCACCAATAGTAGAGGATATCATTTGAAACCTTCATGGTACTTGTGACTTCGTGGTCGTGATTGTTTCTTGAAATTAATATTTTTTATCGAACAGACGTACCTTCCAAGAACGTTGTTGCTCCAGTACCCCAGCTTAAAGTTGCATGATTCCGGTTCGAATCGAAAGCAATGATTGATATATATATCTTGCAGTATCTTTATCTTTTTGTATTGTAAACTTAAATGAAAAGTATTTTATAGCAGCATGGTGAGGCAAAACGAACTATAGCTGTAAATTTTAAACTCAAAATAGGTTTATAAAATTGTTATTGGTTATGAACTTGCAGATAATACATTCCTATCAATCAATAAATAGTCTCTTGCATAATTAATTCTGAAAACTATTGACCTTATCCTGCTTTTTTATTAGACTTTTTTTCTTTAGCATAAATATAAAATTCATTTCTTAACTTCTTTATGACTATCGTAATTCTTGCAGGGAGTCACAAGTTTTTTCTCGGTTGCCTTAATCCAATTCTTGGTCAACTGCGTGAAAATAAATTGAAGTATGCCAAGCGACATGGCTACGTGTTCTTGGACGAGACATTTGGCTTCCATCGTCCTGCTCCTTGCAACAGAGTTTGGAACAAGATACACGCGATTTTAAAGTATCTTCCCGACTGCAAACTTTTGCTGTGGGCTGATACCGATACCATGTTTGTTAATATGGAGCAAACACTGGAAGCAATAATGAAATCCTATAAAGTAGACCTTCTATTAAGTTGGCCACCTAAGGCGAGACAATTTAACGCCGGTGTAATGCTCATGCGCAGTACGCCGAGCGTACGCGAGTTTTTCATCAATGTTACAATTCGAAAAACGTGGACGCATAATTGGTGTTCAAATTTTGGATTTGAGCAGTCTGCTATTGCAGATCAGCTCATTAATACAACAACTGTGAAGTACTTTGTTGAGAGAGAATATACGTTGCAAACCACGTGCGGTTATCGTGGAAAGCAGTGTGATTTAACTGAAAAGGATTTTATTTTGCACCCTGCTGTTGTCGATTGCCCTAACTTGCAGCCTTTTTTCCAGACATTTTTCGACAACCATCCCAAATTTTTTTGATTCCAGATACTGTATTCAAATTGATGGATACTTAATGGAAAGTTTGATTGTTCAATGAAAAATGGTCAAACACAAAGTTTTATGTTTGTATTTTTTTAGAGGAAATAGCTATAGGCGAGTGTACAACGAAACAAGCAACCATGAAAAGTTGTGACATTGATATGGACGACAAGAGATGAGATCTCAAAATTATCTCTACTGTAAGTGAAAAATTCCTTCAACAACAAAAACATGAAATGCGTTAACTCAAGACCAAGCGATGGAAATAATGTGTCACTTATGATTGTCAATTTATGAGGTTTATGTATTAAAACAAGCTGTCAGTGATGAGATTTATAGTTACGTTTCTTACAGTATTCGATTTCTTTTCCTGCACAAGCAAACGTACTATTACAGTAATATACAGTTTATGCAAAACAGTAACCAGAGACAATCATTGAAATGAACTGTTTCATGAAATGTTTCACCAGTGCTATGGCCAACCCAGCAATACTGCTCTCTGACTCTGTCATCAGCTATGTCATTGTGAAATTAGTGCATTGAAAAACAATAGATGTTTTGTTAGAATATATGTTATTTACCGGCTGGGATGTCCGTGCAGAAAAATTTTTTCGAGGTATCAATTGAATAGGTCTCAAAGTCGCTAGAATATAGAAGATTCATCGAGAATAAAATAAAGTAAGTTTCCTTTCAACAAACACGGATATGCCGGTCACAATCCCGGAACTTGTGCGGTCTAGCTCTCTACTTTTGTGTAGACTTGTCACCTTTTCAAGAACGTGCAAAGAGGGAGGATTTAAACATTTACTTCCCAAGTTTTTTGCTTCTTTGATTTTTGGATGGTTTCTTCATGTTTCCATAACAGCAATGCTGGGAGACAAAGGGTAAAGTAAATGTATGTAAAATGCACGAGTAGGTTATGCAAGTCAGCGTATTGTACTTTTCGAGAATTTGCACAGAAGAGGACAATTATGTACTTTGGTTGCGTAACTACAAAGATCAAAGACATAATTTTAGGACATACAAAATAGAAAACGACTGACTTCTCTACTTTCCACATCACAGAAACTTCAATTGTTTCAGACACAGGAATGAAGAAAGCATGCAAGCATTTTTCTTAAAAAGTGAAATTTTACTACGGAGGTTTATGGGTTTTGTACGTAAAGTAATAAAAAGTTTCGTGATGTAGACAATTTAATTTTTGTACTATCTGTTTTACATACACACACGCAAAGGTAGCGCAAGCTTATTCTTTTTTGCTGGGGGGTGGGGTGAAGGCAACTGTACCAGCACAACATCAGTACTCTTCCCATACCGTTTAAGGTACTGTACGAGTACTGTGCAATGATTTAGAACCCAATCCTCTAGATGTCTAACTACCGTGTCAAACTGAGGCCAGGACGCCATCTTGAAAGGTGGCAAAAAACAAAACTCAAAATGAAAAGTCAAAACAAAGTTTAAAAAACCCATCCTATAAAAAAATTTTAAGGAACTAACCTAGATTATCAATTTTGCAACTGTATATCAACTCAGCAAAAGCAGATGTTAGTCTCCGTCTCCAAGTTCCATCCGCAGAAATACCAACATCACAAATGCCATCATCTTCAGAGTCATAAAACTCCTTCACGCCTTGTGCTGCTCTCTCCATACTATCATTAGCTACATGTTTAGCAGCTGCATGGATTGCTTGGATATGATCAGTATAGGAATTGACATTCATAGGTGGCAACATATTCATAATGTTACAAAACTTCACCAATCCCTGATGGCCAATTCCAATATTTCTCATAGACAATACAGCCCTCCTGTTTACTTCGAAAGCTTTTGAAGTGTTATCAACGCGCTTTGAAGTGTAAAAATTTTGGAAATAAGAGCACTTTGGCAGAGAACATTGGACAGACATTGAGGATGAAAGTCCCATTTTGGCCACAGCATTTTCTTTCAAAACCACATGTCCTGACTTACACTGGGGACACAAGAGATTTTTTATAATTGCCATCAAAATTGTTATATCCACTAAGCGAAATCCACTGTAACATTCACTATCATCATCGCTAGATGTATCTGTTGACAACTTTCTCTTAGAGGCAGGTATTGAAGAAAATTCGGAGGAAGACACGTGTTGTGATTGGTTTTGAGAGGTCGTTATTTCTTCATTATTTTCTTCCCTTATCTCATCAACATCACAACTTTCAACTTTTAGAAAGCGATTTCCATGAAATCGACGTTTTTTCCTAGCATTTCTAACAAATTTTCTTTTAGGAGGCATGATCGCACGAACATAAAAAGTAAACGTCTTTCTTTTGCTTTCTACGCACTTGAATTTCGAAATTAGCTTAGCAGCCAGGCATATTATTCAAGCTAGATACCAGTTCTCTGTACTAATACCCATAATTTGAACTTTTCAACCACTACACTAACTTTGAGGTGTGTTTTTTAAAAAAATTTAAACTGGTTTCCATGGTAACCAATTAGAATATTCTGGTATGTGTTATAAAATATTAAAAAAATGCCTTTAAAAATCATTTTTGTGTTAAAAACCGTATTGTATATGAAAGATCAAGGCTTTTACTGTAGGATAATACTGTTTTTGAAAAAACTCATTTTCAACATTTTTTCCCTATTGATCCACCTTAAATCAAAGTTTAAAAAACCCAATCCTATCAAACATTTTAAGAATCAAACTTTGCGACTCTATATCAACTCAGCAAAAGCAGATATTTTATTCGTAAATATCGTCAGTTTTGCCACCTTTCCAGATGGCGGCTTGCCTCAATCGTAACTATACAATTTCGGCGGAGTCAGATATCTAGTAGATTGGATCCTAAGTCATTGGTACTGTACCATTTAAGGAAACTGTACCAGTACTATATCAGTACTTTTTCCCATACCATTTAAGCCTGGGTGAAGGCAACTGTACCAGTACTATACCAGTACTTTCTCCCAACTTTATCAGTAATTTTCCCCATACTATTTAAGCCGAATGACTTAAATGATACGGGAAAAAGTACTGATTATTCTTGGCATAAAATAGTAAGAATAAGCATCATGCACTGAACAATCTTCAAATTCTTTGTGCAAGTGTTAATAGTAAGGAATGTAGCAATTTCACATCAATTTTTGTTTTTATTTGCAATACCTGTTGATGTGTTGAAAACGCAATTCGTCTTGTCTTGTGATGTTTTACAAAGCATTGTTTAAAACAATCGTCAATTGACTGGAAACACTCTCCAAGAACAAATATTTTTGCGGGTAATTTATTTGGCGTCAAAGAAGATACGGCAAAACTGGACTCTGTGGAAAATACAAAAATAGAAAATATTGTTCGTCTGTGCTTTATCTAGCGTCCAAAAACGTGTAAAATGATCAGTATGAAATACCACTCAAGATTGCATTATACATCATTCGCGTGCTCTTAAAAATTATTTCTCCTCAGTTGTTTTAGGTTTGATGGAATCATAAACTTACATTTTCCTGCTCGTTGTCAAGAGGGAAGGTGTTCCACCAAGGCCATAATGAAAGACAAAAATTTAACGTATCAACTCAAGTCATTGACGTTAAGGAGGCTGTGCTTCTTGCCCATCAAGACACTGGCTGACTAAACTTAGTAACTTACGAATAATTCTGGGACTCACATGAACTGCACGACTTAGAAGATGGCATTACGCAATGAGATGTTGAAATATGTCAGTATTTAAAAAACAACTTGATGTCACAAAACAACGACGACGTTATGTTACGATTCTTATGAAAAAGATGTGCATGTTTGTAAATGTAGATCGTCCAGGTTGGTATAGTCCTGAGAAGGACTGTTTTTGTTGTTGTTGACTGACCTTTCGACAGCCTTAGCGTTAGTAATCTTCAGAATCAAATGAGGAGTAAACGTCAGGTTAACGTCAGGTTAAACGTTCAGTTTACTCCCGGGTTCAAACCATTTACTTTAAAAAGATGTGCCTGCGGTAAAAGAAGGAACTAACAACTAAGGGCATAGGTCATTCAGTCATTGAGGCCAACTACTGACTGAATGGAATGAATTCGGAGCAATTTGAACGATTTCAAAACTTACATTCCTTGATGATAAAGATAACACCTTTTAAAATCGAGAAGAGCTGCGAGAAACTGAGAATAACTTGATTGTAAATGAAATAGAAAAAATACTAAAAAAAAGGTCAAGCGAATGAACGGCGTACGCAGTATAACAGCAAAAAATAAACACACGACGAAAGTTAAAGCCATCGGTGTATTTACTGAATAACGTTGAAAAGTTTTATGAGTTTAATTTTCTGTCTCACTAAAAACCTGTCGACAAGAATGATTATTTCGCGTGATATTCAGGCGGCGGGGCGTTATAAGGCGGCGGCACTGGTTCTGCAATGGCTGGCGGATAGCTCTGTAGGGTCTTTGCTTGAGTAGAAACAAATGTGCCATGATTCGCGGGCGGATTCATCATGGCAGGGTGTTGAATCCAAACAATACCTGGCGTCTGACGACGATACATGCAGAAACAACATAAAGCAATACCGACGATAATTGCGATGCCAGCAATCGCACCAGCTAAGACAATGGCGACAATCCATCCGGCCAAACTACACGGTCCAATTTGGCAAGTGCTGTCGCAACAGTATTCGCTGTTTGTGTCACCACAATCTGAGTCAAACTCACACGACTGGCCTATACAATCGTCCTTGCATTGGTAATTATACACACTACCAATTGGTTTACAGCAAACTTGACCATATTTACAGTCGTAACTCGTGGAACAACTCGATGAAACTTGCGTTACCAGAACACCGAGTAATACAATAAAGCAAACAATCTTCGTGGAGAATGAAATACGCGACATTATAAAAGGAAAATATTCTTCTTCTTTGCAATCGAAGTTGAGTTATCAACAAAGTTAGTCACGCAGCGAAGTAAAGGCTAGAACTTGTTTTAAAACATGTTTATACATATTTTCATGCTGAACAATAGTGACGTATACAAACAGTCGTCACATTTTAATACTTCCGCTGCGAACAGTGAATGGTGGAAGCGTCATATAGGAAATTGACAAATTTTTATAAGGCCAGAAGACTTCAACGGCATATGAATACACCACAATCTTTTTACATGATTTGCTATAGTTGCTTGTCGAGAACTTCATCCAGGATGATGAACCAATGAACACAGATACGAACCTACGGTTTTGTTACTGTTAAGTTCACCAATAACTAGTCGTATGTTTCTCAGTGAATCAATAAAATTTTCACAAACTCTGATCATTGATGAGAACAGTCGTTAATACAATAATCAAATGGTAGACGTTTAGCCATTGTTAGACATTTAGAAAATAGAGAAACATTGTGACATATGGAGTTGCAAACATCTTCACAAATCATCTTGAGCACCAACGATGCGTCCTCATTATCTCTTTTGCTCCCGTAGAAACACCTGTGATAGACAAGTAAACAAATTATACAGCTAAAACGGTAGGGTAGCCATCACAAGGAACACTGAGTAAATTTTATTGCATGTTTCACAGCGGTTGAAAGATTATTTTTCGACCTTAACAATCTGCCCATGACTCGGGCAACAACTTTGAATTTTTAATCCATTTTCACTAGACTATATTCTTTTATCATCCGAAGGAGTTTGGAGTCATGTGCCATTTATGCATGCAATAGTGTACTCCAACAAAAGCAAATGTTGGTGAGAATCAAGGCCATAACTAGAACTTAAGTTTTTGAAAGGGAGTGTTTTCGTTTACTCATTTTTGCCAGACGGATTCCTTTTGAAAGTAAATTTCTTAGAAAACAACCCCTAAGTTGTTAACGTTCTAAGTACGGGTTACGGCCCTGGTGAGAATAACAGCAGATGATAAAATTATATGAGAGTTAAATTATGATAGCTTATTTTGTAGTTATATTTAATGATAGATCAATGCAGCGTGTCAAAATAAAGATATTCATTCATATGAAGACGTTTTAAAACTTCGACTTACATGTAAAAATTCATATGAATTTCAATTTTTCATTTCATATGGGTCGTGCTTTGAAATCGCGCATCATTTCATAAAAGTCATGGAAATTTTAAGAGGATGAGATGAAGAATGTCGTTGATGGAAGAAACCTTATCTTAATTTATGAGAAAGTGCTACTCGTCAAATTGAAAAAAAGATTTTGAATTCTGAATAATTTGATACCATCTGACCTCATTTAGTAAGTGAGTAAATATTTCGTGGAAGGAAAGGTTTTGTTATTTTTGACCATCCGTATTCTAAAAAAGTGTTAATGAGCTATCGTCACAAAGATTTCACCACATCATTTTAGCGAAGTCGTTTTATAAGTACATAAAATATATAACTGGATTTTCATAATTGTCTCTTCGATAACATAATAACAAAAAGTAAACTAGGGACAAAAGTTAAAGCCATCGTATTTGCAGAATTACATCGTAAATTTTTCTGGGAATTCAATTTTCTGTCTCACTAAAAATGTGTCGACGACAACGTCTATTTCATGTGTTAGTCAGGTGGTGAGGCATGGTAGTTCTGCTATGACTGGTGGTGAGTAATTCCCTGTGTTGTTGCTTGAGTAGACGCAAATGTACCATGATTTCCAGGCGTTGTGGCCACAGCTGACTGTTGAAGCAAAGAAAAACGTGTAGTCTGACGACAATATAGGCAGTATAAACACAAAGCAACACAGACGATAATCACAATGCCCAAAATTACACAAACTATGATAGCCCACACGGGCAAGCTACACGGTCCATCTTGGCAAAAACCATCACAACAGTATGAGCTGCTATAACCACAATCCGAGTTAAACTCACAAGACACGCCTGCACAATCGTATTGGCATAGGTTGATTGTTCTACAGCAAACTTCTCCGTCTTCACAGTCGTAATTTGAGTAACAACTCCATGAAACCTGCGCTACCAGCACACAAAGTAACAAAATAAAGCAAGCCATCTTTATGGAAAATGAGATTCGCAACATTATACAGGCTGGAAAATATAATCTGCTGTTGTACAGAAGTATAAGACTGCCAAGCCAAGTGATACAAACAAATAAAGCTTGTTTCAATATCAAGCTTCAAGTTGTAACTTGAAACAAACTGAAATATGATAATGACGTATAAGCAGTCATCATATTTCAGACTTATTTTGAAACAAAATCTCCAAAATCTCTTCCTCGTGAGGTTGACATACTGGGATAAATGGAAGACGAGTTGATAAATTGCACATGGGGGGAGGGGGAGGGGTTGTAGCCAAAGCCTGTCTTCATTGGAGATTTGAGTAAGTTGTTATAATCAAAATAAAAATTAAAATGAAAAAGAACTTTCAGGAGGATGACTCATACGAAATAAAATAACAATTTTTTGACATTATATTGTCTTGCAAAAAATTTACCGCTGCAAGGTATGGTAAACGGTGCAGTGACGTGCTTAGATTAGTTTACAGAAAAGCCATACCATGCCTTATGTATTGTTTATTAAACAGTAAAAAATCAAAATGCTTGACAGCATTGAATATGAGAACGAGGAAATAAAATTCAAATCCAAATGGAAAAGCGTCAATGACGATCGAAATTAAGGGGATAACTCTCATACTTTGTAATTACGTATAATATTCATTTGAACAAATGAATGCTATATCGTAGTTAACACCTAGTTCAATCTACTTACCTTTTGGATGGTTAGGTGTTAGCTGGTATGACTCAGGGGTGGCCTGGGCACCAAGACTGTTCTTTGGGTCGAGATTAGGATTCATGTTCTTGACATCCTAAGCTGACCACCCCCCTCTCTTTGTTTCCCTGCTTACTGCTATAAGTTCTCACAGTCGCTTTACAAATGGTTATGATTGACTCTCGAGCCTACGCCACATATACCCCTTTCGCTGACGTTTACGCTGACGTAGGCATCTATCGTCACCTACCTGCTAACTTTGCCTATTGCATATCCTCATAAAATATTGTTGGGATTGATTCCCTCAATTATTTCAATAGAAACTAATAAAGTAGCTAGAACATGCATGTTAAGGAATATCGATTTACAAATTAACGATTTGTAGTCCCTGCATGAATCACATGGCTTGCGGTGACCATTATGCAGTTAAAACTCCGGATCTTTAGTGATTTTAGCGGTAAAATGAAAAAATGTTTGAATATGTACCTGCTGATTTTGCCTTCCTGTTTTCCATTTCCTCGTTTAACGTGATTAATGAACTTTTTCGATGATTTTTTCCACTCCAAATCCAGTGATACTGGAAAAAAAATTGAAGTATTGTCATAAAACGACTAAATAAGGTGTTTAATGATTATAGACATAATAATATACTTTGACATATTTCTCGGCTGTGGTTGGTTGATTTCAATGCAGTTTATCTGGAATTGCTCTGTGAAAAGATGTAATTGTACTATGAAAACTGTGACTGCAGCCTGGTTGACTGAAAAACAGTGAAAGCCAAACAAACTTCTTTTCAATTAAAAAAAAAGGCGGTTGCAAGTAAACAAAGATTTCCACAAATGCTATCGTTTGAAATTTTTGAATTACAAAAAAATGCAAAGAATAAGAACAAAACAGAAAGTGCTACTTTTTGCGTGCATTTTTTTAACAGTTAAGCCGCGTAACATCGCTCATGAAGTGATGGGAGGTAAAATAACGAGATAGAGTTAAACGGTACAGTCAAAATAGCTCAAAGTATATTAGTATAGCTAATAATAGAGTTTCGAGAGCGATAATTACGGATAAACATGCACGAGTAGGTTTTTTAAAGGCTGAAGCGTAATAACGCGAGACTGAAGGACAAGGTATAGCTTCAGAAAGGCCTCGTAACGCAGCGTAACTGTTAAAAATACTCACTCAAAAATGAGTATTTGCGGTTTTGTATTTATTCTTACCATTCTTTTGAAATTCTTGAATCTCAAAACGATTGCAGTTGTGGAAATTTTTGTTTACTTACAACTGCCCCCATGCATGATTTCTTTTGAATAGAAAAAAGTTTCTTTAGACCCCTGAACTATAATAAATGGAAGGGAAACCTGTAATAGAAAAGCATAATTTTATGATTTTTTAAAGCCAAATATGACAAACGTGTCTGGAGGTCAAATTGCGTGTATCACACGCGCGAGGCTAACATGTTAAACGGGACTTGTTAATAAAACATGTCTTTACCAGTTATACAACATCTGTGAACATCCCATTTGCCATTTCATTCGCTGAGTTTATGCAAATAACAAAGCTAGTATAAATGTTTTTCTACCATAGGTTAGCAAGTGTCGTTGTGTTGAGCCAATGTTTATCTTTAGGTCTAGCAAGTATTTAGTCGTAGATAATAAAATTTCTTCCAATGTTTGTTTGGATTGCAGGTGAAGTGGTTGTTTGAATCTCTTTTCTGAGAGATTTCTTGAATTAAGCATGCTAACTAAACAGTCTGTTATTTTTAACGAATGGGCCAGTTCTATAGTAGTTTTTAAATGAACCATGTTTCATTGAGAGGTCTAAAAATGAAATGGCATTAGCAACTGAGGAACTGAGGATTTGAGTAGCTAGTCCGACATTCGTTTTGTGCCCGAGAAATTGAATATGCTTTGGGGTTTGCTTGTTGCCCAGGATAAATACGTCACTTTCCTGGAGAGTGGTTAATGACTAAAAAAAATCTCTTTTTGCCATCAACAAGTGATCTCAGATGATGTAAAGCACTTCTTGCTAATTTTAACATACCATGGATCAAGGATAGCATAGATGTAGTAGTTTTGTATACGACGTTGGAATTTTGTGATCATTGTAAGATGTTGTGAAAGTGCAACCAAGTTGTCTGAACATAGTAAGGTTTACTGCTCTGCTATCTGTTGTGATTGACCTACACGAAGTCCCGCTTCAGCTTCCAGTGAAGGTGCCAAATTGGTAAGTTCTGCTTCTGTTTTTCCACTCTTTTCGTTGGCAAGAAAGCATCCATTTCTCGTGACTTTGTGCAATTACATTCATTCAGTTGCAATTTCAATTGCCTTTTCTGTTGGTATTGGTCCATAGTCGACAAAAGCATATCGCTTTTGATTTAAATCCCACAAGGCTTGTTTTCTTAGTTTTATTTGAGCCAATCACAAGGAAGCAGTCTTTCTTGTCTGTTGATTTTTTTCTTCTTCTAATATAAATTGAATGCTTCCTTGTTTAATCCAGGTTTACATTTTATAGCACGTGACAATTTTTTATCAGTGATGAATTTGGAAGAGGCAATATGGATCTAACATTCTCATATGCCTTCGAAGAATAATAATTGATAGTGGTTGCATATTCTTTTACAGCATCTGAATATTTTCGTCGACGAGGGGCACAATTAACATTGCGCTTAGTGTCTCTAAACATTGAAAGCTGTATGTGGTCAAATTTAGCATGCACATTTTCAGTACCTTCTGTTGATATAGTTATTTTTTCTTTCTGCTCCTGAATAATATCTGCATTCTTTGTTGTTTTGCTTTAGTCCGCTTTTATTGCTGCTGCAATCCTTTAATTTTTCTTTTCCATTTTTCTTCTCGGGCTGTTTTTGTGCTTTCTTCATTCTAAGACTCAAATGTCTCTTCAAAATTCTTGCAGTATGAGTGATCGTGACAAACCTTTTCTGATGGTGTAAGTGCTGTTATTGCCTTTACATCAAATGGCAATTTGACTTTTCTACGTGCTTTTCCGGAAATACCATAGTGTGACCCAGGGTGGCACAACAGCATGTTTTAGTCTGTAGTTGGTTACGGAAGGTGGTGTGGTGAAGTCGTATTTAGAGAAATGATTGCTGCAGATTGTACTGGAGCGCGATACATTAAAATTTGGACAATTGTTGGTTTCTCTCACTACCTTCTTTCACTTTTGGTGGGTTGTTTTAGTGGAAACCTAAATGTTTGATTTAATTTAGTTTCATTTTCATCCATAAAATTTTGCTAACATAACTAAATCTTGTAACAAATATATAGGCAGTGAATTGTACAATGTATTCAAGTAATTCAAAGTATTTTTTTTTAAAGTGACTTGTAATTCTTTTTTCGAAAGGTTGCCTATGTATATTGACTTTCTTATGCTAGCCTTACCTATGAAATGTAACTTGATTTTTCGTCATTTTTGGTGAGCAGATATTTTAACGTGCAAAAACAAAGTTCGCATTTCATACTCCTAAAATCCAGCTTTAACAGTTACAGATGTCAGTCAAACTTGTTTTTTTACGGAAGTCCAAACATTATTCAAGGTTTTAAGCCACCATGCTGGCTAAAAGAGAAGGGTTTTGTGAGAAAATCCAGTAATTTTGAAGTGATATATTTTGCCTTCGTATGCCCTCAATGGCGGCGATCATAAGTAGCTTCAAAGATGGCGGCGATTATAACTGGCTTCAAAGATGGCGACGATCATAAGTGGCTTCAAAGATGGCGACGAAGTTAGCCGTCTAGTTATTGAAGAGTTCACTGGTTTTCACCGAAGTCTGTTTTGATTTTGTTCATAGATAATCATAGAAAAGTATTTTGACATTAAAGGCGGTGGGTTTTTATCTTTATTCAGTCAATTATTATGCTTACTATTGAATACGTATTTTGCAATGGAAAATATCAATTGTGGAAACTGTGAAAAACAATGACATCGTTCATTTTTTACACATATCTGAAACATTGCAGCAAGTACAACTAGATCGATTATATCAAAGAATTCAACAGGATATATTCAATATAAATTTACATGTGTGTCTCCCTGAAACATTTGGGATTTGTACAAAACCTATTTACTAAAGCCATTAGTTTTTGTAAAAAATGACGAGAAAAATGTTGTTTCAAAATAATGATGCATGTATGTATCTATGTTTTTCACAATGCTAAATTAACTGAAACTGGAAGTTATGAAATACAAAAAAATAAATAGATACCTATGAAATGAAAAGCTTTGGGATGATATCCTTTGCTGGTGCAACAATCATCTAACATGTGACGGCTGACGGGTGTTATCTAATTTAGCTTTTAAAACCAAATTTCATGTAAGTTTGTAGTTGTATTAAAAATTGTGTTATTCTGTAAATTTGTGCATCCACGGAAGTGCACTAACAATGATTGTTTCGGGTGAAAATACATTTCCAAAATTGATGTTTGTTTATAACTTTATGTGCTATTTTATGTTATGCAAAGTTCGTAACTAAGTATCTTGCGCATAATAGTTTCTATTTTGAACAAAAAACGCTTTAGTCTTTTGGCACATTACAAACGAAAACAAACAACCATAGCAAAATGCCTTCTAGTCATTGTTGGCTACGGCTTCCTTTACAAAAATGTAATTGTCAAAAACTGTGTATATTGACGTTAAGTCTCATTTGAAAAGGTGTGTTTGCCAAATTAAGACAAAAAAGGATTTGTGTTTTGTTTTTGAAGCTTTGTAGTTTGTACAAGTTATTTCTTTCTTCTCTTTTGTTGGTCATGTGTTACATTGCGTGAAAAGACTGGGCTCTACTGGTGGAGAAATATTTCAAAGCATATTACAAAGAAAATAAACGCGTGCGCTGATTAGTCTAGAGCTGTGTTTGCATTAGCCTGTGCAAAACACATCTGAACTCAACCAATCAAATCAATCATAACAATCAATTAGTCAAAGAGAATTTGCAAATCGATTATGAATACATTTTAGAGGAAAAATTAAAACATTTACTTTAAATTTGTCTGTATCGCAGTATTGTTATTTTATAAAAGAAACAAAAGATGTCTTTCGTTTTTGCTCTGGCTTATGCAAACCTCGGAGACGTTTGTGAGAGCTCTCGAGCAGGTGTAACCGTCGACCTTCGTTCTCGGGCTTGCACTGGTTTGTTCTCGAGTTCTCCCAAAGGTCTCCTCGGTTTGTATAAGCCTGTGCGAATACAGTAAACATCTTTTACTTCTTAATTATTATTATTAAAAGTAATAGTATGATTTCTCGTGCAATTACGACTATTTTACTGCAGTCAAAAACTCACTCGTGCAAGTTTATCCGTACCGTAATTGCACTCTAAACAGAGCTACTATTACCTGTACTAAAGAAAAAAATTTTGATACGAACGAGAACAATATGAACGAGTTAAGTTGTAGTACTATATATAATTGAGAAAAAGTTTTAGGAAAAAAAGCACCAGTCGAAGCTGACTACATAGCTAAAAAGTTGAAAGTCATGGTTGGGATGCAGTTCGGCTTTTTCTTTTATTTTCAAACCGTGTGACAATACTTTCACGTCTTGACATCAAGCCAGGACATTCATTGCCATAAATCACTCATTCTTATTGTGACTATGAATTATTTTGACGAAAAAATTCTGCTTTTCGTTTTTTAGAGAATAGAAACAGTGATAGTCGAATCATTGACACGTGTCAAAAATAATATGAGGCATTCGTCAGTAAGTGAATTCATAGAACTTTAGTAACTCTATCTCTTTGTGTAACAATGAAAGACAAAAAAGTCAAATGCGCATAAGCATTTTTGTATATACATACGGTGTTTGGGTAATTCCATGTGTTTCTCAATTGTGGATGCGGCTTATTCCTTCTGTGTTTGGAGCAGGGCAATATCAAAGGTTTTCCGATGCGCTCTTGATCACGAAATTCCTCTTGGTAAGTTGTCTTCAGCGATAAGTAGTTTACTGGTGCATACCTTGCACTTATTTGCCTGTAAAAGAAATGCACACATTATTTGTTACACTGGCGTAGCAAGCTTGACAATTGGAGGGATGGGGTGGGAAGTGGTCAGTATAATACCACCCGATAGGAGATTGCTACGCTACGGCTTCGTCATGTAGAAAAACAAAACAAGTATCGATATCTGTGGAAAAAAGTCAAAGTTAGAGATAAATAAACAAGGCTAGATATCTTTTATAGCAAACAGTGGCTTAGCAACTCGTTTATTTGAGGGCAGGGCCAAAAATTCATATATATACATGTCTCAATGCGTAGAAAACAATTCATTTCAAAATAACTCAATATACGGCACGACATTAACATATGAATGAGCCTCGCTAATACGTGCCGCTGAAATCATCGAGTTTGCTATGGCATCGGTGGTTGCTGAATTTGCTTCACAATCATATTCTGAATCTTTTCAGTAAATCATCAGGGTGAAAAAAGAATTTTAGGAATCCTACTTACATCCATACTGAGTATGCCACTGCTAAAGCTTACCTTTCTGGCTGCGGTGGAAGAACAAACCTTCCCTGAAAATCTTGATTGTAATGCGTGCCATACATGTGAGTGAACTGGTAAGGTTTGTACGTAGATCTGTATAATGCTGATAAAGACGTGAGGCATTCTGTTCTTGAACCATTCCTCTTCGTTTCATTTGAACCTGGTGTAAAGATGTGATATTATTATTATAATTATTATAATTGGCGAGAATTTATTATAAGATTGAAACTTCAGTTAATTAAGATCCGTTATCAATGTTTTTCAGTTAAACACAATTAGAGACGAATAAAATCAAAAATAAGACCTATTGTAAAAAAACTATACAAAAATGTGAATAAAAACTATGATAGGTACAATGCATATACAAGAACAATATAAAATTCATTGTAAATCGCAAAGACGAAACCTAAGATATTTGTAAATTATTCAGACACTTGGCTACAGCAAAATAGAAGCTTTGCCTTGAAGCTTCTATTTTCTTAATTCCTTAATCATTTTTGATAATATCAAAGTAGCTATCAAATAATATATGAGATATGCAAATAATATATGAGATATGCAAAGTTTTTGAGTATTCAATGATACAAATAGATAGTTATGGATTATTTCAGTATTTGGAGTGGAGGATGTGCTGGAAAAGTCGAAAATATCAAAAGGCAACACTTAACAAGCAAATATAAAAGACATTTGGTATGAAAAAATTAAGGTAAACATAAAAGTACACAAAAAGGTAGACACAAAGGTAGAAAAAAGGTAGACACAAGGCAAAAAGGCACATAAAAAAGTACACAAAAAGGTAGAAACAAAAGTGAACAAAAAAGTAGACACAAAGGTAGATAAAAAGGCGACAAAAAAGTTGACAGAAAGACACACAAAAATTAAGGAACACAAAAAGGTAGAAATAAAGGTAGACGGTAGGAAAAAATGCACTGAAACAAATTGATGGACAAAAGAGCGAACACAAATGTAAACTAAAGGGGAGACACAAAGTTATACAAAAAAGTAAACACAAAAGTGGACACAAAGGTAGACACAAAGGTACACAAAAAAGTAAACACAAAAGTTGACACAAAAGTAGACAAAAAGGTAGAAATAATAGTAGACGCAAACGCAAAGATAATATGACAATTGGAGGGAGGGGCATATTCATTTATTCATGCTGTATATTTTTTTACCTTTGTGCTAAGGATATATTTCCCATCTGAGTGGGTTTTTTTTGTTTATTTAGTGCTGTGTAACTTAATTACTAAAGGTTTCGTTCCAATGATTTTCAATTGACAAAATGTACGATAAAGTGTTCTTTATAAAAGCTCAATTTTTAAAAAGTATGATTGCTGTTATGCGTCTTTTAATGCAACAATTTTCGTAATGTGTTTTTTCTTTTGTTGGAATCCATGAAAATTTAATTGACTATCGCATTAGCAAATACACTTCATTTCGGTAGGCAATGCGTTTTATAAGTTGTACCGAACTACAAGAGAAATGTTCTGTTCATTATATGACTAGATTTCTTTCTCTTCGGAGTATTTTACGTTTGCCTTATAGGAAGCGCGGAGTTTGGAGGGCTTGAGGGGGCTTAGCCTCTCAATAATTTTGAATTTTATTATAGTAAATAGAGCGATTTTATTTAATTTACAACTATACCCATGGAACATTGGTGATGGAAAGGGGGGGGAGTTATTTTACTCATATATTGATTCAAATAGAAACCTAGCAGACCACAGTTGTCAGCGATTACTTATTATTTTGTAGCCTCTTTCTACCGTATGTTTTTGCTGAAATCTCTCAACTGCATCTAAAACAAATTCTCTTCCTCAGTATCATAAATAACTTAGTTCTTTGGCAGAACCTGCAGAAATTTTGAAAGAGATCTGCTTGGGATTTTCAATTCTGATCGAGTACTCTGTGTCAGCAATTACTGAAGGAATAGCTGCATTTTTAAACTTGACTTGGTCGGCTCCTTTACATGGTATCTCATCAACACAAATTTTTCAAAAATTTTGATGAATGATTCCGCTGGCTTCCACGGCGAAAACTAATTTGTTTTGTATAAACGTGATCTATACACTGTTCTAGCATAAGTCAATTAAGTACTGTCTCTTGAAAATTTTTTCCATTCTATGAGTTAAAAATTTTTGGAAATATATTATTGTTGTTTTTAAATTATAGGGACATACAGTAATAATTCAAGTTTTTGGAATGCCTTGTCTCATGTGCGATAAACATATCAAAAAATTTTGCTAATATTTGAGGGCAAAGATAATGGTTTTTGAAAATATTCGAGAGACGAACCATTCGAGATAGAAGAAAGGTCATAAACACGTCTTTATTATTTTGTTTATTGATTTTTTATACAGTTTCTCCTGAGATATCCTATTCATCCACTGGACTTAACCTTTATTTTTATTTAAATGAACATACCCACCTTTTATGCTGCAAGAAAATTCAATCTTGCACTTCAACAATTAAAATAAGATTTTAAATAGCAACCTACCCAAAGTAGATGACCTTGACAACGCGCCTCTAAGCGCTTGACGTGAAGTGCAGCTGCTTGTGCTTCCACTGTTGCTACTGCTGCTGTAAAGCGACGGTCGAGACATGTCGTTCCTTGAAATTTTTGGCAAAGACACTAGAGTTTCTGCAGACATTGTTGTAGGTGCTACTTATCGGTTTCCTAACTGTTGCTATTTACATTTCTTTGTTTACATCTTGATAGGATTACTTATGCTAAATAATCCTTGGTAATAGGATCCCACACATCGAATAATGCATCAACGCTATGGAACTTGACACCATTCCTAGTAACGTACGTTAATGCTTTCGAAATATAGGGTGTGTACTTTTTAAACACTCAACTATTCAACACGAAACTCCGCAATTTGTTGAACACGTTCCATTATCTACGTTGTGTTGATTTAAACTATAGATACTCGGGGACCTGGATGTCATATCCTGACAGATCTAAGTTTAGTATTTTAACAGTTTGTGCAATGCTCAGTTGTATGTTTTTATAGACGTTCTATTTGGTATATTCGATAGCAGGTTAAAATACATCAAATGAAACTAATGTGTTAGTCTCGCAAGTTTATTACTCTCTATAGACCTTCTTACTCATAGACGGGTGAACATGCGCAAGCACGCACAAACTAGACCTAGATTTGCGTTTTTTGGGTGCACGTCCTGAGCATGGACCTCCTTGATATCATTTTAACCTTGACGTTTTCAGTTCTCTCAATTTACGTTGGTATTCTTTATGAGGTAAGTTTTCATTGAGGTAAGTTTTTATTGAGGTAAGTTTTAAGATTAGAGCATTTTTTACCATCGTGTTTATTTAGTCTCAATTTTCAATGCCTTTCCATTGCCTTTATCAATTCTGTTTAATTCTCTTACGTCATAAAAATGGGCTTAGGTTTATTTTGTTTTTTTTAAGTATTTTCAAAGTCTCAGTAATTATTTTTGATTTGTTTTTGTAATTAAGTAATTCTATTGTTTGACTGATGGCCTACCTGAATTAGCTTCTTGTTTATATCTACCGATCCGAACTTTGCAACTCAAACGAAGCTATCGTATAAAATACTTGATATGTCCAATAGTTATTGAAAAAGTTACTTTTGGAAGACATATGAAATAAACTTGACCAAAATAGTCGAACTCAAACCTCTCAGCAAACCTTTGACAATTTGAACAATTTATTCATAAAAATAGTTATGACAACCAAATCGAGTGTTTATGTTGTGCTACGAAAAAGTCGAATGAAATTGAGCTCTCTTTTGCTTTGAAGGTACTTTTCACATATTTGTTTGATTTCTTCTTTGTAAATGTTTGTTGATCTTAGTGTGTTGATCTGTTGATCGAATGGATTTTTACTCTCTAATTCGTACGACATGCACATGAAAACAAAAAGATTATGTTCACCAGAATTGCATTTTAAATAAATCAAAGAATCGGGAAAATATAAATTGTGGTTTGTGGCTTTGTGCCTCATTTGCATTCATTCTTAGGGCAAAATACTTTAACACAAATATGAACACTATGGCATAGGTAAACGTTCAAGTGGGTGTTTACAAACATGATGGGTGGTTCTTTCAACTGATCCAATGACGAAATGTGCTAATCTCTACCACTCTATCTTACAAAGTCTATAATTAGTGCAATTGAGGCTATAAGTTGTGAGGTTGAACTGAGTAAGCAGCCAAAGTTGGGCACTGAATCAACCAGAGATAGAAGAACTGGACACAGTGAACGCAAGCACTAGGTCTTGCAAAGAGCAAAAAATGATTTTGTATGTTATCTCGCTTACATTTCTGCTGGGAGCCACCATGACCAAAGGTAATTTAAACAACATGAAAGTTCCGAGTACGAAACGCATGCATTATTTTATTACATAAGACACAATTATTATATTCTCATTCTTCAAGAAAAAGATCTTGAAAATCAATATCCGTAGCCTATCGACCAGTTTGGTAGTGCCATGTAAACATTTACGTGTTTATTGCTTTAAAAACAATGCATTTCTAAAGATCTAAAAAAATAAATAATGCAAATGACTTTAAATTTACATGGTACGACAAAACTTTGCAGACTAGCTACGCAACTGGTCTTCACATGTACTGATTTATTTATGCATCACCAAATATTCAGATCCCTATCGCCAGCCAGCGGCATGCAAGGAAAGAAATATGCCATTATCAACTGCGGAAATATTAGATTTAGAGTTCAAAAGTATGAAAAGAGTTTTACATGTCTATAAATAAGTAATATGACTTTACCCGGACAAAATTTTTGTTGCTTCTGCATGCCGAATCAATAAAATAATATCGTTACATGTTTGTAAATAGAGATCGTCCAGGTTAAAATAATATCGGTCAAGCAGCTTAGAAAAGAAGAAATACAATAGGATTAGGACAAAGAAATGAAACCTATTTTACTTCATTTTTGAGCCAGAGCACACCAGAGATATTATCACCTTCACTACGTTTGCTAGAAGCAGTTGGTGCATGCATGCGCCTGCAATCTGTTTTTTCCAGGGTGCGCTGGCGTTTTCAGAACTTTCGAACAATGGTAAAACCATGTCAGTAATTCAATATGTCCCATAATGAAGTTGGTGTTCGAGTTGACATTTTGAAGTTTTTCTCTGAACCTGAAACTTCTTGGATCTTTATACAAATAAGAAAGCAAGCTTTGGAATAACGCAACATTTCTTTTCCTCAGCTCAAAGTATAGCGGGAAGCGATATTGGAGACGACCAATCAAACTGGGCAGAAATCTTGAAACACATGAGAAACTCAACTGACGGTCGACAAGAAGTGGACGATAGCATGAAACCCACTATATTTGACATCATCATAAATGCCAATGCACATGCGAGAAGTAAGGTTGGGATAACGTGGGGGTAACCAGTGGTGTAGCAGAGGAGGACGGTACATTTGGGCATATTTAGTCAGGCAGAAAAACCCGTTGTCGTAATTTGATTGGAGTGTTGACTACTTACAGAATTTTTCCATGGATTCTTCTTTTGAATTTCATGCCATTTTTAAGAAATTGTTTGCACAGGTTTGTGCAATCTGAGGAGACCTTAGGGAGAACTCCAGAGTAGATCAGTGCAAGCCTGAGACCGAAAGTCGAGGATGGCACCTACTCGAAAGCTCTCACAAACGTCTCAAGATTTGCTTAAGCCAATGCAAACATAAAAAAATCTTTTATTTCTTTTATAAAATAAACAATAATGCGAAACAGAAAAATTCTAAAACAATGCTTTAATTTTTCCTCTAAAGGGTATTCTTGATTGATTTTCCAATTCTCTTTGAATAATTGACTAATTTGATTGGGTGAGCTTAGATCTGTTTTGCACAGGCTTATGCAAACAGAGCTGTTGACCAATCAGCGCACGCGTTTTGTTGTTTTTATTTAATAATTACATTTATTGAATAAAACTTTTGGCAACGTAAGCAGTAAACGATAAAAGAGTGGGCCCATAGTTCTAAAACCAATCCTATAAGACGAGCGCCGAGAGTTAACCACTGCAACAAGAGGCATTTCCCTGAATGTTGTTAATTTTAGACAGATTTTATATGGAAGGTTTTACGGCGCAAATTCCAGAGCTCCGGAGCCCAAAAGAATAAAACTTCTTGTTTCTTTATTTTCAAAGCATTTTCATTGTTAAAATTAGATGAATGTAACAAACTCAGCTTCTCAATACAAAGTTAAAATGATAATCAAAATTGATTATCTCAGTATCAAAGATAATCTCAGTAAAACTTACTGCTTTTTTGGTTATAAGCTCGTCAACTGGAGTCATAGTTCAATCGCTTAGAATGTTGCATAAAAACAGACGACACATGACCAGAACCAACTTTCTCTCTTGTCAGTACAACTTAGATTAGGACAATAATGTATTTCTATTCGTATTTAATCAGCACCCTAACGACTCTATAGCCAGTTAGTTACATTATACTTAATTTCATTCTATAATTCCAAAATTCAGGTTTGCATGACCGGCAAAATAAAACGCTTCCTCCACATAACCATGTGTGTGGTCTCCTTGAGTAGAGATTTGTTGATTTGTTAAGCTTTGCCATTAACAGTTTTACGAAAAGAACATTTGGATACATTTCAACACCGGGCACAATAAGCCAGACCGATGACCCTGTCAAACTAATGCAACTAAAAGAATGGCCACTTATTCCAGAAAAGCGAGAAATTCAATTTACATGAGACAATGTTAGTTGGAATCGATGAGGATCTCAGCGGGGAGCAACGAGTCTGACGACTTTGCCAAAATCTTTGCATCTCTTGAACGAATTATGCACAATGAACGCCAAAGCGTTTTTTTCCTACTTGTAGGCAAACCGATTCAACGTAGCGAAGAGGATAAATTCTTGTTTCAAGGTGACATTGCAATGCCACCCATCGACGTAATGAAAACGTTGAGAAATAGACGAAGAAAGCGTGCCGTAATGAGAAAAATATCTACGGGAAGCAACTTATGGCAAACTCATAAACTTGCGTACATTTTTAGAAATGATTTAGGACGTGAGTACACCTTCACTTCATGTTAAGTAAATAATAAATATATAACGTTCATTGATTGCACCATTAAAAAGTTTTTGGGTACGCAGAAATCGATCTATCAATTATCAATTGCTATAAGTGAAACGCACGTCTACTAACTCCTTTAACCATTTGTTATTATCAAATAAATTTAATCTATACTATTTTATACATAAAATAATTGATGCCTGTTGATGAATTACAATAGACTCAACTTCGTTCGCACACTGTATAGAGTATGCAAAGAGTGTGATTCGAGCTGCCATTAAAGCATGGGAAGAGACGCTACCTTGTTTGGGGAAATGGAAAGATGTGACAAACGTGGACGCTTCTAAACGTCCCAGGGATTACATTTACTTCATTAAAGGAGAAGGGTAAGTCTGACTAGAGCCCTATATTTATAAGAGTTGGGGCACGCATTGTTCTCTACATTTCGTATTATGACCAATGTGATTAGGTAAATATGGTCACTTGGGTACCAAGCCACCATTTTTGTTCCAAAAGCGCAAAATAAATCCATTTTTTAGCTAGGAGATAAATTATAAAATTCTTTTACAATGATATTATGTTGCGTTTTAATAGCGCAAATCAAAGCTATAAAGAATAGAAATCTACTCGCTCCCTTGTGGCAAAAACAGCCAGATAATCCAATATAAATTACATCCACTGGATTAAATAAATGTTTTTCTATTATTATGACATTTATAAACAACTGAATTCCAAAGATAGCGATCGCTCTCTATTCACGAATAAGAAAACACAACAGAAAACTTGTTTTTCCCCTATTTAATGTTCTAAATTTGCTGGCATTTGGAATAAAATGGCAAACGCCAGGCAAATTACCTCCGGTCTCCCAACTCCTACGTATGTAGGGCTCTGGGTCTGACTCTTTGTAAAGAAATTTATGAGGGGATTATGATTGGATCACAAAAAAACTTTTTCTATAATACATGGATTGAATTTCACGTTGTTTTAAAATGTTTATATATATTGTACAACAAACGCCCGTATTCTAAAAGCTCACCCACACTCTCACTGAGTGGGGCTTCAAAATCAGCTCGTAATTATTTAAAAACATCATTTTCACTCCACTGGTTGCTTAATTTGGCATGTCTTAGCAAAAATTTTACCACCTCTGGAGAAACGACTTTGCCATTGACTTGCATTTTTCATATATAGATGTTACTCGCAAGTTGGTCGCAGGGGCGGAAGACAAACAATCTCCATTGGCAAAGGTTGTGATCACATTGGTGTTGTCATACACGAAATAGGTGAATTATTGATTTTTGACAATTTTCATAAACTTTATTAGTAGGATCATAATAGTAGTCTATTGCAAATGCTTTAATTTGATTGGCTACTCTACTGGCAATCTAATTTTCATTGGATAGCGAATAGATAGCGAGTAGCGAAAACAAATGGCTGTCAACCCTTTTTGTTTTACTCATGTTTCTGACTATAAACTTGATAGTTTACTTCAAAAGGCATTTCTCGAGAAGATCAAAGTTGCTACTAAATACAACGTTAAGGTATTTTAAATGTATACTAAACAAAAATTCAATTAAAATGACTTAACGTGCATTTAGCGAAGAGTCGTCCGCTTCTTAAAAAATGTCAACAACAAAAATTCACAAAACCAATCGCTCTCGATTTCCACGAGGTGCATGATGGCTGATGAGGGCTAACAAGCAAGTTTTTCAACTGGATAAGGCAGTACGCAAGAACTGAAAAGTTAAAGAAGTTCGACTACTTTTTTAACTAAAGTTAAAGAATCACGCGTGCTTTTTAAACTCGCCACTAGATGAAATCGTCAAGGACGTTTTGTTTATGGTGAAAGATGTTTAATTGCAGGTCATGCTATGGGTTTCTGGCACGAGCAATCGAGAACAGATCGAGACAGCTACGTAACTATTCATTGGGAGAACATTATTCCTGGTAAGGACAATCACTCGTGGGCTGAAATCGAATGCAATCACATTAGCCTTAACTACAATTTCCAAATATTTGTAATGCGATTATGAAAAAATCACATCAATTTAGGTATGGACTTCTTCATGCAAAACATCCACATGACAATATTTATATTTTTTAAGCGATGCGATTTAACTTTGGAAAATATTCTTCGTCAAAAATCAACGATCTTGGTGTCGGTTACGACTACAACAGCGTAATGCATTATGGCTCCAGAGCCTTCTCGAAAGATGGCCGTTCATCCACCATAACAATAAAAGGAAACAATCCAGGCAACGTTAGGCTGGGTCAGCGGTATCGCTTGAGCAAACTGGACAAGAAACAGGCTCAATTATTGTACAGTTGCGGTTAGTATAAAAAAGCTAGTGGTCAGCCCCTTTTCTATATAGAGGAGACGATGTGACCTACCTTAGTGTATAAGTATAGTTTTGTGCATACTGAGACGAATTTTGGTTGATCAAAGCATAACTTGTGTCGGATAAATTTTGTTGCCACTTGCCAACTTATAAGTTTCGACAGTAACTAACTAGAGTTTTATCTGTCATTGCCTCTCCCGGTAAAATCCGTGAATGTTTTAGCGGGGGTTCAAAAGTTGTTGGGTACTTCCTGTCAGAAAGATTTCACTTAACTATTTAACGTGTATCTCGTGTAGATTGCATCGACAATGACAAAAATTGCGACTCATGGGGCAAACAGGGATATTGCAATCCCAAGAAGGGATTCGAAAGCTTTATGAAGAAGAACTGCTGTGCAACCTGTCGCAAGCAAACCGCTGGTAAGCTCTTCGAAAGGAAAAAAACGCACAAGTTGAAGTATAGAACATATTTGAGCAACTTGAACATCCTGTTACATAGAAAACATCGTTTTGTCATGTTTGAACAACCCAAAATAACTTGTGTGTTTGTATGCTAAAAAATCAAGGGGAATTAGCGCAGAGAATTCAACTTATTATGCAATCTAGTTTTTCATCATCTCGTGCATTATTCTACGTTATAGCTGTGAAATCGTGTTCATCATCGCCCTGTTTCAATCTGGGAGTTTGCAAAGACGTCGGTAATAGTTATAGCTGCAATTGTCCTGCTGGCTATAACGGCAAGCAGTGCGAACGCAAAGGTAACTAGCACTTGGTACATCTGTAATTAATCATGAGTATAACATGCGCATTTCACCATTCTATAGTATTGACGAGATATTTGTACACATTTACAAACAAACATCACTATTTTTTAGACATAACAAAAACTTGTGAAAATTTGATATATAATTAAAGTTTTGAAAATGCCGTCGCTTGAGCATCCATTCGTGGGGTAGGGGTGGGGTGGGTTAATGAATTGAAACTGAATTGCTTTTCAAAAGAACCAGCCAGGCACAACTGAGTACGAGTAAACATCCCTCCTCTCCAAAATTAACGATAAAGATAAATTTATACTTGCGGACACTTCGGAAATTTTAACTACAGAAAAAAATGCATACAGAAGGTCCACTTAGTGAAACTCGGTGCTGCATGTAAATGTAGTTAGAATAATGGCTAATTCATCAATTCTATTGGTCAATACAGGCAAATGATTGCCTGCTATAATAGTAATCCCATGCGTAATAACATAGGCATGGTACAAAAATGAGATGGCCCTTCTGTATATTCCATATTCTGTTCCTTAAAACTGTTGTTTGACGTATTTTAAATATGTAGTGCTCCCATGCAACTCTTCTCCGTGCTTGAACTCAGGGACATGCAGTAACAATGGAAACAAATTCTCTTGCACATGTTCATCCCTTTACACTGGAGAAAGATGCGAAAGAAGAAAAAGTAAGTGAAAGTTTTGGCAATGTTTCATCAAATGTATGATAAAATAAAGAAAGTACGACCTAATTAAGATTAATTTTCGTATTTATTGCCTAAAAGACAAAGTAAAACCGGGTCAATCCATTTACTGATCATCGTACTCAAGACCACGGTTTATAACAACAGAACGTTTTTAAGACAATACACGCCCAATGTATTCTCCTCTCACAAATAATCGAACTTCTTTCGCCTATGCATTTAGCCATAATATTGTTATGTTTTTTATATGTGTTCTACTGGGAAACAAGCTCAATATTGAATTCGCAAAATTATTTCAATTGCAGTAGGAGCGATGTGTGCAAGCGATCTAAATACAAACTGCAAACAATGGGAGAAATACTGCGTGATGTATGCTGAGAACGAATATCAATTATTCATGAAGAACAATTGCTGTCAAACCTGTAAACAATGTAGGTATTATAAGTCAGATACATATCTGAATAAGCAAATCATTTATCCATCATTCTCTGTCAGTCTTTACTGGAAAAATTATACTGCTTCAAGTTTTTTTCGTGGCTTAAAGAACGAAGGTCAGGGTCGTGCTTTGCGCGCCTAATATTTATGTTTACATACGAAAACTTTCCTATGAAAAGTGTTACTACAGCACCTCACGGTCAAACAAGAAAAAAGCCAACTTTGAAGCCCGAATAGTAAAATAAGATCAATTTTTTGAGTTAAAATAGTCCGCTCTATCTAAATAAATTATTTCCTTGAGGGTGATATGGGCACTTTAAATCTCAAAACGCTTAAAGGAATAAAATTTCATAATTTATAAATTTCTTTAACCCTCAAGGGTTAAAATTTCATAAGTCGAAATTGTAAATTCGATTCAAACAACAAGAAATTAGTAAATTACAGGAGCAATAAAGTTTCAAATGTTTATTTTGATCAATTTGCCTCAATGGTGTTACAACTTTGAGATTACTGATCTATATAGCATATGGAGTTTTTCATTATATAAATACGAATCTTTCAAAGCATTTAATCACACTTGAACTATCTGTATATTGCTTTGTTGTAGCTTACAATTGTAAATGACAAGTGAAGCTGCTAATGCTTTTGTATACTGACCTAATACACAAAAAAGTCAACTACATCCGCGACAACTTAAACCTCACTAACTAGAACGATTTTCCGTTCCCACAAGAGTTCAAGTTATCAGTGTTCCAAAAGGTGTCGCACAAAAAACGGAGCCCGGGCAAATAATCATGTATGCATTAAAATGACATCTGCAAGAAATAATTTAGTCTGCCATAGATATTTTTTCCGCCTGTTTAATTTAGTTACGCTAGTTTGTCCATGTTCGTCGAAGTTTATGAAAAACATGATCACATTTTAGTGGCTGTTATTACTTATTTAACATCGCTTTGATTTTACAAAGATTTTGCGTAATAAATTTGAGATGAAAATCAGTGTACGACAGTACTTTTAAATTTTAACTTGTTTTTCTTTACTAATACTGTGCAAACCTTATGAAATCTCAGAGGCGCAGACTCTAAACTGTTGTGAATGCTAATTACATTATTGTGAATATTAATTTCAGCCAATTTATAATTAATATATGCGGGTTCCAGGTTTTTTTTGGACACCTTTAGCACAGAATAGATATCATAACAGAAGGTCCACTCGTGTCGGAACCTTTGATGTTCGTGTCCCCTACTTTTCTGAAGCAATTTCTAAGCAGACACGCGTTCCAGCAAGATACTTCAGCTAGATCGCAATAGAAAATATAAATGTTTTTACAAATATATCGTTTTGCACTACAAAAGCTTGAAACCTTATCTCCTTCGCAAGATGATAACTCTTTGTAAAAATAACGGCAAACTTGTGCTTTAAACGTGAATTATTAGTAATATAACATTCTGGTGCAATACTATTCCATATTGATTTTGTGAAAGTATCTTGCTGGGAAGTCACGCATGCGTAGTGAAAAAATACGCCACGATTTAGCCGAGTGGGCCTTCTGTTAGATGTCTATTCTGTGCCTGTAGTCTACAGTAGAAATTTTGCATACCAGATAAATTTATTTGTAAACAAAATGCATTAATTTTTTCACAATATAGTTTGCAAGGACAAAAATCAAAACTGCAAGCAATGGAAGTCAAATGGCTTTTGCACCCATAAAATCTTCGAAGCTTACATGAGGAACAACTGTGTCGTAGCTTGTGGGCACAAATGCACATCATAGAAAGTGAACTGTTTAATGCTTTCATTTATTACACATATAGGCATAGGAATGTATGAAAAAATGTTGTAAAATGTATCGGAGTATATAGATAAGTTGACGATTAAATTCAAATACGTTTTGTTATTCGATTAAACAGGGTGTGAAAACGAGCAACTTGATTGGTCATTAAGTGCAATGGCATGTTATAGCTAACACGTAGGGATGACGTCACGCGACTTGCATTTATGGTGAACGATGTTCTTTAAACGTTATAGCTACGATATTTATCAACGACATACTTATCATAAAAAGTGCACTTTCGGGTGATTATATAAAAGAGCCGAGAATCCTAGCCGTACACACCACACGCAAGCGGCAAAGACAGAAATCTTGCACAGAAAACCTGCACGTTCGTGAAGTAGCTATTTCATCCGTTCAGCATGACACAAAACACATTCTAGTTTCTGTTTGAAGAATTTTAAAGCATCTTTATAAGAGCATAGTTGAAATACTGACTCACCATTCACGGTCATGTTGTTATCACCGGGACCTGACGTGACCAAAACGTGACGGGATGGTTGTCCTGATCAAAATCGACTCGCTTCTTTTTAGTAAGCACGAAGACAATGTTGCTTCTGACCAAAGACGTAACGCACGTCGTTTTGGGAAACTTCACATTTGTATTTCTTTGGTTTTACTTGTCACTGAAACATGGATTTAAGATGAAACACGTTATTATTTATACTGGTAAATAATTAGGACAAAGTTTACATTTCAAAAATATGTTAAAGGCACTTTAAAGTTTTTTACCTAAACGCTGAATTGACAGTGATAACCTTGAGAATGGTTAATAAATTTATTGTTGCTGAAAATCACAGTCGCAGTATGCGTCATAAGATGGTTAAAAAAAGCTTATTTTGGTAAGGCTGCACCTCCCCTTCATGACTTTCGCGAGTATCGCTTATCATTAACGTAAATAACTACAAATAGGATAAATATCTTGTAAAACTACTACAAAAATAAACTGGTTAATTTTTTGAAAAAATGCATTCAAAATGGTCGACGTACACCCATCTTCAATGAATTTAGTTGCACGTCACTCAGGAACTAAACACACACATTGAAGCATTATATTTGTATCCATTATGAAATAGGGTAGCACTTTAAAATATGTCGTAAAAATTTTAACAGCCAACTTCTTTTAAACGTTAAAGGATGTAATTAAACCACGATTGCCAAATACGTGATTGTTGTAATTCCGAACAAAATATACATAAAGGTCTCCAAGCCCTTACCCGAACTTGTCGTTCTTGCCATACTGAATGACAACAGTTCGCTCATAAAGCTGATAACCATTTATTAATTCAAATGCAGCAATGGCGATGCTCTTATCTACAAACAAAGTTCATTGACATAAGTAATTTATGCATCTTACGTGCAAGTGCACGTGTTTTCGACGTAATTTCAATGGCCAAACCTTCAAACGTAACGAATGCCTGTCCTCTCATGCGTCCGCTCATCAGCCGAATGTTTACAGCACAGCTCTCGTCTATGAATCGGTTGAACAGAGCTTTAAGGTCGGCGTCTGTAACTTTCTTACTGAGGTTTTTGATGTATAAAACCTTAAATAAAAATTCAACAAAGATACACGGATAACTGGAAAAAAACGTCTAGGTGAAACCTCAGAAAGAGTTTTCAAACCTGGAAAGTTTTCAAATTCAACTTCTATTATTTTTACTTATATCAGCCACCCGAGATCTACCCCCCTCCCTCACCCTGGCGCCACCAAAACAGCATTAATCCAAACTTTGGAAAATTGCGTCTATAAAAGGTTGGATGTAGTCACAATAAGTTGATAAACTCGACATATTTCTTATTGTGCGTGTGGTAGCTTGAAAATAGACTACTGTCATAACCATAGATTGCCATAACTGTTACGCTTAAGCTTACCCTTGAAGGGATGCCTGGCTCGTATTCTTTAAACCGGGGCAGAGCACGAATCTCGTTCAACGTTAAACGATGTCGCTTGATCACCTCTTCATCTAATGGAATGATTCTTTCGTCTTCATCTGTACAGCCATCGGACTCGTCTTCCCCATCGACACCCATATCGCTTTCCCCATCAACCTTTTGAGATACGCTTCTTTTTTCAAACTCTTTCAAGACCGCGTCAAGGGCAGGATCGACTGAAATGAGATTGTAATGAGTATAAAATCACTTGAGCAATGGTAAATTTCAAAGAAAATTAAATTTTGACAAGACAAGGCGATTTGCCTATCACAACTAGAAAGAAATTCAAGAACGTTGTGAAGATCTTAATAATGCAAGAGGCATTATATATGTACATTCTTGTATTTAGATCGATTCTTCATCAATGTTAATATCCGCATATTCATTTTGTTCGTTTTCTATAAGATTTTTCAATGCAGAGATTGAAGTAAAATGACCGAATTTGCATTGTAAAGTTTGCAGCTATGCAGATTTATAGGTTGTTGAGAACGAAAGTTGTCGCCACCTTCCTTTACGCAATGTTAACTAAACTCGCGGTTTCATCAGCTTCTTATTAAAACTCAAAACACATGCACAACAAAACTTCGAAAAAGCAAAAGTTGACTTGGAAGTTTTCGGATGGTGTTAACCCTTTTCTGCATGGTGTTGCTTCACGGCAACAATTACAGAGCACAATGGAGTTCAGTCCGCAAAAAAATTCATGCAGCAAAGGGTTAATGAAATACAAAACTATGGCGTACGTAGTGTGTGCTTACACCAAAATCTTCGTGAAACTCATGCGCAGCAAAGCACAACAAGCGCGACAACATATATAGTGAGGGTGAGTAGTCTGGTGAGGGTTGTAATCCACTACAGATTCGGCTGTAAGCGAGTTTTGTTAAAATAACCCTTTGCTGCATGGTGTTGCTTCGGGGCAACAATCACCGAACATGATGGAGCTTGGTCCACAAAAAAGTTCTTGCAGCAAAGGGTTATGGTACGGGGTCCGCGTGGGGAAAGCCTTAAATTTCAACTTCAGCTCATACATTTTTGGCTTGAATGAAGTAAATGAGAAAACGCCATCGACTTTTCAGTTCCTTTATTTAAGGATTGCTCAACTTCCATGGCATGGCGACTCATTGTTCGCACGTTGGAGAAGGTTGTCTGTTGAGAAAGACTTTCTTTCTTCCTTTGTATTTTCTCTTGAATTGCAACGCGTCTGTCTTTTTCAACTTCGGGATTTACCCCATAGTTACTTTGGACGCAATCCTGACAAAATAAAAAGTTTGTAACTTCAATAGCTACGCTGGTTTTTCTGACAAAAAAAGTATTTTTTCTGATAATAGATTTGGCTCGGAGTCCAGTAATGGTAAAGGTGTATAGCTATTTAATGGTATCGAAATTTTGATGTAGAATATAACAATATATTTACAGAAGAAACAGAGCGCAGTGATTTTCATCCTCCCCTTGGGAGCATGGGAACGAAAGTGAGAATAATGGGATTTTCTAAGGATTGTCGGGAAAGTTTGGAATCCTACTCTTACTCGGGATTTTAACAAAACTAGATAGTGACGCTGTTTTAGTGCACATATAGGACTCAGGAAAATAATTTAGATAGAGTGGGCGGGTTTCAAGAACATTTGCAATATATTTTGTAAGACGAAAATTCGATCTACCTTGACTTTTTGGGCCTCAAAATTGGCTTTTTTCCTGTTTGACCTGAGGTGTTGTGATTGGGACTAGTTCACCGAACGTGACGTACATTGGAAAACACGCTGCTTTTTAATGCTATAGAAATAATGTTAATTCAATAATAAAGTGAAGAATTTAATCGCTTATAAATTTTCATTTTCCTATCACCCTATCACACGATGCCGTCCAGTATTTCCTACAATACAGACAGTCAACTTGATTCGCATTCCTTTAATGATTCATTCAATGTGACGATATTCCTTCATAATAGTTCACTACGTTCGAACATCCATAAACTACGCATCAGTGCAGCATCTCAACCACGAAAAATTCACTCAATACAGGTTTGATGAAAATAAATTCCTCGACTTTTCTACAAATGTCACTATAAACTATAACGCTGAAAAACAGCGTGTTCTCCAATGTACGCCACGTCCGGGTGAACTAGTCCCAGTCACACCACCTCACGGTCAAACTGGAAAGAAGCCAACTTTGAGGCTCAAGAAGTCGAGGAAGATCAAATTTTCGTCTTATAAAACATATACGTATAGCAAATCGTCCACTTAACATAAATAGATTATTTCCCTGAGGGTGATTTACGCACTTTAAGTTATCATATTGACAGAAATTGGCGAGAGATTTAAATATCCAGAATGACTGGTAGGAAAAAGTCAATTCATTGAGCAAATAACTTCAGTTTTCTTGACGAACCTCGTTAAGGAGACCACAGTCAACCATTTTCAGCTTGACTTCGTCTTTTGTCAGCCCCATGCCAGTTAGCTCAGCTTCTTTTTCTTTCAAAACGTCAAATTTGTTGTAGTTGCTCAACGTCATGAATCCACTGGCTTTTTCCTGTGAAGAGTCGTAAACAACCGGCTCCGTGAACAACTTTCGTTTCTTCGATGCTCTTGGAATACGGAAAGTGAACACAATTTATATTATACGAAATTACAACCTGGAATCACTGGCATTTATACATCTCGCACTGGCAATTTGGCAGTGCTGGAAAATATTTGCGCTAGGAAACTTTTTACATAAGCCATGAAGTGAAATATTTAATCCAGACCTGTGGTTAGTCTTACACTGAAAAATATCGTGCAAATACATGTTTGTCGATGTTGATAGTTAGTCCAAGTTAGAGCAATCTTAAGAAGGATTGTAGGTACTAGTGTTGACTGACGTTTCGATAACCTTGGCGGTAGTCACCTTCAGAGTCAATCAACAGCTACCAAGATGATTACCGCGAAAGTTTTCGAAACGTCAGTGAAGTGACCAATAGTCCTTCTCGGGACTTTACTATCCTGGATAATCTACATCTACAAAATGTAACGATATTCCCCGGTTTAAGCTATTCAAGTTATCACGATAGAGCAGTTACGTCAGTGAAGCTACCTGTTAAGTGAGACTTTCGTGTCCAGTTGCGTCTTTAGCATGTCTTGCAAGTGGTCTTCTGCCTCCGATATTGTTCCCTTACCGGGCGCCCCCAATTGCTGATTTTCGTATGGAACATTTTTGTTCGGTATCATACGCATGACTGAACGGTTTTTATAACGGCGCGGATTACCGCTGAAAAAGATTGTAATTAATTATGAGTATGAATCCTCAGCTTGCAAATGAAAATGTAGATTTTAGATTTCAGGCAGAAAACCACAAATAACTTTGAAATTGAACGTCCCCCCTCCCCCCTTTTGTCGATTAAGCCACAAGCTAAGATAAAAAAGACATGAGAATTAGCTCAAAACTGACTCTCTAATTTGTCTTTCAACATTTTCTGCTTGCAAAAATAACATAAAATTTCTTGCAATGGAAGTTGCAAAACTGGATGCACATCAACTGTGTAAACTGTGATGAACTTTCAAAGAAATGTTATAGAGAAATGTGTGAATCTGCGCAAATATCCATTTTGGTATTACATAATGGTTCCCATGCCTTTAAAAACTTATGTCAAAATAAAACAAACATTATAGGCAAGTGGTTGGTACTGGTCCTGGATGAAATTGTTCTCCCACAAAAGACTGCAATCAAAGCCACAATGCAGGGTGTCACTTGTGGCAATCAACTTTTCTAAGGAATACCCAATGATACCCTGCACAGATATGTAAAATTGAGCATGCTACATTAATATACAGGTGTTTCATGTTCACTCACTGTAAAAACTATAGAATTCTAAAGAAATAAATAATGCTAATGATCTGAAATTTACAATCCATGACTAAATATTCTGGCTGGTTATGCCAGTGTGACGGCATCAATTAGATCATTCATCCCTTCAAAAACCAAAATGTTCATGTAAGCAATTTTGCCGTTGAAAAGAAAATTTACATTCTTTTTCCTTCAACCACAGGAGTTTCATGGGTTGGTTGTCCGAAATCTAAGCAGTCAAAGTTATACCAATCTAAATCCTTGATACTACTTTATAGTTGACTAACAAGAATATTTTAAACAATTTTTATATAGTTTGGGCAAGATAATGATCACGTTTTATGCTATATCCCCATTTTGCTTGTTTGAATCAAAAGATCATTGTGACTGGTGAAGTATTAGAGTGCCACTGAAATAATAAGTCTTCAATAGAGTTTATTTCTACAGAGATGACGGTGATTTATGTGAATAAAACATTACAATGCACGGGAAATTTTTTAAAAATCTAACATTGCTATTTATCATGGAATTTACATGATTGCCATATTGAATAACAATAATGGTCAAGTGAAATTATATGATATCAATTCATGGATAGAGAATGTTGTTTTACGAAAATCCATAGTGATTTTTTAAAAATTCACTATGGATTTTATTTAACAAAATAATGGAGTTTAGAAAAAAATATCCTGTGATGATGAATAGAATATGCTACATACCAAGGAATACCAGTCGCCTCATATGAAGATGGATCAGGTTTGAATGTTTTTCCACTTACTACACATAAAGAATATCATATAATAGACTTTAACTTTATAGATGTAGCTTTGCTGGCCAATATGGCCCAATGTCAATTGTCAATTTGTCAATGCCATGCAATATTAAAAATTCGGACAAATTTTTGACAACAAAGTATTTTGTTATTACCTGATCCTCCAACCATAATTTTGCCGTATTCACTGTAAGTCTTAACTTAACTGAAGCAGAATTCAAGTTGGTACATTTTCGTTTTCAGAGTAATAAAAATTTGGAATTCCAAACTTGTTATCGCTTTCTCTAACATCACGTTTCAGCTCGTAGCGAGTTTGCGCTGACTTTTCTTACATCAGGCTCAATCAAGAAACATGGCCGTCGTTGCTAAAAACACTTTAGCAGCGAAAAGCTTGTTTTGCGATGTAACTTTTGTATTGCAGCATAGCAATTACAGTATGTTGAGTAAAAAGCCTTTTTTTGTCATTCGCCATTTCAGAAGTGCATCTCGTTTGGCTAAAGGCCAAGGAACTGATGATGGAACGAGCGATTTGACCCCAAATACTACAAAACAAAAAAAAGAAGTCAGAACCGACTTATCTCGACTTAGGGAACTTTTGCTTCAAAAAAGTGCCAAAGTAACAATTTTTCAACCTCCCATTGCCGATCCCGAACAACCTGCCGAACCGCGACCTTCAACGAAAGCGAAGAAGACAACGCATAGTGACTTACCTAAACTAAAGGAACTTTTGCTTCAAAAAAGTGCCAAAGTAACAAATTTTCAACCTCCCATTGCCGATCCCGAACCACCTGCCGAACCGCGACCTTCACCGAAAGCGAAGAAGACAACGCACTTAACGAAGAAAGACACCAATGTCGCAGGTCAAACAGTTGATGTCACAAAAATCACAAATATGTTAACAAGCCTGAGTAGGTCTAGCGAAAATCATGAAAAGAGTTCCACTCCATCAAAGAAGAATAGCGAAATACTCAAACAACCAATAAAACTATCACCACAAAAGACAGTGGACGTTGACGAGATAAAGGAAGTTCTCGTGGATCGGAAGGCAAGTAGCCACTCGGTAGATGAAGCGGTATTTGCCCCAGGTCAAGCACCTGATGCGAAGTTAGCTGTAGAACGTAAAGACATGAAACAAACACATTTTCGAAGTAAAGGCGGGCCGAAAGGCCAAACAAAGATACCGCTGGACTTTGGCCCTCGTACTCACATGTTTGACCAGGTCTTAGAAAAGTGGCCAGAACAGTCAGATGATGATTATAAAAGTATTTTTCAAGAGATGCACGAGCAGGCGGTTAGAGATCAAGGTAAGGCAACCATTGCTAGGAGTGGTTTTCATGACTTGATTGAGAACGTGAACAAGCAGTGGTCATTTCCGATTGATAACGAGGAATGCAAAACGAATGAAGAAGGTGTTGGTTTTGACGAGCACGTATTCCTAGAGCATCACTTAAGTGAATTTCCAAAAACAGGAAATATCCGTCAGTTTATGGAGCTTGTTGTGACCGGACTACAGCAGAATCCCCACTTGAGTGTGAAAGAAAAGAAGGAACATATTGAATGGTTCAAAGATTACTTCGAAAATATTCCCGACGAACAAGTTAAACTGTAGTTGAAGTTATAATGAAGAGCCTTAAGAGACCCTGATGTGTATATATATACGTAAATATGTATATCTTTGTCGAAATGAACACAACCTAATTCATCTTCTCTGCTAGTTATGCTAGAGTCAATGTCAGTTGAAAGTCTCTACTTGAATACAAGCAAAAGAGCTTGCTGCGCTTTATTTGAAATGTGTTAGTTTCAACTGCGTCTATGGTATGTTGATACGTTTTTTGTTTTCAAAAAATCTTACGAAGTAACACCCTTCATTATTCGTAAACCTTCGATCAAACTGATTGTGATTTTCAGATGCTACTGGAAAGCAGTTCATAATTTCCAATGCCCATGACGTCATTGCTCATTGATGCAGAAGAGAAAAATATTACCTGGCGCTTAACAGAACTTTGCGCGATGATAAGTAGATGTTAGCGCTAGCATGTCTGTGTTTCAAAATTATTACATTAATGGTCTTTTGTCCTTACACGAAAACAACTATAAGTAAATACTTTTGCAGGTTTTCCGAGAAAACGAGTCGACAGAATTCTGAAAATCCAGCTATTGCCCAAATTTAAAAATTGTTTTAAAGTACGTTGTGTAGTCAGTTGATCATCTAAACCTGTAAACTTTCGTCCCTTACACGCCTTCAGATGTTTGCAGTCTACGTAAGAACTTGTTTAGAGCTTACATTTCGCAAACGACGTAAGAGATCATGAAAATACAATACAAGCGAATGGCTTTGTCAACCGTCGTCATTCTTCTAGGAATTAAACGCACTAAACTAACGAACAGACGTTCACATAAAATGATCCAGGCGAGACACCCTGTACACATTTTTACGGAATATGTATTGCATAAAATTACTTTTGACCGCTATTGGTAGACAAAGACTCAAATGCATCATTACCAAGCAAGACGACTTGTAGATAGAAAATTTCAATACACAAAGCTTGCAACACAGCAATCAAATTTTGATTTTCCTATGTAACCTCTCTTTAGGTCGAAGGAAAGAATACAACACACAACACGTTTTGTCTAACATTTTATTTTGAATACTGAAACACTGGGAAAAATTTCTATTTACTTCTCCCCTTCCTTCAAATCCGCCTTCAATTGTTTCTTTCCACCTCGAATACGTCCGGTACGACGAGCAGCAATCAAACCAACTTTACGACCGGCGGACGCATCTCTTCTCATCGTCGACGGCTTACCAATATGTTGATGGTTACCACCGCCGTGAGGATGTTCAACGGGCTAAAGCAAGTGTTGAAATAAATTAGATGACTCCCTACTCTACGCATCCGAAAACCCAACTTTCATTTCGAACACTATTACAATTGTCGCTCAAATAGATCAGCGTCCTGCACACGTGATTAAATGATTGATTACGTATAAGATGTGAGATTTCCCGCCTGTCCCGAGTTGAAAACTCGACATAATGAAAGAATTACAAGGATAATCATTCGATCTCATGAATTTTTCAGTCCGACCGGACGAGACCACTCGCTTCACACGTAATCAGCCCGAAAGATTACACGAAATTCAACCCAGCTGTGGGAGGGGGGGAAGGGGTTGTGTGGAAGTGATGTGAGTTCACTTATACGAATGGGGAGTCCAAAACAAGAAATAAATTAGAAATAAATTCTCATCTGTGCTGAGAATAGTGAATATTCAAAACCTGTTGCTGCGCGTCGATGTAGCAGTGTAAGCAAGTGATTAACTTTGAACAATTAAAAACAATTTCACTTATTTAATATTTAAGTATCAGTTTACCCTTTTAAAACGATTGAAGTATGTTGAGACTTATCCTGTTAAAGCCAAAGAGTACATGAATATATGTGCAAGTGGGAACTGCACCAGAAACTTGACAGTTGACAGGTATGCACAAAAAAAAACCATACTTACATTCATAGCCACACCACGGACACGGGGCCAGCAATTACGTTTAACCTTGTATTTGTGGTATGCTCGACCTGCCTTCAATAAAGGTTTTTCAATACGACCACCACCGGCCACAATACCAACCATGGCCCTATTGGCTGATGGAACAAGTCTCTTTATACCAGATGGCAACTTCAATCGAGTCTTGTTTGTGTCAACATTGTGAGAGATGACAGTGGCGTAGTTTCCAGAAGCACGAGCCATTGCTCCACCATCACCTGTTTTCTCTTCCACATTGCATATGATGGTACCTTCGGGCATGTGACCAACAGGAAGGCAGTTGCCCACTTGCAAGGTGGCTAAAAAAAGTGCACTCTCACTAACTAAACCAGTCATACATATCTGACATTCATTTTGATGGTATGTAATGGGTTTGTTTGATAGGTCCACTCAATGTATATTGGCAGGGAAAGGGGCTGGGAAGTTGTTGAGAAACTGTGGTCATGAAGATCCAATATAACAATACCCTATAACACTACAGGGTGTATGAAAAATTAGACAATTCTGAAATGCTTAGTTGATTATTGGTTTAGTCCAGGGGTCTCCAAACTTTACAGCCATAGGGCCACATGAACTTTCATCCAGCATGTTGAGGTCCGACAAACCGTATACTGCTGGTCAAAGAGCGAATATTTTAATAAAACGAAGTACATAACACAAGCTTCATTAGTTAAGAAAATAGCTCCTTCCTTAGCTCAAAAACCCTTGACAGCACTTTTCCACAACTTAGTCATCTTACTGCAGTGTAATATGGTATGTCAACAGATTCTGTCTCAGTAGGAAGTTTGGACAAAAATTGACATAAGCCACTCTTGCTAGTTGGCTTGCATCATAACGTGAACTTTCTGCATAAAGTTTATTTTGTTTAATAATATTATTATTTTTTTCTTAAGTGTCTCTGCGGGCCGGATTGAGAGGCCCAACGGGCCACATTTGGCCCGCGGGTCGTAGTTTGGAAACCCCTGGTTTAGTCAAATTCCTCTAAGATTTGTGCAATTGCTAAGGGTACTTTAGTATTCTTAGTTAAATCTAGCCCTAATAACAAATAGAAAATTCAACCACAATAGGAAAGGCTTGTGTAAGCAAGAATGAGGTCAAATGTTTTCATAATGAGGAAATCCATTATGTTTTCATGGGATGAAGGTTTGGGTCTTGGTTTATAAAGTATGGACACATCAAAAATATGGTAAAATGTAAGTCTACAGCACAGCAACATAAACTTGGGTTGCTAAACGAAAACTTTGGTTGTAAACCAACACACAAACCTTTGTCCGATGAAATCAGAATGAATTTTTGTCACCTCATTTGTACTTTTCACAAGCCCTACTAATTGCAGTTTCTGCAAACTGCTCTTTTGTTTTTTGAGATTGAATTTTCTGTTTATTTTTAGTGTTAGATCAAACTGAAAATGATAAAGTACCCATAATAGTACAAATCTATGAGATATTTGGGTAAATTCATCATCTACTAGAAAGTTTCAAAATTTTCTACTTTTTTAAAACACCAAAATTGTTCGCAGTTTTAATATAGTTTCAAACGGCTCACAAACAAAAACTAGAATGTTTACATGTTTAAATAAATGACACTACTAAGAAGTATTTCAGGACAAAGAATCCAGATAGACTCAAGACATACATTGGGATATTCCATGTGAAATTAGGTATTAGGAGGGAAAATGGGTATTCAAATTCTTCATTATGTAAGTAGCACTTCCACCATTTTAAATGCCTTGGTTAGCTGTACGAACTGGCATGATTGTGTGGTAGCTGTTTTTGTTTAGTTAATAAAATCAAATTACTTACACTTCATAATATTAATGCTCTGTTATGACACAATGCTTTTGTCAGCACAATCATTTAAAAATGTAGACCCCATTTACACACATATTTTTGCTTAGTATAGTGTCACTCACAAACTTTCAAATCGCTTACCTTTCTTTCCACAATACACAAACTGTCCAGTGTACATTCCTTCGGTAGCAATAAAGAGCTCTTTCTTAAGTTGGTATCGATAGGGATCACGAAAAACAACTACAGCTAAAGGGGCACCACGACCAGGATCATGAATAATATCCTTGATTACACCCTTTATGTATCCATGCCGTTCCGCATAGTCAAGCACACGCAATTTCGCAGCTCCTTTCCTATGTTTTGTATGAGAGCGGAAAATACTCCCAGCTCCCTTACGCTGACCTCTGATTACACGTCCCATTTCTATAAACACAATTAATAATTGAAATGCTAGGCTTTTCAATGCATAAGGATTACATTGGCTGCTTCCGAGACTATAATGGCAGTGAAAGAAGAAAGAAGAAGATATCTAGTGAGATATACATTAAAATAGGATATGTAAGTTCATTCAAAATTAGTTCATTTGTAACCAGAGAACTTGGAACGTTGATGTGGAATGAGACAATTGAATCAATAAAGAGTTCTTTCAAACAATGGAAAGAAGAAATTATGTTATTCTTATGTTATTATACATTTTTATATAAATTTGAAAAAAGTCAGAAATTACAGGGAAGGCAGAAACCGTTTGAACATTAATACCCTTCATTCAATGATTTCAAGATGCATTTTAGGGATAAATAACATACTATGTATTAAAATAACACAAGGTTTCCAACTGTTGGTACTTATTAGAAACATAGCACGGCACAAAATTGCATTCGTTACAACAATAATTCTGGAACGATCTACGAAAGGACAGAAGCCTTAAACGAAATTAAACAATACTTCAAAGGAACAAGTCCTATTTCATAAACTTTAAATATGATTATAAAAGAAAAGTAAGTCAGATTCCTCGAGATTGCTTTCTTACCTTTGCTTCGCTGCTACCTTCGCAGTGAAGATTTCCGAAAAGAACGAGAATAACAAAAACCTATCTGAAAACCCGTATGTTGATACGTTGATCCATGCTGATCAATGGTGATCCATTCGATTCCCATCATTCTGATCCAGATGATCCTGATCACTGTGATCCTGATCTATAAATGACGTCAATATCAAATCTATAAATGACGTGTTAAGTTTAAGTGTTAAGCAGTAGCCATGTTGTTGTTCTATAATTAATTTCCCTTTGAGTTTATTTTGAAACGGCAAAACACTTGAAATGTTGATTTTAAAATAAACAATCAATTCAGCAGAATTGTGGATTGCATCACGTCGGTTGTGATGGCGATAAACAGCGACGAAATAAACTTCCTTGTGTATAGATACCTGCAAGAGTCAGGTACAGTATGTCAAAGATTTTCGATAGAACATTAATACATTATAGAACAATATTGCTCTACTGTGCTTTGCATGAGTACCATGTACATAAAACTTGTTCTCTGTAAACAATGACCACTTTTTTCTTTAGTTTGAGGTTTTTACTGCTGTATGTACACGTAATATAAATTTTTCAGTCACCTTCAAATGATATCTTGTCAGGATTTCCTCACTCAGCCTTCAGCTTTGGAATTGAAAGCAACTCAGTACATTCTAGTATTGATGGTGTGTCAGTTCCATCTGGTGCTTTGGTATCGGTTATACAAAAGGGAGTACAGTTTGTTGAGGCAGAAGCATGCTTTGGAGAGGTACGTACAATAACTGACTCTCAAATTTCATAACATATAAATGGTTGTGGGAAGCTTTCCTTAATGAGCACACAAGGTCTGTTGTTTCTGTTATAAGATCATTGTTTTGCTTTTTTAAGGATGGCACATTTTTTGGCGAAGGAGAACTGTCTTTGATTGATGCTGTGAAACCATCGGCCATATCAGACCTACATGCAAGAGCTTTGAGACATTTAGAAGAAAAGGCAAAAGATACGTTAAGTTATGTTGATGTGACTACTGGTCCGGAGTTTCCTTCTTCAAAAGTTACAAATTTGGAAGGACATAAGTCTGAGGTGAATTTACGCATCACTAAATATGTTTCTCTTTTTAGGATAGACACATGACAAAATATATGATGGGAAGGGGGGAGGTTGAATGGCGACATGAGGCAAATGATAAGTCAAAATTTTGAACAGAGGGCATCAAAGTATAATTTATAAATCAAGTCTGAATATTTCGAAAATAACTCAACATCTAGTATATGTAAAAAATATTGGAGGGGGGAGGAGGATATCACCTCCCTTACTTTTGTCTCACAAATAAAATTTCCATTATCATGCTAGCAATGTTGCCAGGTTTACAAACCCCAACAAGTAATGAATAATGGCTAACACTTTAGTGCTTTGAGCTTTTTGTATTTCTCCCTAATTTATACATCAACGTAGTATTTAGTTGAGCTCTTTCTCTCTCTACGTTTTTGTCAAAAAGCCAACATGCCGTAACATGGATGATCTTTCTTTATATAGGTCTGCTTGTGCAGTTGGAATCCACACTTTGATATTTTGGCATCAGGGTGAGGTGAAAGGCATTTATGTGACAACGACATAAGATTGTTTGCTTTCAGAAGTAGTGAAGATTATTTTCGTATAACTTATGGGCTAGGCATTGTTATTACTGCTTCAATCCACATTTCGTGATTTGCAGATCTGGGGTTGTGGGCAGGATTTATGAAAAAAGGGGGGTCTCTTAGAAAGCACAAACCTAAAAGCTGTCAATTTTAAATTGTCGTGAGAAAGAGGGTGCAATGGGCCAATCCCCCCTGGCCATGCCCCTGCAAATCATTTCAATAATTGTATCCTTCATGCTACATATATTAGGGACTATCAGTATGCATTGATTAAGATTTGCTTTTCACATTTTTTATTTTGATATCATTTTCATTTCATGTCTTTTGTTTTGTTGTGTTCTGTTTCATTTTATTTTATTTTCATACGGAGCAAGAAAAGCATGACACTGTAAATTTTACTATAAATTTATAACAGGCATTGAATGTATACAGGTATAATCGCCTGGGTGATTGTTTTTAGTGCTGGAGATTCAACTGTGCGTCTATGGCCTTTTAAGAATACGGACGAAACGAAAGATGTGACGTCATTAGTTTTGAGCCCGGAAGATAAGAATACTGTTTCCAATGGTCTCGCTTCAGGGAAAGATGTCACGGCACTCGAATGGAATGTAAGTTTTTTTTGCTACTTTAGCATCGTGATTTGATTGTCGATGTACGGGTTTTTTTGACAGTTTTCAATGGTTTGTTAAAATTAAGCTATTGCAGTGCTGAGACTGAGTTACGTGCGAAATACACTCACAAAGAGTTTTATAATGAGGCCATAGTACACAAAACATCAAAATTGTATCGTAATATTAATAAAAAATCTCATACTTACACTAATAAAGTTCTAGAAGCGAAATAGAAGCGAAAAAAACTGTTCTTAACCCTTTCTGTGGCAGTGTAGCTGTTCTGCAACAATTGCCAAACAAAATGGCTAAGAACTTTTGAAAAACAATTCGCCACTATAAGAGTTAAAACGGTTCGTTCATGAAAACAGGCAATGCATATTTTCACGACATCCGCGTAAGTTAAATGTTTTTTGAGTTAAGTGACGTTAGTAAGTCAGCTAAAATATGGGCGTTGCTTAGAGATATTGGTTTGAAAGCTTTCTAGAGTAGTCTATCTCTTCTAAAATGAGGGAAAAAACACTCCAAAAAATTAAGATTCGAGTTTAAAGGCAAGAGACAAGATTTGCGTAAAATTTCGACTTTGTTTCTAAGTCATTATCAACGACGTTCAAAACTTACGATCTGAAGGAAATCTTTGGATTTAATGTTTTCACTCAGATTCTAACCGTGTCACTTACATTGATTGTGACTTTGAAATAAAGTCGAAATATTCCTTTAAATCTTGTCTCTTGCTGTTATAACTCTCGAATCTTGAGTTTACAAGATGATGTTTTTTGGAGTTTGTATTCCCATTAATTTTTGAAATTGTCGGCTGGAAAAGGCTATCTCTTCTATCCGCCAATGACTCCTGTACAAGCGAACACCCTTGGGGAACGGACTCGTGTTCGCTGGAGGTGTCCGTGTAATACAGGGCCACCTAATTCAGGCCGCTTAATGTTTAAGAAGAAATTATATTTACATCCTGTTTTATTATCTAGAATGATGGCACTTTACTTGCTACGGGTTTCTACAACGGTGATGTGAAGATTTGGAATAACGAAGGTATACTTTGAATTCCATTAGGAAAAATTTTGTTCGATTTTTGTTTCGCTAGTTCGCCTACGGGAATAAAAATGTAACTATGTACTTTTTTACGTATTTTTTTTGTGAATATCGTGTGTATTACCTTTGAATATTTTAATGTTTCAATGAAAATGCGCATTGTAATACTTAATTGAAAAACTTTGGTGTATGTAAATGCCTTTGAAATGAGAAGTTTTACTTAGCCTTACTGTACAAATTCATAGCCTCTATAATACTGTTATATTAGTCATCTACAGTACGTAATATCATTTTATAGTTTTTCTTGGGGCGCACCCCCCTGCACATCTCCCACAGAGAATCCGCCCTTCCTGTGATGATCATGATGTAAATTTGATATATGGTCTAACGGAGATCATTTATGTAATAATAGTCGTGTGAAGATTATATAAGTACCTTATTTCTTCTATTCGCACCCGTCCAATGGTCTACCACTCGAAAATTGGCAAAATAACCTTTTCAATCCAGGAGGAGTTTGTTTTTTTCTCTTTTAAAATTTCATTTGTATTGTTTTAACGATTATGTCCGAGAGGACAGTTGAAATCATTGTTGTAATGCAATCTCAGCAAAATCAATGCGAGATAAGAACTCTAATAGCTTTTGCGAGGAGTTGAAAGTTCGCGATTGCATCTTTTTTTCACAAAACTCATGTCTTGTGTTTGCAAGATGCTTTTGTTTATTGGAGTGCGATATTTTTTAGAACTTGTCTGCTGGGAAGGGATGATAATATTATGCAAACCAAGAGTTTGCGAAACGTTAAAACGAACTATTTGCGTTGTTTTGTGACACTCTTTTCTTTGTGTGTGTCATGATCTTATAGGTAAAGATGTTGCCTTGTTCAAAGAACACAAAGGACTCGTATTTTGCGTCAAGTGGAATGATAAGAGCAGTTATCTTGTTACCTCCGCCATTGATCAGGTATGTTTTGTAACACGTTAGGACATCGAAGATTTTTATTGACGTCACATCTTTCGCACTTCCCCTTCATTGCACGGGGGGATGGATTGCTGGGGAGAGGGTTGCGGAAGGGTGCCATTTTCTCTTCGAAATATTATTCCACCAAGAAATTTAGTCAAAGCGATTGGTGTTTAATAAATACTTCTAAAAAATATCTTCCAACTATGGTTAGACTGGCATGAACATTTGACATACCTTGGTGACATCCACAAAGTAGCAACAGAAATCCAATCCAAACTTGAGCCCCCCTCTCCCCTCCCCGAAAAGAAAATCATGTCGGATCCATCCAGCCAAACGAATTGTTGTCCACCCATTGTCATCCGTTGTGTAGTCTGCTATATCTTCACTGATAAGTATCGATTGTCTTGAGATTTTAGATGGATTGTATTTTTTTATGACGTACATTCGTTTGTAGATCTGTATAGTTTGGGAGACGGCGACATGGCAGATGAAGCAGCAGTTTTCGTTGCACAAAGGTTTGTGAGAAGTATTTTTAGGTCATGGAACAGGTTGCACATAAAACACAATGTCTTATGCTCTCCCTTTCAGCCTTGTCTGGTTTATTTCAACATCTGACATATTTACGGAATTTTGATCGATTTAAAAAGGCATTCTTGCTACGATTAAGCACCGCGTATTATGCGTTTTTGAATTTAGTAAAAATAATGGTGGGAAGGCCCACCTTGATTGCCGATCTGCATGATCGGATTTCTTGCAGTTGCTTTTTTTGCAACTTTTTTTGCACAGGCTTATAGAAACGGAGGAGACCTTTGAGAGCATATCAGTGCAAACTCAAGCTCGAAAATTGAGAGTCTCTCTAACGTCTCCGAGGTTTGCATAAGCCAATGCAAGCGCAAAAAATATCTTCGATTAGTAAAGTACTGCTTGTTCCCTCTCGTTACTTTGTTTGCCTCGTGTGCTCCTTCTGTTGCACAATTTAATACTCAAATGAAAAAGATCCACGAGAAAGCGATGAAAATGGCTCTACTCTAAGAGCGATTGTACCATCTAGCACATTACATTTTTTACATACATCGCAGAAGCAACATGGAACAATTTTTTTTCTCGTGTTGTTAAGTGTCGATTGATCTTACCTTTTTCCGGCTTTCAGGGTATAAATGCTTGATTATATACTTTAATTATTCAAACCGAACAGGACCGGCTCTAGATATCGACTGGCAAAACTCGAATGTATTCGCGTCCTGTTCAACGGACAAGGCTATTCATGTTTGCAAAGTTGGAGCAGAGAAGCCATTGAAAACATTTGAAGGTCATACGGTAAGCAATTGAACGGACATATTCCTTCTTTAGAACTTTGTTTATAAAAAGATTTTGGTGTTAATAATGGTGAACTGTAAAAATCCATTATTGATAGCGCATGTATCGTTATACGTATTCTAAAGTTCTTTAATTTTACGTGTGACGCATGAAAGGAAATATATTTATTGTATCAGGACAGGTTTATGCAAACAGAGGAGATCTTTGGTAGAACTCGTTAGCAGATCAGTGCAGAGCAGATCTGAAAATTCGAGACGGAACGTCGAGACCTGCATCTGTTCGAGGATTACTGAGGCGTCTTCGAGGTTGGCATAAGCCAGTGCAAGCACGAAAAACATCTTTTATTTCTTTTATTAAAGAACAATAATGCAAAACAGATACATTTAAAACAAATGTCTTAATTTTTATTCTAACGTGTATTCATGATTGATTTGCAAATTCTTTTTAATTGATTGAGCTCAGACTCAGATCGGCTTGCACAAGCTAATGCAAACACAGCTAATGTGTACGCGTTGTGTTGTTGTTATTTTGTTGTTGGCAATGTTACTTAGTGTGGCAGACTGCCAATGTTATTAGCCATTGGTCATTCGGCGAAGAGCGCCATTTTTATATAAATTTAGGATAAATTATCTTACCCTACATGATGAATAGTCAATTCTATAGGTTTTTAACGAAGACAAAAATCAATCTTGCTCATAACATTCAAATGAATAAAGTACACCATTAGAAATAACTTGCTGAAATTAAAGCGGATAGCATACTTTGGTAACGCCGAGTGCTCATTAATTGCTGGCTTTGATTATTTTTATTTCTAGGGAGAAATCAATGTAATCAGATGGGATCCTTCCGGAAGCTTGCTGGCATCCTGTTCTGACGACGGTACAACTAAGGTGCATGTTTCTCGGTGCAAGTAAAATCTACTCATTATGTACCTGAATTTTTTGTTGTTTTTTGAGTGCTTTTGTTGTACAATGATGGTGCAATCTTGATTGTGATTGGCCAAGAGCCTACAGATAATTCCTAATGTCTTGCAACCCACAAAACATTGACAGTTATCTGTGGGCAACGTAATTTTAATATGACAACCGAACGGAAAACGCAAAAGGTAAAATGGCAGAATATTCCTAGAGATTTGAAGCGTTTCACGAAGAAATGTAACTCGAATTATTTAGAATAAAGACCCAAAGACTCGAAAAGCGGTACACTGTCAGTCAGGAGAGTTTTCAACGTCTTTTTAAGTGGAAACACGAAAGCGCAGCGTTAAGATTAGTTCATGTTGATACACGGAAAACTTTATGGCTTCCGTTCAAAAAAGTTAAAGTCTTCTGCATTTCAATTTTATAATAAAACAATTATTGAATTCGGCTTTGGCATGATATCAATAATCAACAAGACCTCATTCAACGTTATCCTCCTTATCTTCGCTAAAATCTATCTCGGTCTAGATAATTCTTGATATCACGCTCAAACTCATGCAATAATTGTGAAATGACACATCTTTTCCCTTCATCTTTAAAGATTTGGAGCATGAAGAGCGACAAGCCACTACATACTTATCAAAATGATGCGAAATATCAGGTTTTTACCTTGGAATGGAGCCCAAGTGGACCAGGACGTGCGACTCCCTCGGCTTTGGCAACGTGAGTCTTTTTTCCGTTGGCTTTTCTGTATAGATAATAGTTTTGAATTCATCGACTCAGATTCAGATATTCAGCAGGATGTACTCCCTAAATGTCAGATTTCACTCCGCTAAATAAATTGTCCACCACCCCCCTTACCAATATCCCAAAATGGCTTTAAATTTACTTAGCACTAATCTAGGGACTTTTGGTCTTTTGATTCTGCCTTTAATAGTTTTTAGATTAATGATGAAAAACAAAAAATGAAACAATATTCCTAGATAATAAACACGCGCATTAGTGCATTGGACAGTAATAAGTCCTATAAGAAAATATATACAATATGTTATTTACCGGCATCGAGGTCCGTTCGAAAAAAATATTTTCACGAGGTCTAGTTTTTATTTTTACAGTGAAGAAGTTTGTGTTGCAAAATGGCCGATGCAGCTTGATGTTGATGATTTAGTAATATAGATGAAGTGTTACATTTAGATAGTCTGGGATAGGGTTAGGGGAGGGGTGTGTACCCCTCCTATCCTTGGTTAGATGGGGTAGCAATAGGAGTGCCAATTTCCCTACAAAATAATTATATACCAAATAACTAAGCAAAAGCAGTTATTATTAGTGTTAAATGGAGCACACTTTCGACTATAATAAAAATGCAACAGAATTTAGCAAGAAATGTCTGACATGCTACGGCAACTAGTAGCCACCGAAATATAATCCAAGCTAAAGCACCACCAACCCCTGCGAATCATCGTGGGTCCTTCCCTTTATATAGTTGACTTACAGTTGTTTGTTTACTTCGTGGAAACGATTCGTTTGTCGAATAATTTTAGCTATAAAGCTATGTTACTTCGTTGTATTAATTTCTGCACGGCATGTGAGGATGAGGATAAATCAAGGGCAAAGCAGTGAAAACTTGAAAACGACGATGTTCCAAAACACAAGTTTTCATAATTCTTTACTCACTTAGAAAAGCGACAGCACTCAAAGATAACAAAAGGGAAACTGAGTCTTGAGTCGCTTGAAAATTGAGACTCGTTACCTCGTGTTCGACTAATATTGACCAGTCTGCTCATGCGTTATTTTATAATTTGTTTTAGAGCTTCTCTCGACGGCGTTGTCCGTATATATGAAACGGAAAGCGATAAGTGTTCATGTACCCTTGTTGGACACAGAGAGCCAGTGTATGCAATCTCTTTCAGTCCCAATGCAAGATTTATAGCCACTGGATCCAACGATCGATGTCTCAATATTTGGTCCACACAGGTAGATAGCATGCATTTATGTTATCGTCCAGTTAAAGCATGTTGAACAAATTGCCGTCCGAGTCGTGTCAGTCCTCTCAGTCCTTTCCAGAAGGCAAGCCAATAGGATAAAGCTCTATCCAGATAACTGAAACAACTCCCATAAGGGTCTGTTTAGGCGAGTAACTCGCTAGGCGAGATGAATTTTAAATTTTTTCCATATAAACGCATTTGGCGGGTTTCTTGGCTACCCATTTTTCCCAAATGCGTTTACCGTAATAAATACTTGAGCTGTTTTCATTTACTGCATCGTCTTATATGTTTATCCCAAAGATTTTTTTGATTTTGAAAAAAGACTAAAATCAAAAAACATGCGTATCACTAGAAAATTCGGAAAAATATTTGCTATCATATTTCTTGTCATATAACCAAACTTGAATCAATGGCTAACAGAAGGTGTATGAAAACAAAACGCAAAGCCAAACTCAAATACCAAAAATGTCATTCATCCTTCTACCAATTTGTGATGAACGAATTATCTGTTGTGTTTTGCGCTTTTTTGTCTGTATTGGAAATGTTTTTTTACGCGCAATTGATGTTAATAAAATAAAAGATGTTTACTGTATCTGCACAAGATATGTCAAACGAGGAGACGTTTGAAAGAACTCGAAAGCAGATCAGAGTAAAGGTCGAGCTAGAGTTTTCAAAAACGTCTCCGACGTTTGCATGATTCAGTGAAGCTTCGTTGCCTTTATAAAATGACAATGGTGCAAAACAGACAAATTTAAAACGAATGTTATAATTTTTCGTTCTACTTGTATTGTTGATTGACTTCCAAATTCTCTTTAATTGATTCAATTGATTGAGCTGAGGTTGGTTTACGCAGGCTATTGCAAACAGAGTTATAGACCAATCAGCGCACGCGTTGTATTGTTATTTTATAATTTCTTGTGATTACACAGAACGGGTCGTTAGTGTACACGTATCACGCATCGGGACCAATATTTCAGCTAGAGTGGAGTCCACGAGGCGACAAACTGGCTGCATGCGTCTCCGATAACACGGTAAGCATAACTATAGCTCTTTGAAGTTTCATTTTAGTGATTTTTTTAGCATCGCGTACGTAGATGTATTTTAGTGAATAAACACAAAAATATTCATATGCTTGTAGTATAAAGTAAGTCAGGCTTTGCAATTTGAGTTTTCGAGAAAACTTGTACAGGGAAATTTGCCAGTCCGTATGGCCTTTAGGAAGTGACCTACCCGGTCATGATGTCATGATCACGGGGTGAAAATGACGTCACGATAAATGTCTGCTTTCATGCATGAAAAAGTTGTAATGTGAAAGCGATGATTATGATTGAGCTTTCTAACTCTCTTTCTAAACCACACGTTTTATTCTAATGAAAAATTCTGCTTGAACATAGATTAGGCACGGGATATTGACGAATCAGCGGTGAAATCAGCTCGATAATAGAGTGGGGGCATGCAATATTCATATATTCATGTTCTGCCGTATTAAGTTCCTTTGAAATCGGTTGTTTTCTCTGGATTAAAACATGCATGTATGAATATTGACCCCCCCCCCTCCAATTATCGATGCTGGTTGCGTCACTGTGACGAATATGTATTGCATTCTGTAATCTCGAGTGTTCACGAGTGGAGTTTTTTCATTCTTTAGCTCAAAGTCCTGGATGTTCAAAATTTATGATTCTCTAATGTCAACCGCGGAGATCTTTTTTAACAAAAAGTACTGCATTTAAGTGGAAAACAAGAGTTTTTGCTTGAAGGGACATGTGCTGACATCAAGTACGCATTCAAGAAGCTCAGAAAGTCAAAAAAAGAAAAGATCCTCTCTGTATATATTCGCTGAAGGAAATAGGGCATTAGCTTTTTTTAAAGTTCAAGTTTTTTTGTTATTGTCAACCATTTTTCCAGCGCCTTTGGCATCACTATGGACACGAAATTAGAATGCTCACTGGCGTATAGGACGTTTATTTTATCATGATGTTACCAGGCCAATGACGTTTTTAAGTTAAGATGTCCAACAATTATGAATGATGCAAATGGCCGCCCAAGTGCAAGACCTAACGTAATGTAAATATAGGTGTCAGAATTGCAAGGCCATATTCCCGTACATGTTACACATCTAGCTTTAAGCGAATACCGACTGTTTTGCGTCTTCTTTTTTGTACACACCAACTTTGTAAGAAAGTCGTTTATTATATCAACTGTACCGATGAAATATCGACGACTAACACGCTCACGTGTTCAACACCTAGATCACTTTGATACCCAATATAGAGTTCTTGCTGACGTCTTTGCCGTGAAAAATGAATTTATCAATCATGTATCAAGTTGTTCTTTTGATGTCTCCCGAGTGCTTCATATCCATTTTTTTGGCCTATAGTTTGTGCCTACTGTCTTGTTCTTTGTGCCTTATGTTAGTAACAGGTCTACTCTATTTCAATTGCGCCGACGAATATTTGCACTCAGTTGTGGACGGGATTCGAACCATATGCTTGTGAACGGAAGGTGTAGACTCTGACAGGCGAGCCATCTGTTCTCCGTGAGAACGATGTAGGTAGACATAAAACTTATTTCAAAATATGAGGATAGGTATTTGCCTACATAATTACATGATAAATTACTACATGACAGCATGTTCTCTAGATTACATGTTGCCTACGTGATTACATGATAAACTACGTGATTACATGATAAGAAACGTGATTACATGAGAAAGTTGCTTACGTGATACATGATGAACTACGTGATTACATGATAAGAAACGTGATTACATGAGAAAGTTGCTTACGAGATTACATGATAAATGACTTCATGACTGCATGTTTTCTTGATTACATGATAAATGATTGACTGCATAATTGCATCTTTTCTTGATCACATGTCTACATGACGAAATGATTACATGACTACACTTTCAAATGTCGTTCATGTCGTCTCTGATGAAATAAGTACTTTTTCAAATGTCGTCTAGTGTTGCCATTTAAGAAATACCTTTAGTCCAGCTTTGTGTCTACCTTTATGACTAGCTTTGTGTTTACCTTTATATCCAGCTTTGTGTCAATGCCTACCTCTATGTTTATCGTTGTGTCTACTTTTATGTCTAGCTTTGTGCCTGCCTTTATGTTTATCTTTGTATCTATCTTTGTGTCTACCAATGTGTCTATTTTTATGCCAAGCTTTGGTTGTACGTTTCTATGCCTTTTTCAATACTTTTGTCTATTTTACTCTGTGTCCATGCTTGTGTCTACTTTATTCTCTACCTTTACATTTATCTTTTTGTCTACCTTTGCATCTATGTCCAATTCATGTGTACCGTTTTCTCTAACTTTGCGTCTATCTTTGTGTCTACCTTTGCGTCAATCTTCGTCTCTACCTTTTTGTCTACATTTTTGTCTACCTTTGCGTCTACCTGTGTGTCTACATTTTTGTCTACTTTTGTGTCTACATTTTTGTCTACCTTTGTGTCTACATTTGTGTCTACCTATATTTATCACAACTTTTAAATGCCCTTTAATACCATGTTTATGTCTAATTTTATTTCTTCTTGCATCTAAACTTTATTAACTACTTATACTGACGACCTATCGAAGAGTAATTCCAATCTACCTATTTTTCTGTGTTTTCCTTGGTACTTTGTGTGCTAGGTTTTAAATTTACTTTTATGTCCAATTCATGTCTACTTTTGTTTCTTCATACAAGGTATGTTTACAAAAGTTTCTACGAAATTCGAGACTATTGTCTAACACAACACTTAGGGAGAGGGAGGGTGATCCGACGAAAGTCGCGTTTGGCTTAAGTTAAATGCAAAATTGAACTTTTCCAAGCAAAAGACAAGATCTCTGAATACAAACAACGTCAGAAAATACTATCAATTCAATTTATAATACAAAGTTCAATTTTGATAGCACTTAAACGAAAATTAATTATGAACACTGTGATGCATTGACGCAGTCACAGTTCAGAACATCAGACCAGTTTTCTCAATGCTGAATTCAACAACGAGATCAGCTTGTTTCGGAACAGGTTTGACCAGTTTCATAGAGAACGTGGATGCCTCACGTGATACAACAAACGCATACGTGACTAAATTTCTCCACGATCTACCCATGTAAGAATAATCCTCAACTTTCGTTACGCTTCGGCTATCTTTGGAAGAAATGGCAGGCACCGTTGCCAAGACGACGAGATTGTACTGATCTATATAGCGCCGTACTAGCTGCACTAGTTTCCTTTGGTAGCATTCGTGAGCTTTGTATCCGCTGCCCGCGATATTTCTGTCCAAAAAGAAGAAGGCGCTAACGCTGTCGATCATCATGACGCATATGTCCGCATCTTGTCGAAGGATCTCATTCAAAGTCTCAACAGTCGTCAAAAATTGATCTGTTGACTTGCATTTCGCAACAATTAGTCGCGAAAGGCAAGATTTTATGAAAGACTCCATACCACTTGGTATTGTGCAGTTCTGTTGCATGAAACTCTCGCGAACCCTCTCCTCCAATATTTCCACGAGGCGAAGTAATGAAAAGTGGTAGTCGTTATCGACAAAGATCAACTTCACCCCACGTCCTCCTAGAAATACTCCCTCCCATGCAGAGGGTAGAATACAGTTTGCTGTCAAATGCAGCAGTATATTCGTTTTTCCGCAACCCACATCGCCGTATATTTCTATCACATCTCTTAGTTTCACACCATGCGGCAAACTGGCGAAAAGCTGCTTGTCGAGACCGTCTACAGACTTTTTCTGTCCAAGGCGTGCGAACAACTACACGTGAACGAAAATCATCACACAATCAATTTAGTCCCTATTCTATACAACATGTAGTCCCTAATCCTCAGTAGTTCCCTATGTCACTAGTCACCAACATGTTCCCCTGTGTTTAGTAGTCCCCCATATGTCTAGTTCCCAAAATAATCCCTCGAGTTTGTAGTCCGCAACATAGTTCCACATGTTTGTAGTCCACTACGATGTTGAGTAGTCTCCTATGTTCATTAGACCCTATGTTCACTGTTCAGGAGTCGCCTATATGTTTCTATCCTTCTCTGTTCGTATCCTTCGCGTAACTCCATGTCTCATTTCGTACCACATTATCCCATGTGACTGCCATATCTTTTATCAAACCATGTATTTATTATGCCACAAATAATCATAACTAACTTACATACATTTCAAACATTCTACACAACTTCTAATTCAATATTGTCTGATGACGTCTTGTGAGTTAAGACGAAACGTTACGCTTTTTAAACGAATGCTCTTTTTCATATATTTTTTATTGCATGGCTCTTTTAAAAACACTATGCAGGATTTAATATTTATCATTACAATTCGCTCTACGCCTGGTTTTTCTTTGGACACTATGCTGGATACGATACTACTAAATGAAAGTATACGGACGTTACGTTCAGTCTTTTGAGGGAGAGATAGAAGACTAAACGCATAAAACGTGAACAGCGCGCGTGCTGTCAAAAACACAAAACAATAGATATAGAATAAAATATAAAATTAATTTTTGCAATAAAATTTTGAGTATTTGCTGACAATATTGTTTTTCGTTAAAATACTCTTTGATATCTCAAATGAAGAAGTTGACAAAAGGACAAGCGCTTATGGGGTTCAGAAGCAAAGTCCGCCTGTTTTTTACTCAGTAAATAGTTAAAATCTTTAATGGAAATATTTTTGTGGTCAGTCACTAAAAAAACAATAAATAAAAGAACTTTCCCAAAAAATGACCAGCAAACTTTTTCATGTTATTGAATCTAAAGCGCAAGTAAGTCGTGTTTTACTTGCATCAAATATAGCATAAAATAGTGTCAATGAAACCAGTCAAACACGTGGTACATCATTGCACGTGACAAGAGAATGATCGTATGTGTCTACTTTTTCTACTTTAGATTCTTCTCAGTGAAATTATCACACTTCTCACACATAAGATGTGTTAAAATGAAGTTAAAAATGCCAATTAAACGTTGCTTGATCTGAACTATACATCATATTCTGATATTCATATAAATAATAAAATAAACAAGAATTAAAGATACTAAATTGCTAAATTAGTAAATTTTTAAGATTATTTTCTTCAATTCCACTTCACTCAAATCATTTCATAAAGTACAGCTCAATAAATTTGTTCATCAACAGTTGTCAATTACAAAGCAACACGAATTAATCAATACTTCGTACTTACATCCGCGGCTGTTTCGGCCGCCATCTTGGAAAGACAAAATAGTTTATCTTACATAACGTCCTTCATGTATCAAGAAATTGTACGCTGCTGCGTACTTATCTTTCCTAAATTCCCAATTGGATTTTTCTTATTTTTTCATTTCAATTTAATTAAAAAAGAGAGAATCAAAAGTTATTCGACCTCATCGTAACATTTTAGGGAATGATAAAGTTACTTGCACATAATCGTCGACAATGAGTATGTAATGCATTTTACTTTAGATATTTGGGCTAGAAAAGATTCACTTATTTTCGAAAATAAAAAGTGGATGAACAAACCCGACGATAGGTGGAATCATCAAAACTAAAGGTATATTCTTCGGCGGTACTTTTGTATGGATTTACACTTTGCAAAAATTGAAAACCATTGGATTTTGAACTTTCCCAAACCTTTACTTGCGTACGTAACGACGGACCTTATATGGAGAAGTCACAAATTAAAACGTTAAGAATTTAAGATATGCATTGATGGTACTTTTCTTTTATCATTTAGAAAGGAAAAGTTGCTTCAACGTGAGACTGTCTTGTTTTATATATAAGGAAAACTGCATTTTTTGATGCAGTGGTTGTCAATTAAGATTGTGTTAGATATTGTTGATGGTGTATTAAATCGTCTCTGTTTCTTCTCAAATTCTAATTGGTGCAAAGTCTACAAAACTGCTCTACTGCTCTTTGATACTTTAGCCCTGATTCGACAAGCTAAACTTTCGTAAAAAATGATAGCTATATAGATGCGCAAAACGCAGAAACTTGTACACGCTTTCTTCTGTTTAATTTTGCTACTTTAGACTTTAGTTACTCACCAAAAAGAATAGAATTTATGTTGTGCTTACAACTATGCATATCTGCACGCACACTATAGATTACTTTGCACAAAATTGTCGCATTTCCCCTAGAAGTTTGCCAATAAATTTAGGCATTTTGACGACCATTATTTTGGACTGCAAAGAAGAACAAGAAGATACAGCCAATCCTCGAAGCACTGTCTTTTTCAAACTCGTCTTGCATGATGAAATGAAGAATCTGATGATAAGCTTTCCAACTTCACATTTTAATTAAATAAGTTTGTATTTGTGATAACACATGCAATAAATATGATGTATATTACGATGCAAATATATTAATTATGTACACGAACGCTATGCTTTCTTCAAAAGTCATCTTAGCGGTGATACTGACTATATATATACAGTTAAAAATTAATCTCAATATTGACATAAGAAAATTTTACCATTGAAAAATTTGCTCCTTGCAAATCGATCTTTACATACGCGATGCCTATACTGAAACCGTGAAAATTCTGGTTTTGAAAATTATATAGGTGAACATTTTTCATGGTCGGTCAATAGTTATTCCAAAGCCGGCTGAAGAAATCCTTCCTAGTATAAGGTAAAGGAGTTTCTTTTTTCATTGTTCATACCAAAAAATGGTGCGATTTTGTATAAACACATAAATAATCCAACTTAACTCAATACTATGTCCACTTAAATCTTTGAAAATCAACTTAAGAAACCTGACGATACCATCTCTTTAATAGCATTCGGACACTGAACGGCTCAATAGATTCTACCCGCAGCAGTATATATTTTATAGCCCATGCCATCAACCGAAAACCAATGCTGGCTCATCATTGGAATAAATACGTGAAATGCGTTGACTTCATTCGCAATTGTGTCCTTCGGAGAGCATTTTTTATTTTTCCATTCCTTTTTATGGTTAAAAACAAAGGTTTTCCATTCTTTTTTGTTCGTTTAGCCAGCTTAAGAATGACGTGACCTTTTCTGTGGATTTCTGTAAACAACGAGTTGTCGCTTTTTTGAGCCTAAAAATGATGAAAAAGAGTATAATTAAAGTGTATAGCAATAATTTGGCTGTGATTTCAAACTTAAATATAACTCTGAACGGCGTATTTGTCGTGGTGAGCGACAATGTTTTTAAAAGAACTGTTGAAAACGAAAATAAAGATGGATATAAGTTAAATGATACAATGCATTTCGGCAGACTTCTCATCAGGCGCCGCATCTGCTTCGATGAAAACCAAAAATTTGCGTCTATTTATGATGAAAACAAGGAAGAATGACATCACACCCAAACGCAGGGATGTGACGTTCTAAACTTTTCATAATTTGCGGGCAACAACGCAATTCTTATCAGTTCAATTTTTGAACGAGTTTCAAGGCAATCCAGAGAGTTACTCAAAAATAATCTTCGAGTTTTCTTAAGCGAACACAAAATAACAAAAATAAAAAACAGAAAACATTAACGCTGATTATACAATAAAAACAATAAAGCGCGTGAAGTGATTAGTCTATAGTTGTGTGCCATTAGTATGTGTAAACCAATCAGATCTCAACCATTCGAATCAATCAATCAAAGAGAATGTGCAAATCAATCATGAATACGTTTTTGAAGAAAAATCAAAACGTTTGTTTTAAATTTTTTGTTTTGCACTATTTGATTTCATAAAAAAAATAAAAGATTTTTTGTGTTTGCACTGGCTTATCCAAACCTCTGAGACGTTTGTAAGAACTCTCGAACAGGTGCAACCCTCGACCTTCGGTTTCGGGTTTGCACTGATCTGCTCTTGAGTTCTCCCAAAGGTCTCCTCAGTTTGCATAGGCCTTTGAAAACACAGTAAACATATATTATTTCCTGAATGATATATAGCTATTCTGAGAAGTGGATAGAAAAGCAAATATTGAAAAATTAATTTTAATTAGGAAATATATAAAATTTTTGAATATCTCACCTCCGTTGTGACAACGCCTTTAAAATTGATGGCAATGTATCGTTGACTTTTTACGTGCAGGAGGCGAACACGATTTGAGCCATACCTTTCCAGTTGAAATGAAACTAAAGAGACAAAATAACTGCATCACATAAACGTAGATACGAACGCATATCAAAATCTAAGAATATTATGCGCAATGTGATCATGGTCATAGACATAGGAAGATCGATGATAGTTGAGTGGAGAAACGTTTATACATATGCAGGTTATAATTTGTAAAATAATATATGTCAAAGGAATTTAATGTGGTATATCATGTGCAATTGGATATTGCATCCTTCCCTCCCCCTAATTATCAATTTCCCCATATCCATGATCATAGACATAGACAGCGAAAAAATCCAATAATAATAAAACCATAATGTTTACGGATGTAAACCTTATTTGCTTTGATTTAAGCTTCATTCCTCTGTGAAGACGTGATTTGGTAAATCAAGATCCTTTATGATATCGATCATTAACGGAGCGATCTGGTATGATTGCAATGTCACTTTTGTCCCGTTTAAAATGATTAAAGGACTTTTCTCTTTGTCGAATACGTATTATTCGACATACGTACTCTTTACAATGTCGTTTTGACAATAACATATATTATTTTATCCAAAACAATTTAATTGCATTTATTTGACTTAGGAAACGTGATCACGGCCAAACAAAACCTTATTAGCCACAGTAAAGGTGTCAATAGTAGAACTGTAAACTGTAGAGGTAAAAAATCAGGTCCGAACCAAAATTCAGTTTCCATTTCGATTCAACAACTTTTATGTATTTCGATAATTTTGATATATTAAAATACTATTTAAGTTGCAGTTACGAAAGGTAATAAATGGTGCATTTATCTAGAATTCATATTTATGCTGATAAAAACTTAGCTATTCATCTATAGATAAAAACAAACTCACTTGTAAAAACTAGATCGCATATTTATACCTATTCGGCTGATTTTTTTGTATTCATGCACTCATGCAAAAACATTAGATTTTTAAAGAAATGAATGACGATTATGTTCTGAAATAAACATTGGAGGTCTATAACATCTGTGGTAATCGGCAGACGATCATTCCACTCGTGCAAAAGACATAATGTGTAGTTACGAAGAAGTGTGTGGGGTTGTCTTGCAAAAAAATGTTAGAGTTAGTTCCAGGCTTCTTTAAACAACGGTTGCGCTCAAAAGTATCAGGAAACTTGAAATAGTGTGTGTTAAGCATCGGTGATAATATGTGTGCATGTCTATTCAAGACTTTTTCTGCTACATCAACTTCTATGCTCAACGTTTCATCGTACAACGTTGTTGCTTAAACAAATATTTGCTCTATGTTTATATTGAGTACTTTACCATATACATTGGAAGCTAATATCGCATTGAAACCATTTAATCATTACTTTGAAGTGTATTTACTTTTTCTAAATTTTATAAAGAACCGATCGCTTGTCCGTTTGTTCGGTTGCACGAATCTTAACAATATGTCATGCATGATTTTTTTTAAGACAGGAAACCCTTTTGAAATGTTCGATAAAATTATATTGCAGATGCACGCCTTGAGGAAATGAATTTTGAACTATTCGTGGAGAAAGTCTTTTGAAGAAAGTTGACAATCAATGAAACTGTCGACAATTAAGTATTGAAGGAATAATGAAAATATTGATTCCCCACGAAATCTGCCTGCATATGGAAGATGGAATCTATCCTATTTGTGCTCCGACTTCGTATTTACGTGTTTTCTCAAGTAATGATTGGCTTAACCTCAGAACATCACACGGACGGTTCAAAAAATTCGGCAATTGCATGTATTAAATTGTCTCAAATATCTATTTGAGTGTTTTTCTAAGCTCATGAAATATTTTCCCGTACTGGCTCCCAAAATGCTAAAAAACATGTATTTGTACAGCTGTACGATACGTCATGTAAATTTACTCGTTTACGTTCGTGATATTAGGCAGAAAAATATTGTCCCTATTTAAAGACTGTTTTCAACAGACAGACCTGTCAACTTCCAAACAATCTTTGTTCATGCTTTAATATCAATTCCTCATTCAAAATGAAACCTCGTTTAATTCAACCAGAATGATTCATTCCGAAAAAGGGGACAATAGAAAACTGATGAGGACTCAAATGTATTTGTTAATTCCAGTTTTTCAAATCTAAATAATCCTTTCTCAACCGAACATTACCAACTGAAAGCAATCTAATTTCAATATTGAGAAGTATATTTGGAAACTAATTACACCAGTGACAAGTTTGCTTTGAACTTTGGCGAACAATTAAAATATGTTAACTACACTCCACCTTTGTTGCTAAAAATATAATTTGCCTTGAGATAACTTTAGCTTGAGCAAAGCAGTTGGGTTTTGTTGCGCTATTCTCACGCTATAATTAGGTCGACCCCGACGTAAGGGAAATCAAAGCAAATAAAACCGGGATTGAGCAGCGCGTCGACTGTGTGATATCTTTGTGTGTGCTGGCATGTGTTTTTTGACGTCAAATCGTTTCTCAGTGCGGCATTTACTTGTGTCATTTTTGTGGGAGAGCGTAGCGGAAATTTGCATTTAGCGTTAACAAACAAGCCACCCAAAGGTGACCAAGCCATTGAAGATACGCCTTCAGCTGGTTCCCTATTTTTCATAGTCCCGCTCACGAAATAGTTTAATTTGCGGTCGTGATGCTATTGAATTGCTTATTAACTTGTGCAACGGTAGAAACTTAGAATATATTCGACAGTTATGCCGCTTGAAATACGAACAAATCAATTATATATAACAATTCAAGCCCGGTGAAAATGAATTGCGAGAAAATTTCTGTTATGGAGTCACGAGCTACATTAGAAACATAATTTGATTAAGAAACACAACCATGACAGCAAGCATCAGAACAATATGATACACTTGTGATTTTCATTTTACATGTTAAAGCTTCTTATCCAGCAGTTGCAAAAATGACGCGTGTTTCATTAAGAAGTGTGAGAACGCGAAAATAATTTTCGATGAAAGACACTAAGTATCCATTAAAACATGTTAGGGGCAAAGTGTTGAAAGATGATAATATCGTCATTTAGCCTTTTAATTTACACTACAGCATCATCAAATCGTTCTGCCTTTATATGTAAATGCTTCGTCTATTTGCTTTTCAAATACCACGTCAGTAAGCATGATTAAGAGCGATACAGAAAAGGCATGCAAGGTTAATGCACAATTTCCTAGAAAACATTTGTGGCAAACTTGAGCAGCTTGTTTCCACAAAAGTTTAAACATTTTCGCGATGTCTCGAGGAAAAAGACAGAGTTGCTCGGTGGTGCTAGTATATCAACCGCATCGACAAAATATCAAGACTAGATTCGTCAGATACGATGTCATGTCTAACGCCCCCACATGATTGATGAAATGTACATGAAAATCACGTTGAAAATACGGAAAAATATAAAGATTTACTTCACATCGTATTTTAGAAATCTAAATATAGCAATAATACTATACACAAGGCAGTCACCGCGTTAAGTTAATCTTTCTGCCCTGCCATTTATAATAAGTAAATAAAACCGCGTTCACTAGTTGATACCACGCAATTAGATCGTTTGTTTGTTTATCGCTATTTTTCATTTTGACATAATGTTCATCATCAGGTTAAATGAAATGTGTATGCGTTCAGAACAACGAAGAAATGCCGGTTCGACTTCTGATACAAAGCTGAACCCTTTTTTAACCGTGTTTTACAATTCTATTTGACGTGTGGCATCTAGCATTTTTTTCGACACATGTACATGTTCAATAGGAAAAATGGCAACCCGAAAAGAAATGAATCAGAAACGAATAAACAAATGGATGATCGATAAATATAGACATTTAATCCCGCTCTTGATTTAATCTAGCCCCTCAAAATATAAGCAGTTTTGATATGTTGTCTTAACATCAACTGATTCCACTTACTGTTGTCGATCTTTGAAAAGTCTTTAATCCCATTAACTTTGAGATCTTTCGTGACTTGCAGAAAATACGAATAGGCGTGATGAAGTTGCACGTTTCTAACATTAGTCGGTTTGTCGTCGACGTTATTGCTTGACCGCTTCCCTCGGCTGTTTCGTTCAGAAGCGTTACCAGTATCGTTACCAGTATAGTCATCGTACCTTTCATGTGCCGGTAACGCGAATCCTTGCAACATGAACGCTTGAAGCACGTAGAAAATTATAAGTCTCATATGACGATACGTTTCTCACCGTTATGCAGCGCCTTCGTAAAAAAAAAGAAGCATTTATCAGTGTTTTATAACTTTAGTTTAACAATAACAATAGCCAGCGATGTCATTTGGATTCGGACTATTACAAAGATTCAATTAAAGCAAAATAAACACGTTGATAGGAGAAGAACAAATAAAGCAAGATAAAGCACGCAATAGCACTTTCGAGAAAACTAGCGATGCCTTGGCTGGGAATCTATGGACAACAATTTGCACCTGATTCAGGCTTTGAATCATACACAAACTTGAAACTCGAAAATTTACAGTCAAGGAGTTTCTCGTGCCATAATGACGTCACGCAGATGGATTCTGAGCACTTTGTGTAATAATAAGTATATTTTATTTACCTTTTACAACTCAGTATCTTGATGTGTGGATAAGCAACAATTTACTATCATAGAAGCGTTCTTTTGATTAACCACAAATGACGAAGCTCAGACCGCTCTTTTATACATGCACAACAGCGCAAGCAATCAGACATAGGAACAAATATAACTATTGTTTCGGCAAATACATTTTCGAGATACTTGGGTCGGATACATGCGTGTGCCAAAAGGTGTATTTTTGGATATGCTTAAAAACGACAATAACTATCTTCTTAAGTCAAAGCTATATTTATACAAACAGAGATGAAATCCGAAATTTGACACTCACAGAACCGCCTACACCAGAACACTCGTGAGACCATATCCTTCACAAACCAGTCAACTTAAAATGCTTCGTAGATGGCATAAGGAAAAATTAAAAATCGGTTATCATAATCATGAGTCACGTGACGAAGCAGGAAAGGTTGGTTGTGGCATTCATGTTGTTTGTAAAATTCTTTAAACACATAATACACACCTATACAAACATTGGAGTAAGAATTAACGACAGGAAAGTGAACTATTGCAAAAATTTGAGTTCCTAATGGCGATGTGGAACGGTATAATGCGTTAATTCTAATGAAAATCATTTTTTTCAAAAAAAGGTAAGGTCGTATTTGTTCCATATGCAACTTTCATTCGGGAGGGGAAAGGGGGGGGGATTATGAGCTTCCATGAAATAGAAGTTTAGTGGACTATTTGTGAAGGTATTAATATTGACAATATAAAATTGAATAAAGAATGCGGTTGAATATTGAAAGAAGGACATAGTTAATAATAAAAAAGTCTAATAAGCTATAACATAACGGAGTATGCTTTATATATTAAAAATCCTACTTCCCTAATGTGTCCTCATTCTAAAATTACAAAGCGATTTATTACCATTTTGATTTTATGACATACAGGAGCTTGGTGATTATTAGCATTTCCATGTTTAAGTATGCATTATTTTTACATATTGTCACACAAGTGCTATTGATTAAATTTTCACAGTATTATTAGTGCATAAAGTTTGCATTTTATGAACGAAACCTGCGACCAATAGGGATATTTTTTGCACTTAAGTCTCCCGCCATTTTTCCGGAGAAGATTTTTTTAAAGTTTTGGTGGGTGGGGGGGATAGGAATCTGAAATATTTTGTAGTAGACTTCATAAGTATAAAATTTTGCGTTGTTCAGTTATGATGTTCTCGAGTTGCAGTTTGAAGAAGAAAGAAAGCATATAGTTCATTTTCAAATACAAGAAAAAAATTATAGTTCTTTTGCAAGTTAACCATTTTTGAGACAAACTTTTAGCATAAATGTGGTGAACGTGTTTATCTATAACCGTATCTATATGTTGTTATCTATAACCGCGACTGTATATTTCCAATTGGCTGCAATTACTTGCATAAGCAATAAGAAAATGTCATTAAGGAGGATGATTGATTTTAAAAACTCAACTGAAGATTGAGCATTTACTACCGCATATACTGGCGATGTAAATCAATATTTGAATGTATTCTTGACCAAACTTGACCAAGATATACATTGCTTCCACGAAAAAACGTCTGGGATATGCTTTGAATGAGATAAAAATGTGATGACAGGCAATAACAGGATTGAAGGAGAATTGATAAAACTAGCTTAAAACCATTTTTTGCTATTGTATATTTGACTGGGATATAAGAGGGTTTCAAACATAACGTAAAATTGATGTTCTTGAATAGTAATTGGACGTTATCCGCCAAAAGGAAGTTTCCACCCAAAAAAGCAAATTCATGCTAGATTGTTCTATACCTTTCTACACATGTGTTTTCTTATAATTTCTTTGAATATATGATAATGATCATTACCCATGACATATTTATGTGATAATCTGAAAGGAATTTCATGCTGACACCAATGAATATTACCATGCCAATGGCCATGGGTTAATTGTTATACATTAATGAGAATGAAAGTGCAATTTTTACAGTAGTTTCATAAGTATTTCAAACCACTTTCAAATATGACGCTGCTATTTTATAACAACGTATGCAAAATGTATGCCAAAAATTACGATGAATATGTAAATGTTGAACTCTTTTTTTTGAAAATGTTTGTAGCTCATCGCCAAACACCATAGAGACAGTTTCAAACCATTAAATATGGTAAAAATTTATTGCCGAATGCTCGTAGCTACTACTACACGTATATATAATTAGGTTAATACATTCTCGCCATTGACTGCTTGCTTCAATGAGTTAAGTGCTTAGCTGCGCTTGATTTGTATAACTATGTCCTACAGTTGAAAAATTGACATTTCAAATTGTGGAAAGCAAACGGTCGTCGACATTCAACAGGACAAAAATTCTTCTTGTAGCAGCGTTTGGCTCAGGTGTCAAAAGACGCTTGAAACAATCGCTCGCACTTAATTTGAAAGCTTAATTCCTTTTGACCCATCTAAAGCCAGGGCTAAATCATACATTAATTGTCCGCTGTGTACACGATTATCAGAGGGATTAAGTTAAGATATATTATAAGCAAGAAGTCCAAGTTGCAAAACCGTTGTCCGTTATCGAATATGAAATACCAAAAGCAACGGAAAGCAATGAAAAAATTCAATTCAATCGTTGTATTGTAAAGGCCAGGAAATAATTTAATCTTCATCATGTGTTGAAAAAGTCCATTTGTGATTTGTCCGACAACTATCTAATGTACGATTTCTATCCGTAACTGCTCAAGACGTTACTTGTTAAAGACAATTGACACAAAAGTTCATTTACCGTAGCCTAAACGCTAAACGAATTTTTTCTCAACGTATCTAACATCAAAGGAAGGTTAATGTCGTCAAACACGATCAAACATGTCATATATTTACGGTGGTTAAAAAGCACAAATGATCAAGAAAACTTCAGGAAATGTTACGTTTAACTTTTAACTGACTCAAATCCAGCCTCGAGCTACAATATAAGATCGGTGATTCGCCTATCTTTCGAAGTTATTACCACATTGTTTACAGTTTACTGTATACTTAGCAATGCATCGTGCGGGATTAAAATAAAATTTATATTGTTGTGCTTAATCCTAAGTGGCACTAGAAGAGCGTGTTTGGGAAGCATATCGAATCGTAGTTGATGATAGCCTACCTTTTTGTCGCATACGTAGCCTTAAAAAGCGTTGTCCATTCACCAGTTTGATTTCGCTGTATTCTCTATACAGGCTCGATCATAAAGAATCACTTTCCAAATAGAAATTTAAGCCGTAATTGCCTCTCTTTCGAATGTAAAAGTCTTTCAACGTCGCTCTCTAAAGTCCTTTTGTCGTCGGCCGATTACTACAAAGATGAGAAATGCGATCACCCTAGTATTCCTAGTAAGAAATAACGTCTTTTAAATTTGGTTTCCTACTGTGGAAGAAAACAACAGTTTTGAATTAGCATTGTTTTGAATATAAAGAACTTATTTTGAAAACCAAAGTTGCGCTAAATGGTGCTAGAATCGCTTCCGGTGCATGGCTTCGTTCGCAGGCGAGCTGCGCTTGAATGTTAATTTGGAAAAAGACGTTTTTGAAACGATAATTGAGACAAGTGGAAATATTTGATTGCTTCCTGAAAGCAAATAGGTGGTTAATTGCACATAACCGAACCACCCGTGTAGATTTAGAATTGTCAAGACAAATACATCTGTTCACTATAGAATAGACGTCTTCCTTCATCTTCGAATTTTTAAGAGTTAGGCTAATTTGCAAACATGATGGTCGCCAGCCAATAGATTATCGTGAAAAAAGTCACGTCCAGTCCAATTCAAAACAACAGACCCTCTTTGTTTTTGCCTGTTACATTGGCCGTTGTCAAAAATATTGACTGGTTACATTAATTCATTGAAGATTGGCTTGATTTCCTTTTAATAAAAAGTATTGATTGCATCCAGCTATCATTGTGAATAGAAACAATGTTGCTGTATAGACAACAACATGTGGATATCACCATGTCTTTTCCGAATCGAATTCATCTTTTTTTCAAGTGAAGGCATTTTCTCTTCAAACCAAACAAGAAGTTAATCTTGGCTTAAATCATCTGACATTAAAAGGAAAGGACTTTGTTAGCGAGATTGTTTTGACGCAGTTTGGAATTTGCCTCGCGCCATATTGGATGAGAAAATTTTGCAAAATATGCCTAGTTCATGAGTTAGCTGTACTTCTCATTATCCTTTAAAATCCATATTTTGAACTTATTATTTTAGCGATAATAAATGTGTTATCTTTTGATACGTAGAGGTATATAGGTTTTCATGAATTACGGTAACCGAATTAATGCGAACTAACACAACCAGATAGGTTCAATTGTTGGATAGAAAGGGAGATTGCAAAAATTCGTGAGTTGTTGTCCAATGTTGAAATAACAGACCTTGAGTCTGTGAAAGAGCTTTGTTGTATGTATGCTTTAACGTCAATTACATAGCTATCATGGTCATCAAATATTTTATTTACCAAAGAACATTACCGGAGGTACAGGATACTTCTGATCAACAAAATCACAAGCCCAAATGAGTTATACACCGCCCAGACTTCGAATACATCACGACAGTGAATACTCTTTAAAAAGGACGTTTGTAGTACATCATTGGTTAATTGTTAGGATAGCTCGTTCGGTTATCGGAAATCTTCGTGAGACATTCGATTTTTTTAGTACTTTTTTACTTCAAAACGATTCCTGTGTTGATTTTTCGAATAGAGAATACTTCAATCACGCCAGCTTTGTAAATTGCATACAATGTGAACGCAAGAATTATATGTGAGAGTTAGAGGAAGGATCACAGCTAGCTCCTTATGTATTTGTCAATCATTTTCAATGCAGCACAAGCTTGGTCTTTGTTTGCTTTGAAAATTACAATTACTCCTCTTTACATAAATGATCTATGTTCAGCATAACTTTGACGAAATTAGATGACCGTCGTATCACATTTTTCGCGATAGATATGCTGCTTGGACAAATATATTCATTTTTGTGAAAATAATTTTATGTAAACGAATGCTTATTAGTATAAGAAACATTATTTAATATGTCAATATATGAAAACGTGGTGTAGACCACGTGTGTCAATAAAGTTTAAAGATAGACATGTCTATTTGACGTTAGAACCATCACAGGACTTTCTAACTGTCAATACAGAATTCATCTTTGTGCGTCAGAATTACCACTTGTACAAATTCGCACATATATTCAAGTTTGCATAAATTACTGCACTAAATGGACCACTTTATCACAAATCCAAGCCATAAATCCAAGCAAGAGACAAGCAAGACAAAAAAACTAGGCATTTAGTAAGATTGGTAAACACATCTCACATCTGAGCGATAAAAATTCAACTTCCAATAACCTGATCAAGCAACATTTATTGGATAAACTGGTAGTTAAGCTAACCATGCTTTTCTTTAGTGTATAATTTATTGAAAGCATATTCTTCAAAAGCCTTTTATGCTGCCCTTAAACAGTCGAATAAGACTGTCCGCCCATTGTTTTCTACACATTGTTATACACATTGTGGTTGTGAAAACAGCTTAAATATAAGTAATTTGCCAATATATGGATGAATCTACGCTAAGACGCCTTTTTCACAACATCACGTCATGTTTGCTAAATTTCTGTACTGACAAAGAGCGTTACCTTAGAAACTACCAAATAAACATATTTTTCGAATCAATCAAAATAACAGATATCTACAACTACGGATAGCCAGTTGAGCATGTTGATTTTCCAAAATGCTGATTTAAAGTATCGAAAGAGTTTTGCTGTGACTTGGGGGAAAGTAAGGTTGTGTAATCACAGTACGAATCATCTGACCGTCAAACTGACGAGTAAGAAGAATTGCATAATAAACATTACCTTCAAAAAACTATTGTAAGTTTTTTCACAGAATTTTCTGTAAAGGGAGGGGGGAGTTAAAAGGGAAAGGGGCCATGACTGTTTTTTAAACAATGGAATGTAAATAAGTACAATTTTAGAAGAGCCTATAATTTTTCCAGGGTAAGTGGGTGAGCCCAACCCCCTTCTGGCTACATCACTGATGAGAGTGGGGCAAAATAAGGCGCCTTAGTTTTGGCAAAGATTAAGGAATTTACAGCATGGTCAAATCATTGAAATTTTTTTGTACCACGAATATTTTATTATGCATGTATTAAGATGATGGCAGCCAGTCAATTGCCTTTTTTGACCAATAGGATTGATGAAATGGCTTACTGCAGCCAGTAATCTAATTAAATATAAAGTTGAACAGCGAAATCGCCCTTCCGTATATATATTCCTTATTCGGTGGTATTGACGATTTCAGGGCCGTCAAGCACAACTGAATACATGAATAAACACCATCTAATTAATGTTCTAGAGACGGCCACGGACCATTTACAGTTTGACGATTTGTTGATCATAGATACAATCAACAGTCAGTATGAAGAAATTAGTATTTTCATTGTGGAACGGCTATTTTGCGCTTAGTCAAGTATTGGTGTATTTCTGACTCAATCTTGCTTAAGACTTTTCTGAATCAAACGTTTTTGCTTGAAAGCAACACTGGAATTTTACAACACGGCAGTCCAAACAGTTTGTTTCAATATTCGGTAAAGGGTTTAGGAAGCCATGTTGGAAACTCAGAACCCGCAGTCCATACTTGAGATTTGTGACACCTGCTTCACGACTCCCACCCCTAATGTACCTCTAAATACACCTTCCTTTTATGTAGAACAAAAGTCTCACACGTTCGTCGCCAAACCTTGCCAGAGTCGAGAATTCGATTTTTTATTTAATTATGAATTATGAATTCGAAAAGGCACCGTACTTAGTTGTAATAATGTTTGGTAATTAGTTTGTTTTTTCGGTCGTTCAAATTTCCTAGCGAACCGGCTCAATGGCAACAAGTATTATACGGAAGGATAATCAAATTATCACTCGACACGAACTGTGAACGTCATAGAAATGGTACTGAATAATCATATAGTAATTACAAACTTAATGTATAGGTACATGATTACTTTGCTATATGTATTGTTTAGTACATAGATTAGATGAGAATACCTTTCAAATAGATCTCTATCAGTTCGTTCCCGGGACGAAAGTTGTATCAACGCGTGAGTTCCAGAAGAATAGTTTGTCTGTGTTTTCGCCGACTCCAATTATATATGATATACACGACGTAAGACTTTAAACATTTAACAAAGAGAACTTTGAGCACCATAGATAGGACATAAAGAGCTTTGGCGACTGGAAATTATAAACGTGACGCCGGACGGCGCAGTTACGTTGAAGCTAAAATTAGAAATTTTATCTTATATATTATAAACGTGTTTTATTAGGAGGGGGAGGGCGAGTTTTTCTAACTACTGTGAAAAGCAAGTTCTCTTGAAATTATCGGCCAAAGAATTTGTGTATAAAACCTAACAAGACTCATACATCTGCCTCACGTGTCTGACAGCAAAAAGAGCGCAAATTTCAATTTAAAAGTTCTTGAAATGAAATCCCTTTTTCACAAACTGTAAATGGCATTGAAAATAAATAGAACAAATCACACGCAATATTTTACATTTGAAAACATTTCTTAATCGGTTCCAGGAATCCTGACCATAATATTGATAACAATGCCCACTCGATGTTTTCTTGTCTTTAGAAATTACATGTAAATGTCGTAATGTAGTGGATGAAAAAGAGCGTTTTTATCATCGTTTAATTTACTTAAAAAGAGCTCATTTTGCAAAAATTACCAAGGGAATGACTTCGGTGATTTTCATAACTCCTGTTACTGCTCCAATGCCTTTCGCCCACAGCATGATTTGCCATTATACCTCTTTATTTATCATATATTTACCCAATAAACCAGTTATAAGTTCTGTCGGGCAATGAAAAACAAATGTATATTCGAGAAATTTTATTGAATTCTTTAATTTCTGTTACGCCCCACCCAAAGAGCTCTAGATCATCTGAGACAAGTGTAGCTCCAGTCTTTTTGAAAACACTCTCAGAATTTTTGCTTTACGAATTTCCGATTTGATTTTGCAACAATAATTTATCGCTCCTAAACGTTCGGTCATTCCAAATCGGTTTTTTTATATGTCCACGAAAAACAAGAAATATTTGCTCTCAGACTGTTTTCTCCCATGCAACTTTTGCCAATAGTCAACGATTGTTTTTGACGTTTCTCTTGGTCCAGTCAGAGTTCCTTATAGCCCAATATCTCCCAAACTTCCACTGGGTTGATACAAAGGATCTCTTAGCATGACTTTTGTAAGACTTCTCTCGAGGTTTTCATTAAAATTCTCAAAAGAAATTTTCTCACATTTTCTCCCACGGATTTTCAAGTTTTGTCTTTGTTCGCAGTGCCTTCTCGGAGATATCAGCTTTCAAACTTAGCCCTTAGTGTGATCGTATAATCATGTTATTGCCAAACATACAGAGTCACGATGCAATAGCTATATCAAGAAAGAGGCGTAATGCTTCATATAAATAAGTAATGCCATTTGGTACCGGTAGAACAATTCTTCTACAATTTTTTGTCAGACAAAAGACGCAAATGTCATGTCACCTGTCGTTTTTTTACATAATTTTTAGCTGTTTACAGTCAGAAATAACACGCAGGATATTAGACCTTATTGTAAGAGATACTCTTGAAGTTTGTTCTAGAAGAAAAGCACTCCTACGAAATGCAAACAAATATCAATTCATTTCACCGCACAATTAAAGTGTTTTAGAGCCACTTATGCTTATTGGCAACGAAAGAAGTCGATAAGACTGGAAACTAGAGGAACAAGCACGTTGAACATACTGTTGTCAAGACAACTAAGTGATTAAACAGTCTTTAATTATTTCCTTTGTAGCAAGTGGTTTTAAAAGCACTCGAATATGCCGGGTAGGTAGGTATAATCAGATACACAAAAATATTAATCAGGAAGGGTGGAGACTGTGCAGAAAATAGTTTGATATCTACTCAGTGCGTAGGTGGCTGTTTAACTGACAAGTCCTTACTGATTGATGGTAAGGAATTTTTATGTAGTAATCTGATGATAGATTGTGTAATGCTAGTAATACACATAATGTTTACTGTAGTAATCTGATGATAGATTGTGTACTGTTAGTAATACACATAGTGTGTACTGTAGAAATCTGATGATAGATTGTGTACTGCTAGTCATACACAGAATGTGTACTGCAGTAATCTGATGATAGATTGTGTACTGCTAGTAATACACATAGTGTGTACTGTAGAAATCTGATGATAGATTGTGTACTGCTAGTAATACACATAATGTTTACTGTAGTAATCTGATGATAGATTGTGTACTGCTAGTCATACACAGAATGTGTACTGCAGTAATCTGATGATAGATTGTGTACTGCTAGTAATACACATAGTGTGTACTGTAGAAATCTGATGATAGATTGTGTACTGCTAGTAATACACATAATGTTTACTGTAGTAATCTGATGATAGATTGTGTAATGCTAGTCATATACATGTTTACTGTAGAAATCTGATGATAGATTGTGTAATGCCAGTAATACACATAATGTTTACTGGAGAAATCTGATGATAGATTGTGTACTGCTAGTAATACACAGAATGTGTACTGTAGTGATCTGATGATAGATTGTGTAATGCCAGTAATACACATAATGTTTACTGGAGAAATCTGATGATAGATTGTGTACTGCTAGTAATACACAGAATGTGTACTGTAGTGATCTGATGATAGATTGTGTAATGCCAGTAATACACATAATGTTTACTGTAGTAATCTGATGATAGATTGTGTAATGCTAGTCATACACATAATGTGTACTGTAGTAATCTGATCATATAGATTGTGCAATGCTAGTAATACACAGAATGTGTACTGTAGCAATCTGATGTTAGATTTGTACTTTAGTCTACCTTTGTATCTTACAGCTTTTTGTCTAACTTTGGGTCTACCTTTTCCATACCTTTGTTCCTACTTTCGCGTGTGTGTACTTTTGTTTTATCCATTCGGTTCACCTTTGTGACTGCCTTTGAATTCTACATTATGCTTCTACCTCTTCGTCTACCTTCGTGTCTACATTTTTGTCTACTAATGAGTGTAACTTCGTGTGCACCATTTTGCCTGCCTTTTCGTCTACCTTTTTGCTTACCTTGTGTCCAGCTTTTTGTCTACATTTGCGTCTACCTTTTTCTTAACCTTAGTGTCTATCTTAGTGTTTTCGTTTTGAACAGCGGGTTTGATTCTCTCATCGACAATCTGAAACGGAACTCCTTTTCTTTACCTTTCACACAGACAAAATCGTCAAAATCGTACGACATTGACAAAAATACAAACGGAACAAACGCCAGAGACAAACACAAGCCTACCAAAATCAACACAAACTTTTTTAAATCAAAAAGAACACAAAAATAAAGTTACTCCCCATGTTATAAATTCTATAAATGAATCTTAGATAAGTAAACAGACACACTGAGTCCTTCACTCGTGCTTTAAATAAGGACTCTTGCATTCAAAAATACACAATTTCAATTTTCCAGTTAGCATTAAAAAGTTTTACATACTCAGAGTTTCCCTTGCTATTCAACTATATAATTCTTTAGTAACCGTCATCGCGTGTATAGCAGTTTGACGACTGTCTAGATCATCATATCAAAACGGGGCAACAGCAGTTGGCTTTTGAGAGACTGGCTGGAATCCATTAAGTTAGCCCTTATAGTAACTTACAAGGGAGGGTGGGCGTCTTTTTGTGTGATGTTTGTATTGGTTTCTTTTCACAAAAAAATCCTGTTTTCCATTAAACCCTCGCCTTCAAACTCAAAGAAGCGCTTCGTAGAAACTTATAAACATACTCCCAACAAATACAACACCTTAACACTATTTTCGATGTAATTCTTTCACACATCGAGTTCCATCCTTCTCAAGACTCTGCTATAACATGAACGATCTACATCTACATACAAGTTTATTGTGAACCATCAACATGCAGGATAAAAGTATGAGAACAATTACAAGAACAAGAGCAAAGACATCACATTGCATGTGTAAAATGTATATGACATATATAGTAAATATTCATTTATCATCTTTATAGTTATTATTGTTCCGTTCCCAAACCATGCGTACTTTATTTACATCATCGAATGAAGTTAACTTATCAAACCAGAATTTTCCTTTTAGTTGAAAAGTCGAGTGTTCCATCCTTGACAAAAAGTAAGTGAACAGAGCCAAACCTGTATAATGATACTACATGGCTTTAACCATCCATTACTCTTCAATCACAATATTTCAAGCACTGAAGGTGACGTAAAGTTTATCAAAACATGTTTTTTTCAAAGGAGATGTCGCTAATCAAAATATCCAACCACATAAATGAAAATTCATTTTGATATATGTGATAACAGTGATTCCAAAGAAGAAATTCCGACATCAAACGGAAGAAATTTTACATTGAAAATCAGTACACATTTACTGAATCTTTGGCAGCCGCGAAAAATCGTACATATTCTTATATGGGTGTATGATAGTAATGTAAATTTATACAAAGACAATTGTACTAATTTCCCAGCCCTTTTATAACAAAGACAATCGTCGCCTCCTATCTTTCATCGCCTTTTCTGGCATCACTCGACAAAACAGGGAAAGGTCTCAACAGTAAATTCAGGTTTTCATACGTACAAAGGGTGCATCAAAAAAACCGGAATCCGCGTGGTGAGATTATTCATGCGCTTGTCTATGTTCGTTGCAATTTATGGAAAAAGTGATTACGTTTTTGTGGCAGTTGTAACTTAGTTAATGTCGCTTCGCATTTACAAAGCTTTAACGTGACAAAATTGAGATGAAAATCAATGTATGCAGTACTTTTGACTTGTTTCGCTTTAAATACTTTACAAACCCTATGAAATCCCAGGCAGAAAAGTCAAGTTCATTAACTTGTTTTGCATGCTAGTGATATCATTGTGCATAATCATTTCGGTGAATTCATAATTATTTATGCGGGTTCCGTTTCGAGACACTCTGTGACTGTATACTGTTCTCAGTTCTCTTCATTTCATGTTGTCCATATCACTTTCTAATACTTCATTTACAATCAATATGTGTGAAGTATTTTTAAACACTTACAAATTCTGATGACCTTTTCTGGGCCTTTATATTTCTGTAACTTATTCGTATTCGATGAACATTCTCATGATAAACATTACTAGACAACTATTTGCGGCACGAGTTTGCTATAGAACACGCAAAGCTTTGTTTTTCACTTCTTTCCCTTCATCGATTTTCTGAGACTGATAAATGCACACTATCTTTACTATATCTGCCATTGTAAATTTGTTTCCCATCCGTATAAAGTTCAAGAGAATATCCAGTTCTTCACTTGAGATCAAACCTACTTTGGATGTTGTTTTTCATCGATATTTTTTCACACGATGATGCCACATCTATATTGCACAAATGGTATATACAGTAGGACTGTTGATAGTTTTCACTTTACGGTATAAAGAATCAGGCTCATCTACCACTAGGGTACTATTAAGTTCCTTTTATCGTCCCACAATTGCACCAAATTTACCTTTCTTGAAAGAGGCTTAAATATATTTATCAGTAACAAATTCCATTCCAATAATATCATCACTGAATTATTTCACAGTGTAGCTGGTTCTCAAATTTAGCTGTAACTTCACTAGTTAGCTTCCAAAAACTTATTCCATTTCTCCCATGTAGGTAAATCAGTCAACGACACAAAATAGCCTTTCCCTCCTCTTCCGAACTTTTTGTATAATATGCTATCAGAAGTCCTTTAATGAAAGGACGTTAACTGCGGATATTAGCAACTCTATCAGTAAAAAATTAATACAGACAAAACGCAACGAGTCTTCCATCAGACTTCATTGGGATTTGGTTCAGCACGAGCAGATAACACACTGCCATTCATTTTCTTCCCATCTTCTTAAATTCTTCATCGAAACGATGTGTACATACACAATGCTTTCTCAAAAGTGCGTTTTCGCTCCCCAACATTTCTTGATACCGTCATCCTGACGGCTTATCAACTCCGCAAGTTCTATCAAAAAGACGATTTGATGCATTACAAGAGAACGTGGGTTCACAAGATTGCACGAGAATTATTCATAAGTCATTACATACTTACTTTTATTGCCGTGAGTTAGTTCGTGCCCTTTTAATGTCAAACGGTCAAGTATCTCCTTGGCCCGACCATGGCTTCTCGCCTGCGCTTCTGGGGGCATTAACAGAGTTTCGACTAAAGAAACAAACGACGAATCGAGTGTAAGTCCAAACCTCGAATTCGTTTAGCGCGCATGCGTTTTGGCAAACAAAATCGCAAGAGAGTATGTATCACAGAATAAGAATATACAGAAGGGTCACTCGTGTCGGAACCTTTGATGTTTATGTCCTCGCGCATGTTGTGTCGCGCATGGTGGCCGCCATTATTCCAGCCAGTAGATAAGGGTTTTTGACTTGTTCCCAACCTTTGCATGGATCCAAAGTCATTTATTAATCTCAAATTCATTATTTAATAATGAAGTAATGTCATTTTGATGGTTGAAAACAAGTGACAAACCCCAATCAACTGGCTGGAATAATGACCAACATAAGGACCATTGGCCACCTTAGTGACCCTTCTGTAGTATGTACACAACATTTATATATATATATATATATATATACATAGGATACTGTAACAGGAATACTTTATGTAACACGTTCATAGGGTGAAAACATTTGCCTGCCAATGATAATTTAGCATTTCCATACTTGACTTTTGTCGAAGGCTTAAGACAGGAAACCTCGAAATACACTCTTTGCATTTACGATATCTCATGGAACAGCGTTTTTTCTTATTGTGGTCACAGTATAGAAACAAACAATAGCAAGCCAACCGCAACGACAAAAAAGTGAGTATAAATTACCGTCCTCAGGATGAATGTGTGAGCGCATATCGAAAGAGTTCTTCGGTAGATTTGACTTGCTAAAAAACAAGACGTAAAAGTGACATCTTTGAAATTCATCAAGAAGTATCGTGTGAGACGTTAGAATCTATCAGTTAAGTTAATCATTTGCATGTTTCATTTTGAATCAAAGCATATCCTTTGAAAAAAGTTGGTTGGCGATGCCTTTACATGGATTTGCGTTCCAAACATATTGCATGTGTGCACATTTTTATTGCAAAAACGTAATAAGTTTCGTTGCAATGAATAATGGATAGTAGATAAGGCAATTGTTTCGATAAGACTGTACTTTTAGCAAAAATGTATAAAAATATTTCCCAAAAAAAATAGATGTTCTCAATGTGAAAAGCATGGTTAACAAAATTATCCTTTATCCACGATTATTCTTTTCAAATTGCCTTGCAGAAAGAGCGTTGACCACATGCTTTCGAAATACGTCAAATATTACATGCCCATGTTTCAACGGACAAACTATCAAACTTTTCGCATTAAGTTCAGAGTATCATTCGCAGAAATTGCTATTTATGTAACTGCCTTGCTCAATCTTACAACGAGCGTTTCAAAACAAACGAACCCAGAACACTAAACTTATTACAACAAAAGCAAGTTGATTACCGAGTTAAAGAATCATGCTTGATTGCAAGATTTTAAAGAGTGCATGGAAAACTTTAAAAAATGTAGAAAGAACTCGATGCAGTAAGAATAGTGATGGAAAACGGAATGAAGAATAAGTCTCAGGGTAATGCTTTGTGCGCTTGCGTTCAATCCTGGCATTGAACTTCTCATATCTATACAAAAATGTAAAATAACGTCTTTCTTCAACATGAATCTCGTTATTTCTTCTTTATTTATTTGCACACAGCGCTTTGGCGTTGATGGACCACGTGGAAGTAGATATATTGCTGCACTAGCAACCTAATATGCCGCCAATTTGAGTGCCCCGAAAATGGCTGTCTATGGCTGTCTAAGCGAGCAACACATAACCGTTAGACTCGTTAATTAAGTCGCCATTTATGTAGTGTGGGCCGAAGAATAAGCACACTGACTTAGCATTTTGAAAAAATTACACAATAACTCCAAAGTTTGATTTCTTATTACACATCGCACATACCTCGACTTTCGTTTTCCCGTCGTCCTTACTTCCTCAATCCTAGATTCCACGCTTCTGACATCACTCTCGTCGAGATTCGTGCCATTTTCATCTGTCACATCTGTTATGTCTTCGATGCTTTCAAGACCATCACCTTTTGGCGAGGAGCTATGTAATGGAGTCCTAATTTTCGAAGCCCGTTTGCTTTTATTTTTAGTATGTTCATGCGACGTCCTTGAAATTTTCTCAACGTCAAAAGTTGACGTGGTTTCGATTTCAGACTTCAAACTTTTGCGATGAATTTTGCTGTTACGTTTTACAGTTTTTAAGTCATTTTTTGACGGATTCATTTTTTTCGCGTGTTCTCCGTCATTGGCATGACTCTCTTCGTCATCGAACTCGGCGGTCCTGGTGACGGTAGCCATGGTAACGGCATCTTTTCTTTCCTTTATCAAGACACTGAAATCCTTGATGTGACTCATCAGACCGCGAAGATCGTCGAGGAGAACACGAAACCCTCTCGTCATTTCTACTTCTTCAAGCAACCTTTGCTAAAATTTAAAACACAGCATCTGATCATGAAAAGCGTGTACAAAGCACTAAATTATCCTTTATAGGGTGACCTTCATAGGAATTTATAGTCATAGAAAGCAGCCGTGCGGCCATAAATGTAATTTTTTACTAGTTTTGATGTGACCTCCCACCTGCTTCATATAGTTGCAAAATTCAGAGCAGGGGGGGGGTATTTAAGCTCATTTGAGCAGATCTAGTAACAAAAATTTGCACGCATGGTCACACTGGAAATCAGTCAACTTTAGAAAATTTCAGAACAACGCCAAAGTGAACAAAAGATCTCAACATCATAGATCAGGAGCCATGATGAAAGTCGGGAGGTCACAATTGCTACATACAGGTTGACTCTAAAAGCAACCCTTTATAGGGGAGAATAGACATTCTTACTAGTCCCTTTAATTAAAGCTAAACATCACTTATCATTTGTCTATACAACTGAGAGCAGACGTCATGCCTTCTATTTGTTAAGATTCACCAAATGTATGGCTTTTATATTAGTGAAGGTATAAAATGATCTTTATGTGGTATAAAATGGTATAAATTGATCTATAAAATGATCAATAAAGCTACCTGGACTTTCGAATTGCTCACGTCGTGCTCTTTCGGCGGAGCTTCTATATCTTTCGCTCGATTCCTGCAATATCAACATGTTAGGCAATCTGTTTGTGTCATATAGCAACATTACTGGCACAATATACGGGAAGAAGAGAAGCACGTTTATTCGCCATAAGTTAAATGCTTGTCAAATAAACTATTGTTTAAGAGCAAAGATACGCTAAATATGAAACATTGAGAGAGCTCCCAAATCAATATAATCAATCTAGGGTATAGGTCACATTTTTGTAGATGCTGCTCGTCCTAGGGTTAGTTACACGAGGAATCTCCAACTCGAAGGACGCCGTAACGTCAGTAAACATCAATGCTAACCCCAACATCCCATTTCACAACTGCAGTAAACTGAACGATCTACATCTACAAACATGTTACGATACCGAACTCTTAGCCTCAAACCATTCACTTTAACAGAAAATCCGTGTCACTGAATGACTGTACATAGTTACAGATCTAAGTATGAAAAACATTTACGGCGCAAACAATTGTACCTATATCATGGTCAGGGAGGTAACTTATATAGGAAACAACACAAAAAGAAAATGTCTCTCTAGATAAATTACTAAGTTCTACATGCACGAATTCCGGCCAGTCTCTTAAAGCCCATTTGCCACAAAAATCACACAATAATCTGGGCATTCTTGAAAATGTTGTACACAATAACGATTACCAAAGAATGTTTCTCAATGCTGAATAATTAGTGAAAATAAATATACTATTTTGTACTAATAGAACTGTGTTTGATAATTTTGGGATTCATTCATTTCGAAGTAATAAAAATATACTTGGAGGGGAGGGGAGGGTGGACTTGTGTTGTGTTGTGTTTAGTTGTTGAGACTCAAACAAAAGGATAAAACATAATCCAAATTTTTATTTGACTACATTTTCGATGTTCATTGATGAAAGAATGAAATTCGCAGACCATCTAATAATTTTTATAAATAATGAAAGCTCTGGGTAGAAATCCGTGTGGGAAAATTACACTGCATTAGCTATAGTTCAACCAATCAGGTGACAGGAACATAGTTTGAAAGACATAGAGAGCAACGAAGCCGTCATGTTTCTGGCATTTTTCAAAAAAAATCATCGCGGGTCATCGCGGGGAAAACCGCTGACCTGCTTAACTATAACCCATTAAATGTCGAATAAGAGAAATTTTACAAAAATAGATCGTGTTCCTGTTTTCCACTAGCCATGTATCGTAACGTATTGTAGCAAACGTAACATGGCGCATGCGTGCTTGTGCCTATTGACTATCAAATTCATAAGCACGCATGCGCCATGTTACGTTTTGCTACGGTACGTTACGATACGTGGCTAGTGGAGAAGAGGCTTTAGTTGCATCATTCACTAAATCCTAAACGTACCTTGGTGATTCTTTTCCAACAGCGTCGTCATGGTAGTGAAACGGTTTCACTACCTGAACATGTTCACTTTTGCTTTCAATCGACTTGACTTTCATTTCCAATTCCTGAGAATTAAATTATTATGTTTGAAATATTCACACAGCTTTCCTAACCATTACAATTCATCGACGACGTTGGACGACGTTCGCTTCCATCGGCACAACTTCAGATTTCGAACGCCTCAAATATCTGTGACTTGTAGTGTTTTTGAATGTACATCATAGAACATGATGATGATAAACAGGTTATTAAATTAGTGTGAAAGCGATGGGAGTGCACACCTTAACTTCCAACGAATAATGCAGTTTGATTTTCGCCATATCTTGTTCCAGTTTTTCAACAAGAGCTTGAGACTCGGAAAATTTCACTGCTGCCTAGATTAATTGAAAAAGCTTGCAAAACATTCTAACCGGGAGTATATTGGAAGGGCGGCTCTGGGGCTCCGCCCATTAAAATTTTATGTGTAATATTGGTCAATAGTAATTTGTATCAGAGAGTTCCCAGCAGTGATAATATGCATTAGAGAGCTTCTCTTGTTTAAATTTTGACAAGCACTTCAGTTCCGATTCCATCTGGAGAAATTATCATTCTCCCTCCCCCAGAGCATACCGTGCATATAGGGGTGCACCGTTTGGTGAGAGGGGGGGGTGGAGGTGAGATCACAAACACAAATTTAAAAAAATGATTGGTAAATATTTGCAAGATAGGTGCTCGTCGGGTTTTTTCAAAAAAGCGGTCGGTAATTTTTAAATTTTATGCAACTTTCCATCCAATCATTTGTGATCAGTGATATTAGTCCATTACCTTCAGTCTTCAATCACGTATTAGGATGTCTAAACGGTATGGAGGCTCGTAAAATACCACCCCACCCCCCATCCCCAAATGAATGTCCTCGATACGCCGTTAAGTCCAACTAATCGATTACTTTCATCAGCTACAAAAACTCATCCTCCCTAGGTTTTGCAAATTTACCACTAAAATACTCCAACTTGCGTCTAAAATTTAAAAAGGCCAGTGATATTAACAAGCTGAGCACACCTTTTCCAACGCTTTCTCCATATCGCTGATCTGTTCGTTGGAGCTGTAGTAGTATTTCAACATTTGATCAAACTCCATTCGAATGTTTTTGTTTTCCATGACCGCGTCGCGAAGTTCACTGGCAAGGTCGCTAGCTTTCGTTTCAAAATAAACTTTTTCCTAGTGTCAGAAAAACAAGATAAGTTTGTATGGACGAATGTAACTTGAGCAAAATAGAATTAGGACGAAATGGACAGGGAAGAACCGTTACATAAAAACTAACAGGTTTCATCGTGTGAATCATACCTCAGCAGTCGCTTGCAAGCTTTCTTTAAGCCATTTCACTCTTAAAATGAAAGTTTTCTAAAATTACTTGAGATCGACAACAAATAATTTAAGACAACTACTATAGAATTTAAGACAACGGTCAGTTGTTTTAATACTAATGCCAGCAATTTTTTGTGAATCCTGCGATTCCTTGGGTAGGCTGATAGGTCTTAGATGCGAAAAAATGATGATTAGGATCTAGTTCATTCCGAATCAGAATGCCTTGAAAAAAAAATGAATCAGAATGCCTTGAAAAAATGATGATTAGGATCTAGTTCATTCCGAATCAGAATGCCTTGAATGCCTTGGTTTTTTGTTTTGTTTTTTTTTGCGTTTTGCTGTTTGCTTTACGAAGTATGTTAAGGTTTAGTCGAAAAATTGCGTGTATTGAGCAAAAACGTTCTGAGCCAATCAAAGCACGCCAATATGCCAGAAGTGACGCTTGCCATATAATAATGCTCATTAATGCACCGAACGAAGTGTGGTGAGCAGTGAATAAACCACTTTGTCGAGATTTCGTTTAATTCAAAAAAAAAATTGGAACATCCTTAAGCTGATCAAAAAGTTCGAACATTCTGGAGAAACGCAAACGTGCAGTTAGACTGTAAAATCACAATATAGATGATAATATTTTGCTTGTTTATTTGTCGTTGGAATAGGACATGAATAACAGTACCTTGAAAAACACAGTCAGGGAAAATTCCCGAGTTGAAAATATATCTTCAAAATCGGGGAATCACTGACTTTGTAACAGTTCTCGAAACCTGGGCGTGTCTCAATAGCACAGGACGTCTAAGGACCTTTACCTTTACTCTTAGTGGTACAAAGCTTAGTCACAACCATTATGTTGTTTACATAAAAGAATCTCGAACGATGTCCGAACGTCTCATCAACATACACGTGCTTCCACTTGATTGAATGCTGACAAAGTGGTCCATTCACTGGATCCATTTGCTGCAATATGAACGGACTAACGTTTAACCGAACACAAAAAGAAAATGAATTCAATACCGGTCATTTAAAGCGTCGATTTCTTTTCTTTTCACCGTTATTTCTTCCTGGGTGACCGACGCCATTTTTACTGCTACAAAATGTAAAGCAAGCCCAAATATGACTAAATCGTTCGGATTTCAAAGAAAAAACGAAACAACTAGTTACTTGTAACAAGTTAGAAATACTACATTGCGGCATTGCAAATAATCGAAATAAGCACATTTTCGTTTTGAAGTAAAAGATTGAAGGACCACTCCTTTTACAGAAATAAAATTCTTGTCACTTTGAAACTCAGAGAACTTGCCACTTGTGGCAAGAAGTGAATGATCAAATAAAAACGAACATATTATTAGTTTAATTTTTATTTTGAGCAGTGAGATATACATAACTACGGTGAAATCTCTGTGTATTTTAGACAATGGTGACGTTCCACAACGACTGAGATTGATATGTTTATAGCAAAGATAACTGGAAAAAACAAACAAAAACAAACAACGGAAAACTAGGTCCCAAATATGACTCGAACGAAATGCCAGTAAGCTAGCATTCTCACCAGTTACCGACCCCTGAATGACACAAACTGATTAATGAATACAGTTCGCTACAAATATTACTGTGCTACTGAATTCATGTGATCAAAAGCAAACGTAAATAAATAAATTTAAAATGACTTTATAACTTCTTGTGTTATTTTATTTTTTGAGGTATGTAACTTTCTTCAATAGTAATCAATACGTAAATGCATGGTTATATGACATCCACATTGCGTGATTGGCAATGGCAGATTGTAGTTTTTGTCGACAGTTAACATCAATACAAGGTGTATGAAAAAAAACTGAAGAGAAAGGAAAACGTCGCTAAAGTCATCAGCGCGCAAGATCTGCAAAAGCCTTTGATTGAATAGGTATAGTTGAACGTCCAACGGATCATCTGACAGTAAAAGTTTCGTCATGTGACATAACAATTTTTAGAGCGAGAAATGTGTTACCGCGAAGCACTTTTGAAATAGCTTGCGCACGAAAATAACAAAGCTAAAAAGCAATTGCAACATATAGGCTTAAAATATGGCACATGTTGTTCAAGCTTACAAACTTCACTGAACTTTGGCAAAACAGTACACGAACGCTAGGCATTCAAATTGCCGACTGTTTTGCATTTTTCACTTTTTAGATGCATTTTCTTAAAACCTTCATCAATTATTCATATAAGGATTAATTTAAGCTCAAATTTACGAATTGATGAGGATTACAAAAAGATGGCTTTGAAAAACGAAAAACTTAAGATAATTCGGAATTTGAAAGCCAAGCGTTCGTGTGTAGTATAGTACATGGGGGTTCTAGCGCACAAAAAGTGCGCTATAATCCTCCATGTCTATACCTATATGATCAATTAAAAAGCTATTTTATAACAGCTTAAAATAAGACCATGGTTTAAAACGTCCCTCTGGTAAAAGGTCATGTAAAAAGCTGTGTAAAAATTGTTTGTTTCAATATAGTAAAAACTTTCTTTATAACAGCATAAAATAAGACCATAGTTCAAACGTCCCTCAGTAAAGGTCATGTAAGAACTGTATGAAAAAAGTCATTGTTTCAAAGGGTAAAATTTGGAATCTATATGTTTTAAAACTATCTTTACAAACAAATGTTAAGCATCGGTTCGGAGGCGATCCGGCGCAAATTTAGCGTAGCTAAAATTGAGCAGGGATGGATCGCCGAGAATTCATGAAGCCTGGTGGGTAAAATTCTAGCTTTAGCTAGAATTTTCGCTCACTCCGTGGTGTCAAGAGGGACTTACGAAATGCTCTTTAAAAACTATCTTTAGAAATCAAGTGTTAATAAAACATCTTTTCAAAATATGGAATCTATATGTTTTAAAACGGTCTTTACAAACAAATGTTAAGAAAGCATCGGTTCGGAGGCTCAAGCGCAGATTTTAGCGTAGCTAAAATTGAGCAGGGATGGAGCCCCGAGAATTCTAAGTGAAAGCCAGGAACACGAAGTGAAAATTCGGAACGACCCGTAGATTCGATGAATATTCGAAGAATATTCGAGAATAACAGAGGCTTAAGAAATGCTCTTCAAAACCGTCTTTAATAATCAAATGTTAATAATCAGTGTTATTAAAATATCAGTAGCAAATTCTTGAACCAAGGCGCGTGTGTTAGTGCATGTTCTTAACAATGGTTGTTTAATGTAGATAGCACATTTCATCAGCGCATGTATAATAATCAAGTGTTAATAATCAAGTGTTATTAAAATATCAGTAGCAAATTCTTGAACCCAAGGCGCGCGTGTCTTAGTGCATGTTCTTAACAATGGTTGTTTAATGTAGATAGCACATTTCATCAGCGCATGTATAATAATCAAGTGTTAATAATCAAGTGTTATTAAAATATCAGTAGCAAATTCTTGAACCCCAAGGCGCGCGTGTCTTAGTGCATGTTCTTAACAATGGTTGTTTAATGTAGATAGCACATTTCATCAGCGCATGTATAATACAATGTTTTACAAAACTATGGAATCTATATGTTTTTTAATTTGTCTGTCAAGCGAGTGTTATATAATTTTTGTTAAAAGTGTTTTTAATAATTGTTTCAGGATTTTGAATTCTTTTGTATATCGCTTTTGTATTAATTACTTATTACAAACAGTTATGTGATATGTAGTCAAACATGAGGAGCAGGTATGTATGATTTTACTCTAACAGAGGCCCACTACATGCTTACTACATTTATAACTGTTCATTAATATTTAGTTATTTGAATTATATTATAATTCCATAAGCTTTGTTGTTTTACCATCATCTAATATATATCCATCATCAAAACAGCTAAGTGATACTTTATTAATTTCATAACTACTAAGTTGATGGTTTACACTTCTAATAGTTTTCATTGTATGATGTATTTGTTTATTTTCAAATAGTGTTTGTTTATAGTCTTCATGTTTTATTTTGTTTTTAATAATATTTTTCTTAATTCCTTTAGCTTTCTTATCTCCTTTATTATGCTCGTTAATATAACTATACATCTTACTTCTTAAACCAACAAATTCTTTAACTACTATTCCAGCAGCTTCATCTTTCATTTTACCAATAACTTTTTATTAGTTTTATCATGATATTTATGGTATTCTGGGTAATCACTAAAATCAAATTTATCTTTATCAACCCAAAATCTTGATAGACATCTTCAGTTTCGATTTCATATGTTAGACTATCTGTGTCTGTGAAAAGTTTAGCTTTATCACCATACCGCTTCTTGATATAGTTGTAATGAAAATCATACATTCATACTTTAGATAAATCTAAGATGCACATACCCAATATGCCGGCCTATTAAGGGTTAGTGTTTCTTTGATCTTATGCACAGCCACAAGGTTCTCATTGAAATTTTACTACTTACATAAGTAGGTTTTGAAGCTAATTTTAATAATTTATTTTTATTAGTTACTAGTCTAACATCTACTCTTTTCGTAAGTTTTCCATCGTCTTACCAAAACACTGTTATTCATAATTTGAAGAAGTCTTTCTCAAAAGAATTTTTTGCATTAGTTCGTTTTTGAGTATTAAAGTCTATGTATTTTTTCAACCATGGAGATTGATTAAATTCAAGTACTCTATGTACTTTAGTTAACTTTAACCCAAGATCTAAATAGAGTTGAAGATTTCTATAATGTAGCACATACTTGTATTTATTTTGTAATGTAGGTATTAATTTTGAAACTAAACCCGTTGATATATTGTAATTATAAGCAATTGTCTTACAATATTTTGACAGCATTTCACTAGTTACTTTAACTTTTTCTGGTGCAACAGGATAATCGTTATGTAAATCATGTAATTCTTCAGGGTATTCTAGATCAACTTCTAAAATTAAACCTTTTTTACTATCTGCATTGTATTTAGCAAGGTTTATGTTGTTAATCTGTTTATCAGTTAACCATTTGAAACCACCAGTAGGTAGGTATTGTGACATAGCCCAGCCATATAAATTATTTGCGTCAAGATACATTATATATTTTGAGGGTTTATTCTTATCAAATGTTTTCATATACTTGTTATTTGCCTTACCATATCGGTTAGAAATATAAGAAACACCTCCTCTCATACCCTTTTCGATGAATTGAAACATGTCAATATCTGTCATTAATTCTAATTTAATATCTGTCATCTTTAACATAGCATCCCAAGACAACCCGGGTGATGTAAAATAATGACATGGGTCTAAGTTATAATATTCTAAACATGTTTTCCTAAAGTTTTCAAATACATCAGCTAATAACAAAACGTCTGATTTCATATACAGGTCGTGGTACTCACCCATGTTTTTGAGATTGAATGTATTCCAAACATTTTGAGCATGATTATAAGAATCATCTGATATATTTTCATCAGTAAGAATACTATAAAAATCTTTTTTTGAAGGCAACTTCTCATCAAACTTTTCAAAGCTATCCATATAATCATATGGGTATATACCTTTTAGTCATTAAATTAAATTTTTCACTTTAAACTGCTTAGAGGTGTATTTAAATGATTCTTTAGGTAGGTTACTAACAAGCTTTTCAAGACTAGAGCTCATAAATTGAAAACTATCAAGAAATGTTAAATGGTTACCTAACATGAAAGCCATATATTTTTCCATGTTATTAGGTATACATTTATATTCATCTGCGTTTCTCACCTTTTTGTTTTGTATGTATGCTTATTAACAATAGCTCCGATTTCTTGCATAATAAAATGGCTATCATATCCACGCAGATTGTGAAATATTACTGGGATCTTTAATTTATCAGGGTCTATTCTAAGTTTTAAATTACAATCTTGATGAGCCGACCCTCTGTATCTTATGACAATGGTCTCGAACTCGAATATCTTTGTTAGTATATTTTTGTTACAGATATGACATTCATCAGCTTTTTAAATTCTTCTTCATCATCAGAGGTCATTTTAATGGTTTATTAAAGTGGTTTTTCATAATATTTTTACAATATTTAACTTCTTTTAACATAGCTTCCATAAATTTGTAAACAGCCTTTTCACCTCTATATAGTTGAATTTGTTTAGTAAATTGATCATCATAACAACAAACAACTTTATACCCATAACCACAGTCAGTGTGCTTCTGATAGGCTTCAGTGAATGATTTTTTATTATTCTGATTACAACCAGATATCTTTTCTGTAATAGCCTCAAAGTCTGCATATATGACAAATGGTACTGGTTGTTGCTTATGATAGTTGTTGAATTTAAGTATGTTATTATTTTTATCAGGCATTCTTACTGATTGTATACCATTTATTAGTATACAGTTTTCTATATGGTCATTTAATATTTTTCAGAACTAAAACATTGAAGACAGCATACAAAGTGTTTTCTTTCTTTATGCTTTGTTTGATTGTACATAAATTTATTAAAATCTTTTATTAATACATAATGTTTGTTTTCATTATCAGTTATCAATAGTAGTTCCATATGGTCTTCAAATTGTTCTTTTGATATGAATAATGGATATGGTTGTTTATCTTCATAACCGAAGACATTAATGTTAATTTTGTTTTGCTTTTCGATTTTATTATAATGTTTAACAGTCACTGGAAAATCAACTCCTTCATAATTAAGCTTTTCAATATATTGCTTATCAGATTTTTTATTCTTTGTGGTCTTTATTTTGTGGGTTAATATGCCTAATATGCACCACCTAAAACATTCATTATCATGGTTTTGATATTTATCAAACCTTTATTAGGTTTTTAAGTTCTTGAGGTAAATTAATGTATGAAGACCCTTGTAATGGCTTGTATTTAACAACATTAAGATAATGATTATCTATAGAGCGAATAACCCATCCAGAACCTTCTTGTGTAAATTTATCAATCTTGTTTAATATATTTTGTTTTGAAATTTGTAGTGATTCAGTAATATTTTCATTATTTGTAATTGTTAAAGCTTGACTGTTAAAATAAGCAACTTTTGTTAAAAAACCAGCTGTACCACCATCTTTTATTTCAAATTTTTCAAATGTTACCTTAAGCGTTTCAACAAATTTTAAACCTTTCATTGTTGTTAATATTTCTTTAATATAATATGTAAGATACTTTCTTGTGCTCTGCATTTGTATTAATGGTGCTTTTTTGTTAATAATGCTTATTTCATATGATTTAGTGTATCCTTTGATAGCATTGTTTGTTTCTCTTATTTTAACTCTTTGTGTTGGTATTGGTTTTTTATTTTTATCTGCTAACATCTGTGTATTATTCTCATACTCTTTAACCATATCTTTTACACTCTTTCTTGGTTTTGGGACTGGTGTTAATACTTTGATTAATTCGTTTTTCTAAGTTTATAATAACCTTTAACCTTTTTTCTTTAGCAATAACTTTTAACTGTTTACAGTCATTTGTTTAATATGGATTGTGATAGTACTTTTGTACTGGTTTGGAAATTGAAGTATTATTAACTTCAACCCACGGCTTTTGATTTAATACTAACTTAATTAAATCGTCTTTAGTCAACTTTTGAAGTTCATCTCTATTCATATTAGGCATACTATATAAAATACTCATGTCTTTAAGTACTTTATGTTTTGTTTTATCTTTATTCATCTTATGCATATTATATAATATAGGTTTGTCTTTAAGTACCTTTCGATTTAAATAATTTCTATTCATATATATAATTACTATATATTTTATTTTATTTTTTTTAAACGCACTAATTTTAATTATAGAAATAAATCTATAGTTAAAACTTTTTATAAAAATAATTAAATTAATCTATTTAACTTTTGAGTGCTTTTTAAATATTTTGTAAATATTCTCTTAACTTAGCTTCAGTTTTTATTGTATTAGGTAACATACCGGGTTTTAGACCGACCTCCCATGGATTGAAACCCTTCTCGTGTACCCAGATCACTCTGTTTAATTTTTCTCTAATAATTGGGTCATCGAGAGCTTCTTTTGTATTATAATAATAGTGAAGTTCTTGTTTATGATCATTAGTTTTAAATATTAATAACCTTAAATGTTTATGATGTTCAACTAATTTTAATTGACGTTTATTTGCTTTTGTAATTAGTGTATGTATAAATGTTGGGAGATCTTTACATTTTTTATATCCTGTAGAATCAGGTGGATAATGTAATAATTTTGTTGGTAAAGAATCTATGTATATAAAAAAACTAAATTTAGAATATAAATCTTTATCAACCATTCTAAAATCCCAGCCAGCCGAAATACACTAGACTAAAAATTTCATTATTATTTTTATATTTTCTATCATATATATTATGTATATATATTTAAACACACCATAAAATTTTATAAAAACTATATTATTTTTAATTTTTTGAATTTATTATATGTTTTCTAGTTCTAAGATGTAAAGTTTTATATGCTAAACTATATGTTTTATTACATAAATCACAATGCCATGGTTTTGAGAGCATATATGATGTCCTATGTTGTTTGATTTGTTCTTTAGTATAAATTCGTGGCCTTCCTCTTATTAGGTTATCTGAACACATATATACTAATACTATATATTTTATTTTCTTTAAGGTGCGTTTAAATTATCTTTTGATTTATACAATGTTTTTTCAAAATCCTTCAAAACAACTTCTATATTAGAACTAGTTTTTTTACAACATAGAATAAAATTTCTAATCTTTTTTAATAGATTTTTAAGATTCATATATAATAGTAAATTTTTTATTTCTTTGACTCTATCCAATTTTTATAATAAGTACAGTTGATGTCTTTATCCCATTCAAGAATTTTATATACTTCACCGAATAATCTATCATCAAAAATCTTCTTTGTCTTACTATTTTTCATATCTCTAACAGGGTATTTTAATGGTATACCCCTACGGCTGGCTAAGCGTATTATATAATAGTTATACATACTAATATTCTTTTTCTGAATCAACTTATGTTTAATCATAGTACTAACAACCTTTATAAAATCATTTGTCAATGTCTCAACATATTCAAAAGTTACACACAACCTAATTTTATTATAAAACCATTTTTTCCTTGAATGAACTGATCGTTGACATTTCCAAATATCTGGTATCCATTCATTAACAATCTTATATGAATGAACAGAACCGCAATTTTTGCAAACCATTTTATTGTCATCTGAAATAATTTCTTGATTTTCGCAACATAAGTATACCTTAGCAGATCTATTAATATAATTATCACATATCTTTTTATCACAAAACTCTTCTAACTCTTTATAAATTAATTCATAACAATACATATACTAATACTATATATTTTATTTTCTTTAAGTAATTTTATATATTAAATATCCAGATATAATACCAATCACAACCATTGTACCAGATTCATATTTTTTCATATTCTTCGATCTTTTATAAAAATCATCTAACTGTGGTTCTCTGTGAAATGTTAGACCGTTGTATTGTATCGTTTTTACTTTTCTAAGCGCATCTAAAGCTTTGTTTGTAAGTTCTATATCATTATCAGCATATTGAAGTTCTTGTCTTAACTGTTGTATTTTATCATGCTGCTTGACTTCATTTTCATAGAACGCTTCTTTAGCCTTTTGTAGTTTTACTAAAGACTCGTGGTATCTTTTCATTTCCTCAACGTAACCGTTTTTATCAAGTTTATGAAATAACCAGCCTGCTAGAGAAAACCCTAATCCATTAACAACAGCACCAAAAGCTGTTCCAATTCCACTAGTAATAACACTTGTCATATATATTTATACAGATTTAAATGGATTTTCAGGGACCCATTTTTTGTCTTGAGCATATTTAACTAGCATTGTTGATGCTGTAACAGCAATAGCTAGTTTAGCAAAATCTTTGATACTGTTTGTGTCTGTTAACTTTTGACTAAATAGTTTTCTAGACGCCATAGAAAGACCTACAGCAGTTGTTGTAACAAGCACTGCATCATAAGCTTCATTCATAAATTGTTTTTTATTCATAGTATTACTCATATATAATAGGAAATATTTTATTCAAATGAGTCTAAATTATATTGTTTATTTTTTTGTATCAAAACATGTTTTTCACTAATTGTTTCTTCTTTTGCTTTATCGTTTGTTAATTTTTCCTGCCTTTTATCATTTTTTCTTGTATAATAGAGACTAGCAATAGCAGTTAATACTCCAATAGTTCCAAATAAAAATCCATAATTAATATTCCATCTATTATCTTCAACTTTCTTTTTATGTTCTAACTCAACCCTATCTCTCATTTTTTTTTCTTTAGCAGCTTTCGATATAGCAGCAAGACGTTTCCCAGCTTCGACTCTAACAGGGTCTTTCTCTTTCTTAACTGTAGTTATCTTTAGGTTTTCTTCAGACATGTTATATAATACTGTAGATTTTATTCACAGATAACTCACAGATAATCTTATAGATAACTTACAGATAACTCACAGATCTATATATTTTTTGTTATATTTACTTACCATACTATCTATAGTAGTGCAATTATCTATTATAATATCATCGATAACTTTTATGTCTGATAGAAATATCACTTCATCATAAGGTAATCCTCTTAAATATGATCTTATATCCATAAGTATTTTTTCATATGATGTATATGCAAATTTACACATTTCTAAGTTATTATTAATCTTACTCTTAACCATATAACCTTGAACTAAAGCACCTAAACCACTCAGTGTGGCTATAACTATCGGGTTTACAGTTATACTACCTGCAATACCAGCAGTCGAGACTAGAAAAATACTTCCCATGTTTAATGATAGTCTAATTTTCTTTAATTTATTATACTTCCATTTATAACAGGTATACATCTTGTGATAGTACAAATACAACTTTTTCAGCTTTTCAAATTCTTTTTCACTTAGTTTACTCGAAATATGATTAAAATCTAGAACTTGTTTCATATTATATTATAAAACATATTTAACTAATATGAATGATAATAGCGTTGATATACCGAGTAAAGTAACCATATCTGTTTGATGAGAATTATTTACTATCATTTTTGTATGTTTATGTACTAATGGTTTTTTATAAACTTCATCTAAAGTATCTAGGTGTTGTGAGGGTGTATTATCTTGATGTACTTTTGCCGGTTCTTTTTTTTTAGCTCCATAATAATTTATTTTAGAATTAATACCGAATTGCATATTTTTATTCGCTAATGTTAAAATATTATTATACCCATCAATCTTTTTATCTAATATAATCAAACGGCTGGGTATTAAAATCATACCAGGGCTTATTGCCATATTCAAAATAACATTCGTGTCTTTTATAGCTTTCCTCATGTTAGATATAAATACAGTCGTATCATTCTGTACTATAGTATCTTTTAATAATTTTCTAAAAACGTTTTGAGTTTGCAGGCTCTTAGCTCCATGATTAACTATTGACCATCTTGTATTTGCTTGAGATCCAAGAATTGTATAAACAAAGCTTTCAATGCTCTCTTGCAAAAGAATTTTTCCGATTAATGTAATACCTTCAGAATGATATGCAATGAAGCTCTTATAATCAGTAGTCGAATATTGGAAATTAACATAATACCCATCATTGTTTTTATCAAATTTTAAAATACCTTTATAAGGTATATGTTTTTTTAATTCCGTAAAGTCATATTTGTCTAATAGCGATGGGTGCTTCATAAATTTTTTTATTTGATAATACAAATGGTATTTAACAAGGCTTTGTATAATTCTACTTTTATCAAAATTTAAATGATTAAGCCCTACCCCAGATAGAAAAAGAAAACATAAGCCCCACAAATCATAGCGTAGTATGCTTCTTGTTTATAATTTAAATGATTTTTAATATTGTATCTTATACCAGTCGTGTTCTTTTTACTTTTAATTTCACTTGACCATGTGGCTGTTATAGGTGGTAAACTACTCATAAAATAATCATTCTCTGTGACATACAATCTAAAGTTACAGATATCAACATTTACCGGCCTTTGAAATGTAGGTTTTACAATAAATTTTGAGGACCATCGATGTAACATATGATCGAAATAATCCACAGAATGACCTTCGTCTCCATTAACAGCTGCTATTAGATTTGAAAACAAAGGTGTTTTAGGTGTTTCTAAATATATTTTTGGCCATGTTGGTACATTTTTTGAATCATCACCCTAATTTTATAGCATTTTCTTCTATTTGCTTGTCTGACATATAAGCTATATTATATATGAAGTTCACTATTTTATAGACGGAGATAGTAGAAAAATTGACTTACAAGAAAGTATAGTAACAACTAACTATTCATATTTATATATTAAGAAAGCTTATGTGTATTGGGAATATAAAAATGTTAAATTAAATAATACTTTAGCTGTTACAATAGGCGTAACAAAATATAATATAAATGCTGGTTACTGGACTTTTAAAATGCTTAAAACGTTTCTTGAGTCTGTTAACGTAAAGCTTGAAATGGTAGAAAAAAATGGAACTTGTAAAATAACTAATAATAATGATGAAATATTGTCTGATACTCTTATTAAAATGTTAGGTTTTAATGATACTATAAAAACTATGAAAAAGGTATCGTACAAAAGGTGTTTCTAAAGTGGATATAAACAGAGGATTAAACTATATTCAAATTTCTTCTAATATTGTAAATTCAAGTTATAATTATAACCCTGAAGGAAAAAAAGTAATATAGCTTGCTTTACCAGTAATAACAATTCAGTCGTTATTTGGTACTGTTTACGAATACAATGATATTGAATCTAAAGTTACAATTATAAAAGGAGCTTTTGACTACTATTTAATATATTAGATCAAGATGGTACTCCTGTTAATGTAGGTAGTATTCTACTTGAATGTTATCTTGAGTAAGTTAAATGGATGAAGACATTAAAATTGAGCAAAGTTTAAGAGATATTTATTATAATCACAAACAGGATATCAATCAGCAGAACGGTTTGTATCAAGCATTAGAAGAAGGTATAGATGTTAGTAGAAACAAGTTAAAGAATGGTTAATATCTCAAGATACATACACTAGATATAAACCTATTATTAGGAGACATAAATTCAGACAAACAAAGGTAAACTATCTTGGTGAACAAATACAAATGGATTTAGTTGATATGGGTTCTTATAAGTATAAAAACAATGGTTATTATTGGATATTAACAGCTATTGAAATATTAAGTAGATATGCATTTGCTATCCCTGTTTATAGGAAAGACACAAATAATATGACAAAAGCTGTTGCAAAACTATTAAGTCAATTTAAAGATAGATTTAATAATTACCCGAAATTAGCTCAATTTGATGATGGTAAAGAATTTTATAATGTAGGTGTAAAATCATTATTAGAGAAACATGAAATTAAGTACTTTTCTACTAAAAATGATAAAAAAGCTGCGATTGTCGAAAGATTCAACAGAACGCTTAAAACATCAATGTGGAAATATTTTTACAGTAAAGGAACATATAAATGGATTGATATATTGGATGATTTAGTATATAATTATAACAATACAAAACACAGTACAATCTTGATGAAACCTAAAGATGTTAATAAAAATAATGAAGATGAAGTATGGAATACATTATACGGTCATGAAGTTGCTTATTTACCATTACCTAAGATTAAAATTGGTGATATGGTTAGAATATCAAAGTATAAATCTATATTTACGAAAGGCTATGAAGCAAATTTTACAGAAGAATTATTTAAAGTGATTAAAGTTATTAGACAAGATCCTAATTTATATGAGATAGAAGATTTAGAAGGAGAGCCTATAATTGGTAAATTTTATGAAGAGGAACTATCAGTTGTGAATAAGAAAGATGATGTTTATAGAGTTGAAAAGATATTAAAACGTAAGAAGGTTAAAGGTAAAAAGATGGTTTTAGTTAAATGGTTAGGTTATGATAATAAACATAACAGTTGGATTCCTGAAAGTGAAATACAAAATATAGAGTAATCTATATAATGGCAGAAGGAGGTTTTGATTATATTAAATTAGAAGATAAGAAGCAAGAAGATAATAACGATGATAATGAAGATAATAACGATGATAATGAAGATTGGCAAGATTTTAAATTTATTGATAAAACATCATTTACCGACGATAATGATGGTGTAACAATAAGAAAAAAGACAAATAAAAATGATACTCTTCCTGATGTTCCTATTAATTCCACTCCTGTTTATACAAATATTACTAGGCCTGACAATGAAGTTTCTTTTGCTGTTGAACAGTTCATTACAAAAAATTATAGACAAGAGTTTAAATTTAATCAATTAAAAGGTATGGCATATGATGAAGGTATGAAACTTAGATTAAATTTAGGTAAAACTAATATAAATAATATTACTTACCATTAAATAAAAATAATGAGCGAGGTGCTGAAAAATTATTTTAACACGTAATAGTAATGGTAGATTAAAATACAATAAAGCAGAAAGTGTTAAAGAAGCTGTTAAAAATTTAAAGATGAAATTAACAAATTATTAATTTACAAAGGAATTTATAAAAACTGAAGAGAGTATGCCTATGGTTGATTTAAATAATCAATATACAGATAATTTCAATCAAATAACTAATCAAGAACTTAGAGAACATATAGGGGTAATGACCCCCTCTGGAACTATTGATAAAGAACAAGCAAATCATTAGAAGCACAAATAAATCACTTTACTGAAGAGCTAAACAAAACTCAGCTTAGAATAAATGAAATAGAAAATGAAATGAAAATGGTATTGACAACAATGATGAATTAACTAATTTACTGAAAAGAGCCGAAGAATTAGAAACTATAATTAAAAGAAGAAGAGCAATTAGAAAAAGAGGATGTACGAGATAAACAGGAAGAAGACATTACTAGATTACAACGATTTAAAGAATGGGTTAAAGAAAATATCCCTGAATTATCAGCTTTAGCTATATCTGTGGCTAGTATAATTACAACTATTGTTATAGCAGCTAGAAAAGCAATCCTGCAAGGTGCTCAAGCTACTAGTAAATTTTCTAAGGCTGTAGCAAATATAGTAAAAAAATTATGGCCAGTGTTAGGACCATTATTGAATATTATCTCTCAGGCTATATCATGGGGAGCTAAAGGTCTAGCATGGGTAGCTTCTAATCTATGGATTTTAGCTATTGCTGCTGCTTTGTTAATATATGACCAGTATAAACAAAGAAGAAAATAAAATATGTTTTAATATATATATGAACAGATTACAAGAAGAGCTTTTACCTAATTTTAAAAGTTAATATGACAAAATTAAAGGTACCCGTACTTTTTATAGTATAACCTTTAATCCTAATAGTCTTAAACCTAATGAACAAATCTATATGTTAATGTGCCTAAATTAAAATCAAATAGTTGTTTAGTTCCTGGTTCGCTTAATCTATCATTTGATCTTAAAATCAGTAATACAAAAAGTCACTTTCTAAATAATCTCAGTAAGATTTTACAGCATAGACTACAAATTAAAGTGGCTGGTGAAACCCTTTACGATTGTTGTGAACATAATATTATAAGTGTATACAAAGACCTGTGGTTGCCTAAAAGTGATCGACAAGCCTTATTGAATATGGAATAGCTAACGAAAATTTAGAAAACTTATTTCTAAAGATGATAGTGCTGCAACAAGTGGAAGTTCAGAAAAAGTATCAGATAAATTAATGTATGATATTTATAGTACAAGGCAAAAATTAATATTGATATATTCTTAAAGACCATGGTTGTATTGCCTTTCAATATGAATAATAACTTTCAATACATAATAACATTACCACAAGTGATCAAATACTTATTCCTCAAAGTGGTCAAAGTATCGGTGATTATGAATTAGAAAATATTCAACTGGAATATGAAACTATTGAAAATCAAGAAATTGCAGATGAATAACAAATCTATATTCTATAGGTAGAAGCCTATTTTACAAGCATATAACCCTCTTAAAAAGGAAAAATGGGATAAATCAAGTACATTACAGAATATTAATGTCAATGTGCCTCGTAAAAATATGAAAGGTATTGTACTACTATTCACAGAAAATTCAGTTAGTGATAGTGAAAATTTTATATATCCCAATATCGATTCAGTTAAAATCACTATTGAAGGTTTACCAAATTGTATTTTCGCTCAAGGTATGGATAAAAAGTATTTTATGAAGAAGCAAAGACGGTTTTGATAAAACTAACCCAATAGATTGCTTCATGACAATTGAAAAAATTCTATAAGGATAAATTTGCATTAGTTATCGATCTACGCACCTTTCAAGAAAAATATTGCTGGTAACGGTAAAAATCATTAATACTCAAAATGGTGTTTTGCTTGAAATTAAAAAGAGCATATACAAAAGATTTAAACTGTTACATCTATGTTATTAGTGATGCTCTTGTTCAATTTGTTAATAATGATTTACAAAGTATTCAATACTAAATAACAGTAATATATAAATGAATACACCTTTTAATATGATTATTGTAGGTATGACAAATTGTGGTAAAACATTCATTCTTTTAAGAATGTTAGAAAAACTTTAATAACATTTTGATTATATTATTTTAGTATGCCATTTATCATATAATAAAACCTATCAAGAATGGAAATATATAAATGATTCTGATTTAATTAAAGTAGAATGTGACCAATATCAGGTAGATATTGTTTTAAAATATGTTAGTGATGTATATAAAGGTACAAATAGTCTTATTATACTTGATGACTGTGCGAGTTGTTTAGATGTTAAAAATAGGACATCTGAATTAGTTCGTTTAGCATTCAGTGCTCGTCATTATGGGCTTTCTACAATTGTGGTTACACAGCAATTGACAAGTATTTCTAAACCTTATCGTGAAAATATAAGTTATTTAGTTGCATTTTATAATACAAACCGCAATAATATGAAAACAATATTTGATGATTATCTTTATGGTTTTGATAAAGATGATATAGAAGAAATAACAAAAAAATTGAAAAAGAATAAATTTGCTCATCTATTTATTCAACTAATATATCCATACCAATGGAAAATTGTTATTCCATAATAAAATATGTGTTAATATATATATGCCAAGCGTAAAAGAACCAAACAATTGATGATATAATTAATGAGATTGATTCATAAATGATACTATCAAAGATGCTGTATGTGATGATAATACAAGATAAACCGAAGAGGGTTTTAATAAAAGATCAACTACTTAAACTAGCTGAAGATGGTGATTTAGACAAGTCAGTTGCTTACATTAAAAAGCTAGTCAAAAATTATTGATAAATTATACATTGAATACGAGAAAAATTACAAAAACCAATGAGTTTTTAACTGATTTAGTTATATCAAAATTTTCAGATATATTAAAAGGGTTTGATGCTATTGAAGACTCCAAAGAATTAACAAAACAGCTTAAATCAGACGACCTTTTAAAAGAGATGTATAGTTTAGTAGAAAAATATCACCTATTACCATTTTTAGGTTTCTGGTTGTATAATAATAGGTAAACATGTTTACGAACATAAAAATAATAAACCTGATATAAAATCTGAGGAATAATATAAATGAGCTTATTTTATGGGCATGATAAAACAGATATTAATTTAAATATACAAGGACCTGTAGATAAAACACATCTATCAGATAACCACTACACTAAAACTCAAGTTAATAATAAATTTAATGACTACTATACTAAAACGCAAGCTGATAATAAATATACCTTGACTTCTAATTTAAATAAATATTATACTAAAACACAAGCTGATAATAAATATGTTTTTGTTTCAAGATTAGCCAACTATTATACAAAAAATGAAACAAATGGTAAGTATGTTTTAAGTTCTAATTTAAATAAATATTACACAAAGAATGAGATTGATAGCAGAGTAAATGGTAAAGTAGTACACCATAGCAATCAATTAAATTATAAAATTTTTAATACCCAACAAGATATTATCAGAATTTATTTTACTAATGTTAAATTTATTGAATTTACACTTTTATTAATAAATCTATCTGATAACTCTAAAACAATTAAATTAGATATGATGGCAGATAAGATTAAAAAAAAATTTATCATTAAAGTAACAAATGATAATGAAAAAAAGATAGTTAATGCATTACTAAATTTATATCACGTATACTGTGTTGATGATATAGATAATAATATTTTATTAATTATTGAACCAACAAAATCTTCAGTTTCACTAGGTTATGACGAATGGAAAGAAAATGGCTGGCAGCATTTAATGGATTAACAAAATTCAAGTTTATTCACAACATCAATCCATTATATATGTCATCAATGGTTTTTCACAAAATTTTAGGGCTACTATAGAAAGATAATATTCTATCAACTAAAAATTTGTAAATGATGAAATCGAAAAATTAAAAATTTATTAAAAATAACTATCAAGCTAAAACTTAAGATGAAGAATAATCCTCATGTTTATTACATATCACATAACTGTTTTATTAATAAATAATTAATACAAAAGATTCAAAATCATGAAACAATTATTAAAACAATTTTAACAAAATTATATGACACTCATGACAGACAAATTAAAAAACATATAGAACCATATTTTGTAAAACATTGTATTATTATACATGCGCTGATGAAATGTGCTATCTACATTAAACAACCATTGTTAGACATGCACTAAGACACGCGCGCCTTGGGGTTCAAATTTGTACCTGATATTTTAATAACATGATTATTAACACTTGATTATTATACATGCGCTGATGAAATGTGCTATCTACATTAAACAACCATTGTTAAGAACATGCACTAAGACACGCGCGCCTTGAGGGTTCAAGAATTTGCTACTGATATTTTAATGTACTTGATTATTAACACTTGATTATTATACATGCGCTGATGAAATGCTATCTACATTAAACAACCATTGTTAAGAACATGCACTAAAGACACGCGCGCCTTGGGGTTCAGAATTTGCTACGATATTTTAATAACTTATGATTATTAACATTTGATTATAAAGACGGTTTTGAAGAGCATTTTTTAAGCCTCTGTTATTCTCGAATATTCTTCAAATATTCATCGAATCTACGGGGTCGTTCCGAATTTTCACTTCGTGAAAATTTTCCCCGCCGTCACTTAGAATTCTCGGGGGCTCCATCCCCTGCTCAATTTTAGCTACGCTAAAATCTGCGCTGCCGAGCCCCCTCCGAACCGATGCTTTCTTAACATTTGTTTGTAAAGACCGTTTTTAAAACATATAGATTCCATATTTTGAAAAGATGTTTTATTAACACTTGATTTCTAAAGATAGTTTTAAAGAGCATTT